TTTTTGAAATGCCATGATTTTTATAATCTTTATCAAAATTTACACTTAAAACACGATTATAAAATAAAATAATAAAACTCAAGGTAAATAATTTACAAATCACTCAAAATAGTTAGAGAGTTTATGTATTCTGTAAAAATTCCCGTTCCCTATAATTACTTTTAACCAAATGATGACAAAAACAAAATTAAAAATAACGGAAACCACGCATTACTGTGTGTTTTTTTTTCTTTTTTTCCTACGTTTTTATCCGATTTTATCGAGTAATTAAAAAGACGACAAAACAAAAAGATGACATTCTCAGTTCAAAACAAATAAATAATTCTCAATTTACGACCAATTACTTAAAAACGAGCCGTTGAGACGCTGAATGTCTATCGCCAATGAGGATCCCACCTTTTCTTGTTTAATGAATTATTTTTATTTAAACTACCCATAATTTTGAATTTTATTTAGTATTATAATTTTACTGTTGTCTATATATTCAAAATTGATATTTTATTTTGTATTCAAAGGACCCGTTCACTGCTCGTATACTGTTAATAAATAAATACATAATAATTATAATACAAAAATAGCTGATACTCCCATAGGTACAGGCCGTCCTTACAGGGTAAGGCAGGGCTCAGAGCCCGGGGCTCGTGTTGTCACTTAAATTTGGGGCCCTCACGTTGGATAAAAACGCACTAATTATAATATAATAATATATAATAAATATTTAAAATTTCAACCTGAATCTCCCAAATCCTAAGGACAGCCCTAGATAGGTATACCAATGTCACTGTTGTAAGTGGAATGTTAAAAAGTTAGTATAAGTACAAAGAATTATTTAATTTATGGATAAATCTTAGGAAAATAAACTATTTAATAAATTTTACCTAAAACGTAAAAGTGTAAAATATTTTAATTAATTAACTACTTAATTTCAGCTTTTCGCTATTATCAGGTTATTGAGAGTTAATACAAAATTTTAAAATGATTTACATACAAATATTAAAAAGAAACAAAATATTATATAAATTTAAACAAATTATCACATTTAAATGACATGCAAGTGATTGTTTTAAAATGGCATTTATTTTACGATTTTCGTCAGAATTTGAAATTTAAAAGCATATGACAAAAAACTATAACATAACACCCAACTTAACGACCAACTATAATCAAAATTTGCTTTCAGAAAATATGCAAGATACACTTGAAGATTGGAGCAAGATATCTGGTAGAAAATTTGTTAAACAGAAACCAAAATTAAATAAAAACACACATCATAGTAAAACCATTAAAACTTTTCAAAATCTAAAATTATTGAATTGCATTTAATAAATTATTAACTGAAATGACATGGAGCATGATTTCTGGCTCCCAATTGTAATTTATTTTGTAGTTTTAAATTAATACAGTATTTAATTTACACATATCAAAATATATCTAGTCCTCATAATCATTCAAAATCGTTTTTCATTAGTAATGATTTATTATTGCAAACAGATTTAAATTAAATTACCCTATATATAATATTATCCTTTACCTTCTCTGAAACTTTCCACCTACAAGTTACAACCAGTAGCAGAATGTCATCATTTTTGTGGGAGGTATCCTGAAAAATCATGTATATACCTATATTTATTATATGTTATGCTTAACTTGTAATTTTTTTGTAAATATGTTGATGTCGTAGGTCGCAAGCCTATTATTATAAATAAGTATATATTGATAGATGCCTCTTTTTTAGACATTTCATTGAAATTATATTAGTATCTGAGGGGTCCAGACAGTAGACCCACGATGCATAATGTGTTGCCATTTTATTTATACCTATAATAAGCGGTATATTCACAAATAGGTATAATGAAGTTTAAAATATATAGTACTAAATTAAATAACAATAATTACTAAGTACGCTATCTGGTTTTAAGCGTCAACATTACTAATGGAATGTGTATTTATCAATGGGGTCGGGCTTTTGGAAAGAATGTAGCCATACAAGGACCGCCATCTGTCGTTGAAGCGAAATATATTTATTGAAATACTGTAAATGACAATATATACGTGTGACTTAATGATACAAATCGATTCCAGTCCCTAAAAACAAATGTAGTAGAATCCAATAGTATTACACTTGAATTACTTTTAAAATATTATGTAATTCAGGTGTGATCAAACATGGTGGGGGGAGTGCTATGTACCCTATTTAAATATTTATTATAATCTAGCACGTCCTTATCTTGGTTCTCATTGTTCTCAAATTGTATCGATCGACTATCATACGCAATAGGTCACGCATCAAATATTAATATGAATTAGCTGTTAAAATGGATATTGAGTTAACAATCAAAGGTTTTATTTTTTTAATAAAAGAAACAAATCGAACGAACCCATTGGCTGATCAAATATTAGATACCTACTAAACTATGACAGAATAACTGTATTTGTACTATACGTTGATTATTTCATAACTAAATTGGAAAAAAAAAATTTTTGTCGCAACATTTTTAAAGGTATATAAGGATATATAATTATATTTAAATACACAAATATGTTTATATGTTTATATGAAGTGTACCTAATATTTACATAGTTATGTGTATATAATATTATATAATGAAGCAATATTAACAAATATTATTATTTATTAATGTATTATAAAATTATTTTCCTTCTCTAGGATTTGAAAGTTTATTTTCAAACAATATTATTTTTGCTATTTATGTATATTTAAAAATATAAATATTTTATTTTATTAATAAGATATATAAAACACATTTCTGAAATAAAATTAATAAGGACTGCTCCTAATTCAAATTTCGCTAAACATGTTTTAGAAAATAACCATAATATAAGCTTTAATATTAACACAGACTCAGAGATATTAAATACCCAAAATAACATTTATATTAATTCAGTTTTTTAGAAGAGTTACATAGTATACACAATGAAATAAAGAAAAATAATTTTAAATATACAAACCGATTTTAAAAATAATTTCTTATATCAATACATTTTAGATAATAAATAATAACCAAACGATTTATATTTCTTAACATTATATCTATATCTAATAATAATCCATTTTAAATAATCTCTCCTATTAAAATAAATTATTTCCATGTAAAACGACCAAATTGTATAATTTTTATTTTCCTATGTTCCTATTCCTTCATTTAAATTTTTATACTCAGTCACATTTCACATTTTGACTGTAATATACCTGACACACTTATCACAATACTCCAGGCGACGCATTTATTTATTTTTTATTTATATATTTATTTACGAGAATTAACCATTTTAATAATTTTGTTTTTACTTTATTATTGTAAAATAATTAAATAGGCATTCCATATTATATTTAATAGCATTTGTTTAATGTACCGATTTTCCCGTTTTCCCATGTTTTTTCCTGGTTTTTCACATTTTTTAATAAAACTCTTGAGAAAATCGAAAAAATAACCTCCCTAAAATACATCCCCATACTGATCCCCTTTCAGAAAAGGTGCTAATCCTAAAAATCAGAGCAAGTTCTCTGGTAGAAAATTTGTCCACAGACAAAAAAGACTTCTATGCTCTACTCAGAATCTAAAATTACAACGCATAAATGCATTAATAACCTGAACTTATTGGATACACAAAAGTTCAAACTCTTACCCTCATGAAATTAATATCCAACAAATTCTGAAAGTGTCCAACAATTCGAGATGAACATGGTTAGCACAAAAAACAAGTTCCAGCAAACAGTTGCAAATAATAGGTCATACATACTATCGTATTATGTGATAACTACTAACAGTAGTTAGTCAGAATATAAAATTAAAAATTGCGATTTATTATTATGATAATTCATAATACACGTTTTGGCGGTAAAATAATGTAACCATTGATAACAAATGATATCTGGCAAACAGTAGTGGGCGTACAGCTCAAGATTGAACGAGAACATGTACCGATGTGATCATACCTATTTATTTTGTCATGTTCTCTACATCGTGATTTAAACTAACAACACAATGTTATCCCTGCTGAACGTAAATTAGCTTTGGTGTACGTTTGTTGGACGGAGATAGAACATACATCTAAATGTTTAATTTATTATATTAAAAAATATTTTAAAAGAATAAGCACTGCAGAATATGCCGTTCCAAATTTTGATTTTCCGAGGTTTTCTTTGCACTAATCACAATATTTTTTTTTCATATTTGCCTCCTTATCCTTAGTATAGGATAGGCAATTCATAAACAGGAAGCCGTAATCGATAGGCAATCATTATTTTTTTTCTTGATGGAACTGGCAGCATTGGGGGATCTGTTTTCAAAATACTCCTCCACTGCTGTCTTCGTTTATTGAAAAATTACAGCTAATACTTATTTATTTAAAATCCTGTTTTACCCCTAGAGAGGCAGGCTTATATATACAGGTAACTAACAAACTATACAATAAAATAAACAACCATTTTATTATTAATATATGACAGGAGATAGGCGAATCGAAATAATCGTCACAGTAAACAAGTTTATGAAGGGTTTTTTATTTTTTATTTTAAACCGAAATTCACGATACAACCGTGTTAGTGAAAATACTAAAAACGATGAATAAATCAAATAATTATGAATTCGAAATTAGTTTTGTTGGGATTTAGTAGTTATCTTTATGTCGACTCAATGCATTGAACACTCGAACGGTCGTACCATAGATTAGTACACGTAAGAGTAGTACCTATAACCTAATCTATAGTCGTACAAAGACGGGAGAATATTTAAAAAAAAATATAGCGATTTGGTGAAATGCCGCGGATAACGGGTGTTGCCAGTGTAGCCAAATACTATAAATTATAGTATTTGACATAGCTGCGTTGTCGAGCGAGCATGGTCGCACGCAATCGTTAATATTTTTGCAACGTCCTCGGACGGTTTTTACCGTCGTCTGTGAAGCGGTACCACGATTGCGATGAAGGCGGCGATGGTGGTCGGCCTGTTTTAAATGACCGACCCTCTGATTCGTCTTCACCCTACCACTTTTTAATTTTTTTTCGCTCTCGTACGACGTACACATCGTTTCCCGTTCCCCGCACGCGTTCTCTCTTCTCTACACTCTGACGAAGTGGCAATTCTCGCTCGTGACGTATCCGTGTTATTAATTTTGTTTGTTCATTTTAAAAACGGGATAAACAATCGTCAATTCTCAACTCTCAACTACGTTCAGTAAATTGTCATCCGTGTATTACACCGTCGTCGCCGCAACTTCATTCAATCCGGTCGTCCCGCGGAATCTTACGACAGTTGATAAGCAAATTTCGCATGTCAATCCAGAACCTCAACGTATTCGGTGAGTGGTGTGAATGAGTAAATGACCCGCGTGAGTTTGTTGTTCCTATTTGTCGGAAATGCTAATGTATGACTACGGGAAACGATGAGTGCCATAGCTTTCGGTTTCGTAGGTCAACGAGTCTTAAACATTTTTAACGGTGGACCAGTGGCCTTTGTGTCTGAGACTATGGTATGCTATACGGGCGTCATTGTTTAGGTGACACCCTCGTGCGCGTTTAGTAAGCTCTTCGAGGTCATTCATTGTTTGTCCGTCAATGATTTGGGAATAATACTATACTATTGTTCTAAGGGGTCACTTTTATACATTTTTTTTTTGTCCTAATAATCACCAGACAATTATTAATTTTTTTATTTCAAATGATGGTTTAATTCAAAATTATTTCCAACAAATGTGTGTGATGACTAGATATCTAAAATTCTGAAGTTCTAAGTACTTGATTGTTCTATTTCTAAAGCAACCTGTAACCAGTATGTATGTATTGTGTTATCTTATTACTCTACATTTTAAAATTCATTAGTTCACTGTTTTTTTTATCTAGTAAGAATACTACTTAAATATACAAATTAAGATTACAAACATACCTCCCTAGTTAATAAACAGACTCGTGGTTTTTTAACTTATTTAAAACAATCTTTCTGGTTTTATTGCTTAACAAGCTGTTTAACTTCATCATTCAAGTGGTTTCCTAATTTAGATTCTATGAGCTTAGTACTAATGGTTGAAAAGTAAAAGCAAAGTAATAGCCTATGGTATGAATCCCATTAATGAAAAAAATAATGTTTAATGTTGTGCAATTTGATGACTTACAAGTGTCAAATTTAGTTTTATTAATTTTAGTTTTTTTTTTTTGTAACTGGCATGTCGATAGCATAAACAATAAAAATGTTAACATGATTTTTTAGTTACCTTGCAATACAAAACCATAGACATTTAATGATACATAGGTACATTACATCTATTAACAATTTCTATCTAATTATTCAATACGTTACTAAGCTGTAATTCTAACAAAGATGATAATACTAGGTACGTAGGTAGGTAGATGCAGTAGACTATGTATAATAGTTTTTATATTAATCAACATTATTTTACGCATTACAATTCAATATTCAAGTTGTGATAAGACTTTCTTATCTCATTTTTATACTCAATAACATTATTTTTGTAAAACATTGTAAAAATTTTAGCTCACATGTACAACTGATGTGAAAAATAGCTTCTTACATTAAATAAATGTTTAGATAACTTTACTATAAATGACAAATACCCATAAAATATAAAAACAATTTAATCACCCCCTAATAGTTTAAAATGAAAAGTTATATTTATCTACATTGATTATTCATTTAAGTGAAACGTATCTGTTTAACCTTTAAACCCAAGTTAATATTATGTTAGATTACCATCAAACTAAGCATGCTAAAATTATTCCTATTTTTTATTTTAAGACCCGTTTGCGGATGCAATCAAGGGTGCCGACGATGACGTTCAAGACGGGCTTGTTCACATAAGAATTCAACAGCGCAATGGTCGTAAAACATTAACAACGGTTCAAGGTTTGTCGTCGGAATATGACTTGAAGAAGATAGTACGTGCTTGCAAAAAGGTAATAATGATTAGTAAAAAAGGTTGAATAATGTCCAATAATTTCATGTTAATAAAACAATTAATAAAAAAGACACCTAACTAATTATTTTTTTCTAATATTTTGTTACTTCATAATTTAAAAATTGTGCCAAACTTTAAAAAAAGAAATATGAACAATATTTATTAGTTAAAAGTGTATTAGAACTTATTTTTATTTTTTCTTGATTTTCAATTTCAAAATATTTTTGGTCTTGCCTCCTATATATGTGTATACCTATGTATAAAAATGAACTATGGATAATTCTAGATCAATCAAATAAAATTAACACACGCCAACTTAAACTTGAAGTTTGAACGCAATACAGTTTCCATTATTTATGAAAATTTTCAACATTTTTTTAACTGTTGGAAATATCGACATTTTTTTATCTTTGGTATTTTATAAGTAAATTACATTTTGTATAACTTATAGAAATATATTTTTTTCATATCATGCCTTTCAAGTATATTGATTTTAACTGTAAAAAAATATATATATATATTCTGGGTAACATATGATTAATTATGTTTATAATATTATAGAAATGTATTTAAAATATAAAGTAGTTTATAGAAAATACTAACGTGTATATTGAACCCATATACTTAACTGTCACCTATCTAATGCTCCAACCAGTTTTAGTGTAATCAAATTAATTTTTCCTCAGCATTTTTTTTTTTCTGGGTGGACCTCTATTTCTAATGGAATACTTGTCTCTAATGCTAATAAATCACTACTTTCTGGAATCTCACTTCTGAAGTGTTATCTAATTGTAAAAAGTTTAATTGTGAAATTGAGTGACGATTTTAATAATAATTATCTTTTCTTTTTAATTCATTCAACTTCGTTTGATGTTACTATTTTTTTTATTGTTCCTTTAATGTCTACCTCAGAGATATCCATGATGCAAAGGCAAACGGTAATTAATTAAAAATTATTTATCAATTTTAAGATATTGTATGACTTATCTACTTTTTGCGAATTTTTTCAGAAATTATGGCATTCGTTATATTAATTAATTAATTTCATCAATATAATGTTAAACCACTCGATTGGAAATTCTTGCTTTTTTAATAGTTACAACATTCGTGCAAAGTCAATGCCACACTTTCTCTAACAATGTAACAAAAGTACATCAATCTTAAATTGTATAATGACAATTAAAGGTCAGGCTTTTATTTAACAAAACAAGCACCTAACCTGTTCTATCTAGATTTCTATCTGTTTACTATCTAATTGATTGATATTTATGTATGAACATATAAAGGAATAAATACACGAGATAAGATAAATATATTATGAATATTATATTTATATTTTGATTATCACTGATGAAAAAATTCCTATGGGAGTTATATAAAATCATTTTAGCCAAATTTAATTATTAATAACTATGAAAAATACTAAAATTGTGTTTTATAGAATCAAGTTAATATTCTTTATGGACTGTATAATATATAAATAAAAAAATGTATTTTTATAAAGTTAAAGAAAATGTAATTTACTTTAAAATATTTAAAATAAAAAATGTCGAAATTTCTAACAGTTAACGAAATATTTACAGACATTTTGAATTTTTTGTAAATAATGAAAAATGGATTAAGTTGAAAGTTCAAGTTGGCACAGGTTAACTTTATCTGATTGACCTAAAAAAATACCCATTATGGGCATTAGTTAATTGTGATACATATAGAGGGTGAGACCAAACATTACGATTTTTTTTTATATACAAGGAACACCCTAACAATTATATTTTAATTCTTACATGAATTTTAAATTTGTATTCAAAATTAAACTTCATTATAAAAATAAAAAAATTAGTATGTTATACCTATTAAACATGATCTATCATGATATATCAATATCACTATATATTATATAGTAAATATTTGAATTATTTTATTTTTAAAAATAGGAGTTTGCTTGCAACGGTACTGTGGTTGAACATCCCGAATATGGTGAAGTGTTACAATTACAAGGTGACCAACGAGAAAACATATGTCAGTGGTTAACTAAGTGTGGTCTTGCCAAGTCTGATCAACTTAAGGTCCACGGTTTCTAAGGAAACAATTGAAATATGCTACAAAAAGTGATCACTACATCATCATTCAGACAGACAGACAACTTGCAATAAATAACAAAAAAAAAAAAATAATGAAATAATATGCTTTAATTTAATAAAAATAATGCTAATCATTAGTGATTGTTCTGATCATATTTGTTTTATTTAATGTCAACTGCATAGATTTTAATTAGCAATAGAGCTATGTATATCAACGCCACAGATGTGTTTAGAGAAAACTTTCTTTAAAAAACAACTTAGGTAATAATAATTTTATGTAAAAAAAAATGTATTCTGTATTTTACTTGTTTCACGCCACTTAAGTGATGTGACATTGGTGTTCAAAAGTTCATTAAATGTATGGTATTATTTATATATAATTATTATTTTTATTTAACTCTTTTATATGATATGTAATGACCAATGATCTTTCCTATTTAGTTTATATTTATGAATTGTGATTAATGGTCAATCTAATTAAAAATATAATAATACTCAAAAATATGCACACAAATAGACAATACTTTTAATTGATTACTAAATTATTGAAATAAATTCTAATATAACTAGGGACACGTTTTTTTATGATAAAACTGTAAATGATCAACAAAATCGTCCATTAATATATTATTTAGATGTTTATTATATTGCTCATTAAATTATTATGAAAATACAAAATAAACTGAAGTATTATACTAATGTTTAGGAAGTATTCATTAATTTATAGGCAGGCGTGCCTATTGATATTATACACAGTGTACACACCGCAACAAACGTAGTGTAAATATCATTGTGCGTCTGCTTGATCGTTGATTAATTATTAGTACCTATATAATTTAAAAAATTTTCTGATTCAATTTGCTGTATATAATATATTATGTTGACAGGAAATAAAACTTTTCATCAAATTCAAAGAATAAATTGCTATCAAACCTAGACAAGTTCCTAAAAATGTATAAATTATTTTTTAAACTAAAAGTTGGAAGTTCGATATTAATATTTGGTGAAAACAATAACCTATGTTTGGATAAATTTAATTTTTTTAATTTCATAACCTATACTATAATTAAACTATATTATTTAATCAAGTTACAAAAATACATTTTTTTTTTTTTTTTTTTTTTAATACTTATAAATCATAATAAAAAAATATAATACTAGCTGTAGTCCTACACGACTTAAGAAATGACATATTGAATATAGAATGAAATTTTATTTTCTTGTTCATAACAACCACATTAATTAATAATAACTATTTTTTTCATCTTTGTCACTAAAGTAATCTATACATCAACAAAGTAAATTCATTTTCATTCCAATACCAAAGAGATTTTGAAATAAAAAATTTATATTGACTTTTCTATTGTTGATAAGTCAAGTGTGAAAATGTTCATCAATATCTGAATAAAATGATAGATTTGTATAATAAACAAAGAAAATACATTTCATGATTTGGTCTCTCATAGACTCACTTCTTTTGTAGATCAAATGTCATCCATTTGTGGTTGTTTGAGTGTTATAAATGTATGACAGTCATCATTTCGGAAAAATGTTATTTTAAACTTTCTTTTAGACTATTAATATTATTACACCTACTTCAACCCAGTTCTATTAACAAATAACAAATATTCAATTATTTAAATATTTTCACACATTAAATTCAAAATTCACTATTCTTCTGAAAGTGCTTACAAAATACTATGTGATGTGGCTATTTCAATTGTAAGTCTTCAATTATTTTCAATATAACTTTCAAACTTTCATTATATTTTTAGGTATCAAAAACAATGCATTACGTTAGAAAATTTCATCAAGCAAATCCAGGATGACAGAAAAAATAACAAATAAAATTAGACTAAAAATATAACTGAACTATAGTAGGTACATATGTATTTTAAAAATAAAATAAAACACCATTATTTTATACACTTAAACAATACAATAAAAATTGTATTTAATGTTTAATAAATTATAAAATGACCACTACTTTTTTTTTTTTTAATCATCAAAAGGATTATTAAATGTAAAATAATAACTAATTATTATTTGGTATTTTGGAACTATATAAGATTTTGACATTGTTGTTTTAACCTGTATTTGTTAACATTAAAATTGTCTATCTTGATTACAAGATAGGAACAATACAATTATTGTTTTAAAAATTCTCAAAATTAAATATTATAGGAACTAAATATTCTAACAATTAAAATACCTTTTTATAGTAAAAATAATCAAATTAAACCTTTTTCTCTAAGTTATAATGTACCTAGACAAATTGATCACATTTGTATTAATAGTATTAAAGAGAATGAATAGGTTTCATTTTGTATTTTTTTTATTTTGCATATAGAATGTACATCTTACTGTAAGACACTTTAATATTTTTAGTAATTTGTTTTCTTAGAACATTTAAAAAAACAAACAACTCCAAAATGTTACATACCGTTGGTGTGGTTTTCAAATAGCAATCTAAATTAAAAATATCTTATATCAGAGAAGTTAAAATAAATGTTGGTGTTAAAATGTGTATTTTTCGTCTAAAATACTCGTTATATTTTATATGTATGTATATTATACTCGTTGATGAGATGTTTCTTTTTTAAATATCTACCGTTTTGTCTATAAGGGGAGAGTAATGGAATACTATTCAAACGTCGGACATTGCGCCACCATATAAATGACGCTACTAGAATATTAGAATTTAACTACAATATAATTGGATACCTATGATACTTTACTATTGTAAAAAACAAAAAAATTAAATACCTACTATTTTATAATTGCTACTAATTAATTAAATAAGGCTAGTTACGGTTTTTGTTGTATTATACCTAGGTTAAACAAAATTACTGATGTGCGTAAATCTTCGAATTTATGTTCAGTCATCAACAGATACAGCATATTAAACTGTCCGTATCTAATGATTATTATGTTCTTTAAATTAACCTACCTACAACCTAATAATGTAAAAAGAGAAACAAGTTTCTTTCATATTGTATAGGTATCTAGGTTTAATATTGTTTTTTATTTTTAATTATTTGTTTTGAATTATATTTTGTGTAACTCAAACATATAATTCAAAGTTTAAATGTATTCTGTAAATAAAAAACAAATCGTATCAATAATTCTAGGTTTCTAAACACATGTTTATATCGCCGTTGTGTTCGTTGATTTTTGTTAGTTACTTATCAGTACGAAATAAGATAGTTTAAAACACCTTATGGCTTGTATTAAGTATGTCCGGCGGTACATTAGTTATCACTTATCATTACATATTTAATATATTATTAATTCATTTTAAATAGGTATGGTGATAGTTTACGAAGGTTATTTATTTGTAATAATAATAAAAATCAATCTGATCTAATCTGATTGAGTCCGTAACAGCGTTTAATTTAAATAGGTTTCTAACATATAATCATATAAACGTTACCAAATCCTGTTTATGTTGTATAATAAGGTATTTATAATGATTATATGGTATTATAATTTATTGTTTAGAAATCAGGAATTTAACACGCTCGTGGGCTTTTCAAATTTATTTAATTTTCGGTTTCATTGAATCGTATACATAAAAGCTTCGGTCCATCCGCGTTCGTAACGCTTTGTTGATTTACATTGATACAGCAATCAAATATATAAATCTATAATATACCCGTCAACTATATTTTTACTGTAATATAACATGCATATAATATGTATTTTAAATTTGAAATATTATGCTGTAGTAAATGTTGGTTAAATTGTCAATGAATATTGAATACGTGGTACTCTTACCTAGGTATATAGTATAGGTGTATAGTTAGGTACCTATCTACCTATCTGAAAAGGTAAATCTTGTTACGCCCGTAAAATAACACGTATAGGCAATTTTAAAACAATTTATGTTGGTGTTGAAAGTTAAACCCTTATATAATATACCAGAATTAGTTATACATGCGTATAAAATGTTTTATACATTACCCGTATAATAAAAAGTATAAAATGACTAAAACATATAAAACTTTATAACGACTAAGACATTATTTTTTTTTATTATTATTATAGGTAATAGTGATAATACTGTACATTTTAAATTTTAATAAGTATTTAAACTTATACATTTATATAACAAATTAATAAATCACAATTTGGCGAATTTTTTTTAAATTTAGAATAAAATAAAAACGTAACAAATTAACACATATATCTTAGGTAATTAATACATATAAGATATATAAAATCATGATTAAATTCAATTGACAATTATTTTAGCTGATATCTGTTCAATTGCAGCCAAAAACAAAATTGTTTACAGTATAAAACGTATACAACCAATAGTTTTATACTGTACGTTTTATAAGTTTTATAATTATACATACGTATAATACGTGTTTTATACTTTGGTGTATTATACGTTCGAACCCTGTAATATACTAAAATACTACTGTGTACCTAGGTATTGCATATTATGACATTATAACTTCAAACTAAATACTAAATAGGTACAAACGTGAGTATAGGTGAGAGTCAACGAAACGCAAGGAACGAGGGAATGTTTAATTAATTGCTAATTACGCGATTCTTCCATGAAAAAAATTAAATTAAAAAAAATTGCTATAATAAATATCGGCTGTCTATAAAACCCATCGTCGAATGACTTGTAACAAAGTAATAACTAATATAAATATCGTGTACGGCGGCTGTTTTTATTACGTTGTTAAGCAGGTACTCACCGAGTCACTATTAAATGGCCATCGACAGCTGTATTGGACATCATCATTGGCGCTGCTGTTCTGACAAACGACTAGGTATTACAACGGCATGCACTTTTATTTTAATTGTTCGTAAATGCGTATTCGTAAACGTCAGCGGGAAAACAATATTACACAAATGTTGACGGTGAAAAAAAAGACATTACGTTAATACAAAATAATATGCGAAAACTCGATACCGGCTGCGCGAACGACGCCGGGCGGACTCGACACTGAAGAGTTGTCGGAGTACCGAAGACTAAGAAGACGCAATGCGTTACGGTCACTATACATTATGTGTCAGCACTGACATCATGGTCCATATGGTTCAGTGGGGCCGCGGCCCTAGAAGTTTTTCATATCACCAAAGACTTTTTCCAGAATGATTACCTAAACGATGAGGTGACGAGCGTCACCGTTGAGTCGCGGTCCAGCCTCGTAGGCTCGTGTGTAAACTCCGTCGCGGCGGTTCACGATAATGATCGTGTAGCGGTTTTTTCGGGCGCCATGTTGACAATCCGACTAATCAATTTATTATTTATCGACGATTTATTACTTCAAAACAACCGACCGCCCGTTCGCGGGTTATTGGAAATTTGTACGCGTCCGGTACTCCGGCGTCGCAAGTGTTTTTCGCCTACGAACCGAATTCTGTCTAATATTATAATGTCCTTCGTCGTGTGTTTTTATGTTACATGAACCGCGGATACCTACGAATACGTTTTTTTTTTCAGCGTGCGATCCGAATGCGCCGGCGACGTACTCACGACAGGAATTTCAAAAACACCGTTAAGTATATTACCTATACATAATACCAATAATAATTATTAATACCTATTTTGTTTTTTCCCGAACTACGTACCTATTACGCGTTCGCTTCGGCAACGAAATACCGATTGTTCGGGTTCGCCGAATAGACTGTTTCTTTCTACGCGCCGCCGTAAACACTGTAATGGAAACGCTGCCTGTTCGTAATGTAAGTTTTAGTCGCGAAATCCGAAATATTATCTATAGGTTCGGCCACCTGGTTAATCGCTATCACGTGGTCCGCGATCTTTATAATAATCGCAAGATTATCAACAAGGATTCCACGTATCCGTAGTCTAAATAATAAGTCGTCGTCGATGTTGGTGAATTGCGGCCCAGTCCCTAAATCAAGTGTCCGAGTGAGGCCCGGCCGGGTTTATGTGAAGGACGTACGAATTGCGGCCGCACAATAAATTTCCACTTTACATCAGCCAGTTAGCGTTACCCAGGAGATATCACGGGAAGGTTGGCTTACAAAAATTATTTTTTTTTTTTTCAGTGCCAAAGTTATATTTTTTCCCGACGAGCTATTTCGTCGTAATTATTTTTCAGTTTTTGCGGATTATTGGTTTGACAAAAACTTAAAACTTAATGACCCAACGAAATCAAATTGCCCAATTCGATATCTGTTTTGACGCGGTACTAACTTTTCCCATAATTATGAATATATTGGGTATATATTATAATACTTTACACCAATGAGATTTTTTCGATAAAAAAGTTAATCGCCTACAAGTTTTTGTCATTGTCATAGTTTTTGTTTTTGTCAGGCTACATTGCTAAAATCGTTATCGTGCTATATATTCAGATAATGATATGATATAGTAAAGATCTTTTGGTGGTTTCGATTTTTACCCATCTCGGCGTTCACACATTTTAACGTTTCGTGTTTATTTTGTACTTCAATAATCGTACCCGTCGTAACAATTTTGCTTTGAATAAATCTACATTTTCAAATACAGTAGAACTTGGATTATCCGGGCTAATGGTGGGGAGGGGTCACGCGGATTAATGAAAACCACGGTTGATCGAGTTATTTCATTTAACGAATTACAATAATGTTCAATACTATATAAATGTATTTACATATGTGATATGTGTGAACATTGTCGTGTTAAGTTATCAGGGCTTGACATATAAAGTAATCAGTCTTTGTTTTTTGTCGTTTAAAACGATTTATAACGGTGTGTTCCACGCACTCTATCAGATTCTAATGTTTTCTAAAATATAAATCGCACATAATGTTCTCAAAGATACTCCCTAAGATACTGAATAATTGAATTAAAGAAGTATATCTAGGTAGCACATAGATAACAAAAATACTCGAATACGCCACTGAAAATATTATGCCCGGGGATAAACCCATAAAAAATGTTTTTTTAAGATTATCATTATTATTTACGTTGTTTTTTTTTATAATATAATAATATTATAGCGTAGTGTTGTTAATACAAATGCGCTATTATAAATCAAAAAATTAAAAGAAAAAAAAGTCACGACGGGGTATATATTGCCCCCCCCTTCCTTGATTTACCGCCCTAGCCCCTAGGACCGAACGGTTTCAAACGTGTTTACTCTACAGCTAACGCTTCTTTATCTCTCATCTGTGTTTACATAATGAACGATTACGATTACGATGCGATATAATATTATCATAAACGCATCAGTTATCAGCTACACACGAATGGTCAATATTATTATTATTATTATTTAAAAAAAAAAATAATTTTCGTGTACCAGTCTAGTGTTTATTTCAAGGGGTGACTCGGAGGGGGAGGTATTACCTACCTGGAGAAAAATGTTTACCCCTCCCCCCCCCGGAAAAATGTAAGAATTACTACGTCAACTAATGATAAAATAAAATAAATATTATTATAGAGGATTGAATACGATATATAATAATAAATTGATTTGTATGCACGTCAAAAGCAGCGCCGCATTCGTTTAATTTAGTTTATTTACTGATTATAATAACCATGATAACTATACTATTAATAAACCTAACGATAAATAATAATCTATAATTCATGCAGTATAATTATTAAATTACCAAATTTCAATACAATTTTTTTTTTCTAATATAAAGAATAATTTACTAAAATTAGTTTTATTTATTTTTTCAATAATGTACCTATGTATTCATAGATATCTAAATTAAACGCGAGGAACGTATTGGTTTTAATATTATGATATTGTTTTTTTTTTTTTTTTGTTATGCTTGGTAAGCAACTCTCCTTTCAAAAACCATGTTTCGATCAAAATAGGAACTTTCTCGTAACGTTTTTGATCGGAATAATATAATACTCTGCTCAGAATCGTTTTTCGTTAACAATGATTTTTCGTTGCATATTCGGATAAAAAAATTTAAATTACTCTAAATTATCCTTCCTTTCGACATCCATCACATACCAGTGAAGCGCCGTATCAACCCGATCTTTAAATCGAATAACATAATATTATTATGATGCACATGGCGGACGGAACAGATAGACAGAAAATCGGTGGGACGCACTTATTTCTTCCGCCTATTCCTGCTGCCCGGCGTAGTATGCGTGTATCACCGCCGTACGCCGCATATCGCTCGTATTGAATTACACACTTCGGGATGCCGTATAAACATACACGGACAATATAAGCGCGCGTTTCCCTATCTCCCACCCGGCCGTATATTAACATTACGCACTGCACGAAATGAAACCCGCCGTTCGTTATGATAAGGCTTTATTTTTATTGAGCCCTAGCAGCGGATACACACAATATGCACGTATCAACAAACAAATGCGTTATCTATAATTCCACGTACGGTCCCACAGACATATAAAAACTAGATAGCCGACTCCGTACACAATATTATGATGCCCAGCGCTTTATGTCACTTGGGCAATGTGTTGTTACCAGACAATATTTATTGCTAACATAATTCATGGTTATTAAATTCATCTGCGATCAGGACAACAAAAAAAATGAAAACATTGCCCAAGTGACAAATGGCGCTGGGACCTGTATGTCAAAACCTGAAACTGCTTCAGAGGAGTATTAGTGGCAAGTGTAAACCTAAAAAACCTAATTCTTATAGGTTAAGATAAGCCGGCAGGGAAAATGGAAAAACCTCGTTTGGTAAGCGAAAAATGCGATTAAACAAACGAATCCTCAGAAAAAAAATGTGCTTTGATCGACAAAATGAATCTCAAATTTATTGATCAATTGGGACCCACGCGAGACACCGCGAGAGTTAAGAGATTAATTCTATCGTTGAAATTATCTATTCTACAACACATTTGTACCTATACCGTATGATAGTCAATGGCGGACTGGGCAGACTACGACCCAATAGAGAAAATTAGTAGCGATCCAAATATTTAATTTATTTATTTGTACGCATAAATATATGCTATGTACTATGATGTGTATTTATTTTTGAATACTACGCTTATATTTTTTACCAAAGTACAACGTATGTCTTATGATAAACTTAGTGTAAAATTGATTAGAATACCTAAGAAGCCAAGATCTCTTCGATTATTCGTCACTGAATTACAACAAAGCTAAAAACCAAAAAATTGCCTCCTTTTCAACGAAATAGCTAGGAAAAATTGAAACGAAAACGCCTGATGTTTAAAACAATTCGAAAAGCTGTTCACGGGCATAAAAAAAGTAAATAAATGAGAAAAACACAAATTGTAGTAAAATCAATTAATTCCTTGTTCTGCGCACATAATTTAAAAATAAATAACAAACAATAATTTTAAATTGAAAATAAAATAAATATAAGATTTAATAATACCTAATACAGCAATTTTTTAATTCATCAATAACGAACTCTTTTCAGTATATATTGTTAATATATATATATAAAAAAGTTTATCTTGAATTATTGACGCAATTTGGAAAAACTTTTCAATATTATCATTATTTTATAATATAATCGTAGTAAAAATAACGTTGCATCCGTACTTATTAATACAACTTCGGTCCACGGTCTTAATACGGGAAACGGCTGGGTGGGCATTAATTGTGAGCCCGGGCCTGTCCGTCCCTGCCGTGTGAAACACAACGAGCAACCGGGTATTGTTTCGTGCGCAATATATGTTAATATAGCTTGCGGCCGGCGACCGTCTTTCACGTGCACGCGCGGTATAATTAATACATTGCGATTGTGTTCGTGTACGTTTATCGCCGTTGTTTTAATGTTATCGCCGCACGTCGCGGACGACAATGTATGCGGGACCGCCGCCCGTTTAGATATACGTTTGCCCCGCTTGTATTTAACCGAGTACAAGTCTTGTATAATGTTATGTCTACCTGTTTGCCTATGCTATGGGTTTTGTCTACTATTCTCGACGCAGTGTCGACGTTTACGTTTATTTCGCACTCCCCCCCCCTATCCAAACTTTAAAAACGGAATATCTCGTCGACTGCTTGACCGAAATCGAACATTTCAACACCAACATATATTTACACTAAAACTCTATATGTTTGGTGAATTTTTTAATGTTGACTGCCGTTTGAAATCAAAAGTAGGTACTTAGTCGTTTCATTACCGAAAATTAGGGCGACTGAAAAAAAAAAAATAGAAATTTAACATTTGAGCAACTTGTGTCTTAAATTTTCCAAAAAAAAAAGAAATGTAATCCTTCCGTGAGTGTCTTTTCGAGGATTGATCACTCTGTGTGCCCATCGGCTGTTTGTGTACGTATAAAATAATAATTCAGTGCTTGGGCAAATGTATAATATCTGAATAACGTTGAGTATTACTGTGGTATTATTTTGAACAAATTTGGAATTATTTTTCCAAGTTTCGTTTTCTCAGATTATATTATACCTTATGCTATATTATGAGTATATGTAATACCTAATGCCATTTTGAATGGACAATTATTTTGAAACTGGGGATCTTTGATACCGCAATAATTTGAATTTGAAATTTAAATTTTTTATTTGAAATCAATAAAATTGGAACAGTCATTAGTTGGAATCGACAAAAGTGGAACTGACAATATTTTAAATCTTTATATGTGACGAACGCGTAAGAGCTTGGTCTCCATAACATTGATGATTTCAAATATGTACGTATATTCCTAGTTGGTCAATCCAAGAATGTAGGTTTCACGTTTACCGGTTCCAATGTTGTCGATTTCAAACATATGGTATGAAATATTTATTCTTCAAACAAATTAAGGAGCTTTATATAGTACCTATACAAATCCACGTAAAAAAGATAATAATATAGAATTCGCACGCTAAATGACCTTTGTGTTTATCATAATTGTTTTATTGTTGGATCATATAAGGATATATTGTTTTTTTTTTTTTAGGAAATTAAAATACGTTAATTAATATTCACATAGCCGGGTTTCGGCTATCTAATTAAATTATATTCTAATTGAATAGAAATGTATAGTATCTATATTTTATAATGATACTTTGAAACCGTATTTTAACGACTATTTTGTTGAAACATGTTTTTAAATAAATTGTTTTATTGTGATAAAACATTAAACGTTACCTATAATATTTTTTTATTATCTCAAACTGTTATTGTCATGTGTTTAATAATTTATGATAATTCAATTCTAACTTGAATAGAGTAATAACGGATAGTACCTATATAGTTTTATAAAGAATTACACATTTTGGTATTGAAATATTCACATAATATAATAATAATACCTACCTATAGCGTTTTAATTGTAAACGAATTGTTGATATATTGTCATAAGTCATTAAGGCTGTCAGAGTCGGTTTTCTAAATGTGCCCCACTTATAATGAACGCACCTTAAAGATACGACTTTTTCACTAATATACAGCACATTTAGAGAGAAAGGTTACGGCCGTTTTTGAGACAAAAATTAACTTAACGGGAAAAAATTCTCACGCCTTATAAAACGTTTCAATTCCATTTTTTTTTAAATTTTTTTTTTTTATATGATTTGAAAGAGAGAAATTGTGTACAAGACATATTGGACTCCAAATGATTAATCTGTATTTAGCATCAGAAAAACAAAAACTAAAAATAGTTTCTACGAATTCAATGCGACTAATACGAGCTATAAGAAGTCTTTTTTTATTTTAAATAATAATAATAAAAATAACATTAAAATCAAACTAATTTACGAGACGTGAGAGTATTTCCTGCGAGGTATCACTTTGTACAAAATATACGGTGGCTCCGAACACCCTCGTTGTCTACTCAAACCTTGTTCTTAAATATTAAGTGAATTTACATATTTTATTTTAAAGAAAAAACCCAAGTTTAAATTTTCAGAATTCAGTTGTATTTATAACAACTTATTTATAAACGTTTGTCAACCCAAAAATAATAATAATATTTTAATCAAATGTAATAAATTTAAAATATTGAATTGGATATATTAAATTGTGTCTGCAGGCAATAATAGATGATAATTCCGAGTATATGCGTATGAAAAGATAAACGAAAATCAATTAGACAAGACTGAAAAGACTTTATTTTCGTTTTCTGTAATTATATTTAGACTCAATGGGATTTAATTTATATAGGTTGAAAATTAAAATAGATACGTGTAGAATAACTAAAGTTATGATGACGGATGCCGGCTTAAGAATACGATAAGAGCCGATCCCACTAATAGAATTATATTTTTGTAATAGGAAAATAAAATAATTAAGAATCAATAAATCTGTATCAACCATGGAATTAAATTTGATTAGATTAATTTTATAAAATTGAAATTCTTCGCATTTGACGAAAAAATTAGTAGAACATTATCGGAGTTTTCAGATTTAAACTTTCCGTTAAAATGATAATAATTAAATTATGTGTATTTTAATAGTAATATTTCATTTAGAAGGAATGATCAACTTCAAAACGCAATGATTTAATTAAAATTTTTAATGTAATAATTATAATGTCATATTATTATAATAATATAAAAGACATATATTGGGGAAACCTTAGACGTAACTCGAAGGGACTTAAACTGTCTTAAAATGTTATAACTTGTTTAGTTGGATTTACACATACAATCAAACATGGTGTGGTCAGGAGAAATACAAAACCACTAAAAGCTTGGTCAATATGGTTTCAATACCCAATAAATATTGATAAAATATAAGAATACGATTATAATATTATAATATTGTTATTTAACTGAAGCTTAAAATATGATTTCACGTACGTACGTTTTTTGTAAGTATGTATTCGTTTTTAAGGTTTAAACTATATGACGTACAGTTAATTAATTGAGCAATTAATCAATTAATAGTATTAAACATACCAAAATCCTAAATTATAAGTTTTATTATTGTATAGTGGTATTGTGGTAACGAGAGGCTCAAATTTAGAAAAAAAACTTTCAAGTCTCCAGTTGTATGTGTTTCCAGGGGAAAATTATCATCTAACGCGTTCACAATTATATACTGGAACAAGACGAATAAAATGAATACCTAAAACGGCTAAAACATTTTTATGGTATGGTATTTTATAATACACCTCTACTGTTCACATTGTGCAAATTATTTTTTTAAAATTACAATAAGTTATAATATGCACTGGGAAATGTAATAATGAAATCTATTTCAAATCACAATTTTGTTATCATAATTATTGTAACAAAAGTGGACCTTATATAGTTTGAATGACTTCTTTTTTAATAGTTTTTACAATGACAAAAATATATTATGATGATGAATTTATCTAGATGCCCAACCGGGTTTTTATGATGTGAAATTAGTCATGATGTACTTTTCTTTAGGTTATAATTTATAACTTATTAGTTATTATAATTTCATTGTATTTACAACAAATTGTAACATGCTAAAATGTAGCAATCTTGCTAACCTTTTATAGATAAATAATATTTATTTTGAATGATATGGCACTATAATAATACAGTGAAATAATAGTAATTATCTAATATTTACATGTTCTATGAATTGTATACAATCAATACCCGTATAAATATTAAATTAGGTATTACAGTTTAAAAATGTAAAAATAAACCAGTGGTTTGTAATTTTTACTAGCTATAGAAACAACGTATTATTCGCAGATTAATCATCTTAATAATACTCGTTATAAACGTAATGTAATATTATACGGTTAACGACAATAAGCGGTGACATATAGACAAGGTTGAGTTTTAAGTACCTAGGATCTTTTGTACAAAAGAACGATGTCTTTGACGAGAATATGAAACATAGGATTCAGTATTGTTTGATAAAGCGAAGAGAAGTGTCAGGTGTTTTATGTGACGAGAGAAATCCAATGAGACCTAAAGGTAAAAAAAACTATCTACAGTAAGAAATATCAGTTTAAATGGTTTACAATTATTATAAGTACGTTGATAATAATACGTAAGTCGCGTTATATATTTTGACTGTGATATACCTGATGATGAATTTTTAATTCTAAACCAGTCGTATACTACACTTATCATAATATTCCAAGTGACGTATTCATTCAATTATTTGTTTTATTTTATTTTTATGTATACATTTTTTATTTATATATTTATTTACGAGTATTAACCATTTTAGTAATTTTATTAATCAATAGTTTATGAAAAATATGTACTTGGTTTGATAAATTTGATACTTTTTTCCTACATTTAAATCGATACCTATTTTTTTAAAGTAGTCAAAAGTTAAACATTTATGTAGTATAATTAATATTAAAATACACGTTTGAATATCAATATCAATTTTTATACTCAAAATATTATGACAATTTCCTCTTCAAATTTCTAGAGTTTTATAAAAAAATAAACATTTATATCAATACATATTATAAATTATTATTCAATAGTATTTGTTCGATAACAGTCAGAAATATTTAGCTTTTAATTGAGAATAATAATTTTTAAACTTATCTTTGAAGATGATTTTCTTACACATTTAGCTTTAGTCAATTTTTTCTGTAGCCGGTTTCAATTTTTCCCCTCTAAGATTTTTGAAATAAAATTCAATGCTTGAATTTGAAAAGTCCAACTCTGGATCAATATTTTTGTTTATCGACCACGTAGGTTCGTATAATTTTTTAATTGATATTCCTCTACCTTCGCATTGATAACAGTTATCAACAGTATAATTAGTTCCATCGTTTAAATCAGATTTCGTTCTTTGTTTGGACAAACATGATCTTTCAGTTCCTATCAGCTTAGTAGTAGCAGTATTCCATTCGTTATCAGTATTCATGTTGAACATATGAACATATGTTAATTTGGTGCAATGATCATACAAATTAACGAAACATCTGTATTATGTCTGTATAAATATAAAACTATAAACAGTAATCAGTAAACAAATAAATAAACCACAAGCACAAAGATAATGAACGAATGACCAACTAGATTTAGTTATTTAAAACAATTTTATAAATTGTACAAAATAGTAATAAAAACAATCAAAGGTAACTAAGTAATTAACAATAGTTCGGATGGCTCATCAAATGCAGCCAGCCTATAAATGGAATATTAGTTTTATGAATTTGATAATTAAACATATTAAAGGCATTAGGTAACATAGCAACAGTAATATATCATATAATAAATATAAACTTAAGAATAATTGAAAATATTAAATAAATCTAGGTAATGAAGCTCGAGACTAAATTGAGTTAAGGTGACGTAACATTCTGTAAAGCGGTTGATTGTGTGATTGGTAGGAATAAAAAATTTATACAAAAATGGTTTCTCATGGGTGATAAGGAACGCGAATTAAGGCAGAAACTAATAAACCAGAGACATCAAGAATTACATTATGAAGGGAAGCGATGGAAATCAGCTCAGTATTAAAACAACCAGAATCAAAAGAGAGAATAACCAGAATTGAGTATACGTGAACGTAGTAAAGTGGTGAATGATCAGTTTTTAATTGATGTAGGCTGTAAAAAAAAGGAAATAGATTTTGGACTCGTTCGATAGGCAGCTAATCACTAGATAAGTAGGACAGTGGCGCATTTAAGGGGAAAGACAAATGACCCAGAGACAAAATTTAACAGTTTTAGGGGTGACAGTTTTCTGATGTATTAATTTTTATTTTTATCAAAAAATGTACAACACTTTTTAGCATCATTGATTAATAGGTAGATTAATCTATGATTTTATTTTTTTTAAGTTATAGGTAATTGTTGTAAGCGCTGTTGTATAAAAAGACCGTGAGTGATTTTATGTCGAGTACAATCGCCTTTAGTATAGACTTTTTGTCACACAGTGTTGTCTAACATTTTATACTTCCAAGTAATAAGTAATAAGTGATAACAGATTATCGTATCAAATCATTTTGAGTTGTATATGATATGAGTGAAACGACTACTAACATATACAATTTATTTATGTCATTATTTGGTATAATTTTTTATTTTAATAAAACAGTTAGAAATTGTAAATTGTTAAACCCTAGGTTTTTTTAAAACGTTATTCAAAACAAGCAAGGGGCACAATTTTCAGTAATTAATGGTGGGGCGGAAGGTCTGAGGTTTTAAAGTGTGTGTATGCAAATAAGTGGGACGGAAGGGGGTGAAAATAAAATTGTTTCGCCCCGGGGTGCATATATTCTAAATGTGCCATTGCTACTCAGTGGCGTATTCAGATTTTTCTTATGGGGGGAGAGTGGTGAACTATATTTTGTTTTGTTAAAAATAATGGTTATAAATACATATTTATATAATATACTTATTGGTACATTAATACGTTTTAAGAGTAGGTTATTAGCAAAGGTGGTGCCAGGAATTTTTTTCAGGGCGGGCCAAAAGGAGGCCAACATATATATTAGGGCAGGCACAGTCTCACACGTTATTAAAAAAAAAAAAACCGTCCTTAATTTGGACTTCCCATCGTTGACCATCCATAGTCCTTAATATAAGTACAGTACCTATCTTTGAAATGGAAAATTGTTTATTTAATCTCATAAGGTTTTTGACCTCCCCGCTTCTTAAAAAATTACTGTTGCGTCATAGTCTCAGTGACCAGGAATTTCGGTGAGTATGTTTCGATTAGTTATTTATCAGGTATTTATTTGAAAAGATTTAAAGTAAATAAGTAAAATGGCAATCTAATACATTTTATTTATTTAAACAACATAATATTATAAATAAACAAATTTAGATTTCAAAGTTATATAATTTACAACATATTAATACATTAGCAATCATAACTAGGTACATAATATTATTATATAAAGTCATTTTTTGATTTTCCAATAAATGGGAAAAACCGGGAGAACGGAAAAATAGGTACAATGTAAAACAAATATTATTAAAAAAGAAAATTTTAATGCATATATAATTATTTTACTATAATATGACATATATATTGTTGACAAAACAACACTATTAATCGAACTCCGCTCAAAATTGTCTTTTCGTTAGCAATGGTTAATCGTTGTTTATAGATATACATTAAATTCCCATCTGTGTCTGTGCTTATAAATTCACGAAAACGACATGTTTATGTTTATTATACAAATAATATTAATTGATAATAACAGAAGTACCCACTGGTTATACATTAGCTAATCATTACTTAATCAATAACTAACCGTTTATTTCGTTTAGTTATGATATTTCAGTAACCTATTCTATGAGTATTTATATTCAAACTGTGTAGAATTCTAAATATTAATTTAAATAATTTTCATAAGTTAAATTCATTTAAGTCATTCTTAAATAATATAGAGTTTACTTATAAATATATATTTAACTTAATCTATTTTATCTATTTATTTGTATCGCAACTAAATTTTTAACTCCCCAATACAAGCTATGCTTAATGGAGAGTTGTAAATTTTTCATTGTTATTATTTTATATATATTTATGTACTGTTTTTGATTTGCTAAATAAATGTTATTATTATTATTATTATACAAAAAAGTTGCTCACAGAAGAAAAAATTAATATCATTGTAAAACCAATACATTCTTCGCTACACTCCGATTTAAAAAAAGTTCATGGGATAGGAATATGACACCCTCTTCCCCCTTGAACATGCCCCTGCCCATGTTAGACGGTTACACCGTATTCAAGGATTGACTGCACCAAACAGAAGTAGTGTACATGGAAACAAATGATGGCAGAATTGAGGAGGGAGGTATTACACTTAATGAATCCAAGAGTCTTAAGAGCACACCCAACAGTAACATTGATATGGTACATATGTTTGAAAAAAAAGTGAAAAAAAAAGTAAAACCTATTTTTATAATAATATCAACGCGTAGAAGAAGAAAGCTGCCAAGAGAATAAGGGTAGTAGGGGATAAGATAACGTTTCCTGGAGGGTCATGGCGTGATATTTTTCGATGCTAAGTTTAAGGCAAACTAATAAATAGATTGAATTACAGTAATCAAACTAAAAGAAAATTATTCATAATGAAACTGTTCAAATAATATTACTGTTTTCGTTTTTAATAACGTTCGGCCTCGTGAAGTGTGTTGGCACAAAATTAAAACAACAAAAAAAAAACTGTCGTGATTAAAATATTTTGGTGTTCGGTAATCTTTGCCGGTGATGTGTATATTATGTAGATGAACTTTGTATGATATTATATCGTATATTATAGTAGTTACTAGATGTAGACGGTAGACACTTAAAATCTAAATGACTTGTAAATATAATCGTATTTGTTATCATCGAATGTGTGCAAACGAACACCCTCGACAATTATTATTTTTTATAAAACTACTTAGGTGCTTCAATACTATAGCTAAAGATATAGGTATGATAAATTTTAATATATTGGTGCACATACAAATGCGTAGTTCACAACCGAAATAAATTGATTTGCGACCATAGGTTGTATATTTGGATATATTATTCAATACTTCACCAGAAATACGTATTGACGGTTTATTATTGCAATAATACTATTATCGTCGTCATTATTATTATTATTATTATTTTCTATTGAACAATTTCGGCGTTGGCGGCCGCTGACGAGATGGTTAGCGGGCTGGTGGTGTGCGGGTGACGTATGGAAGGGATCGGTCACGGGGAGCGTGTCGGTTGATGGCGGCGGCGGCGGCGGCGGCAGCTAGCTCGGCGGCCTCGGCGGCCTCGGCGTAGCGTCAAAGCAGCCGTACCGTTCTCGCGTTCAACAGGTCCGGCGTTATCTCCTTGTGCCGTGCTCGGCTCGCAGCAGCAGCTAGTAGTGGTGCGGCGTACAAGAGAACTATAAATTACGGCATACGGAGCGTCGCACCCGGTGAAAACGTCGTTATAATAATAACAACAATAATTTAATTCGGTTTGAAGTCAAATATAATATTATATCATTATGAATTGATTGCATACCGTTTTTCCGTTCCAACTTGCAATTCGACGGGGACCTGCGCGTTTCGCGTAGCCCTTTTGTTATACCTATATAAATCACCTGGTGGCGGGTAGGAGAGCTACTGAGCGTTACGCCGTCGTCACGGGCGTGCGTGTCTGTGTGTGAGTGCGTGCGGGCTAGTGCGTGCAATCGTGTACAGTAGTACGCCCCGCGATAACGGTTTGCCCGGATCTTTGACCCACGCGTGGACGGCGGAGCTCGTACTCGTCCACATACGGTTTCGGCGGTGACCAGTACATCTCCGATCATGACGTTCCGAACCAAGGGCCACAATAAACAACAACAACAGCAGCAGCTGCAGCAACCGCCCGACAACTTCCAATTCTACTCCGATAGCAACCATCACCGACAGAGCCACTATGACAAGACCGGTCAGCTGCTCCAGGAGCCACCGCCACCGACACCGCCATCATTTCTGCAGGCCGTTGTTGGGAGCGGCGGGTCCGCGGCTGCGGTTACGGCAGTCACCTCCCCGACGGCGACCACCCTCCCTGACGGCGACGGCACGCCTTACGTTTACACCACTTTTGATCCTCGGTGTTATACCCTGCCAAAAAAGGTAAGCGAATAACTATCGTGTCCGGTACCTATTTATATTATAATATAGGTGTAGTACGCGTCCATCGCCGTACGCGCGCGTAGAGATAGTGATGGTTTCGCGCAATCACCGGGCCGATGGGAACGCCGTAATCGCACGCGTGAACCCGGAACGTGCGGCTATAGTGACGGACGAACGCTGAGGGATATAGATGGACAGCAGCAGAGGTTGAGTACGAGCGAAAGAGTGACGAGAAAGACGGGTTCAGAGTGAGAGGAATAGCCGCCGCCACTCGCATACGTATTATTAGTATACACGCGCATAATAACTTGTTTTGTGAGCACCTTTCTCCGGGTGTCGGGAATGCCCGAGAGAGCGGTCGGTCCTTAGACGCTGTCGTAGACGGTGACCGGCCACGACGAGTGGGCATACGTGTGTTACCTCTCAATCGCGTGCGACCAAAACAGTTCGGCATGCCACTCGTTTCGCGCAGAGGTATGATCCCGTTGGAACGGTGTCATTAAATTCGTATTATGGCCGCGTGAGCCACTAACATATGGTGGCCGTGCGCGCCGGGAGAACTCACGTGCCCCGCTGTCCCGCCCGTAAACCGGGAGGCGACCTCAACCCGTCGATTGCGCGCCACCCGCTAGTGTCTACCTCGTCGGGCGCTCTTCGACGCGGAAGAATCGATTTTCGTTTCGACGCGTCTACTGCGCTACGTACGCGGCGCACATCGTCTCACCATAACATAATATCATGGCCATATGCACGGAATGTTTTTATTTATTTATTTATTTTCAATTTTATTGCGGCCCAATATTATTAATTATTATTGTCTTTGTTCTAACGCAAACAAGTCCGGTACGATACGCGTACACATACGTAAATAATGCACGTACAATATTTTCTTAAATTTTATCGATTTGTTAACGCGCGTCTTCCCGCGGGGTGGCTGCTGATCATGGGAGGTCATAATCGCGCTCTCGTGTGCTGGCCGCGCACGTATGGTATTATTACGTTTCCAACAATATTCTTATAACATACAGAATTGAAATAATCTGTGTCAATCTCCTTTTTTTTTTTTTATTCATTTCTTACATATCATAGCTAAATGTAATTCTTACGTGTCGTCGTACACACATTTAATTCCCTAGGTGGCCGGTAAACGCCCTAAATATGCCCTATAAACACAACATATGTTTTTATACCACCCCCGCTCGATAGCCGGCCGACATAGAACAGCCCGCCACCGCCGCCGCACCGTTATCACCCCTCGACTTGATGACATGTTTTTCGCAGAAAATTACGTTTTTGCGGACGTTTTGTTACTTTATCGAGCGCTCCTACTTATTATACGATACATTATTGTGTAAATGTGATTATGATGTATACGCGTCTCGGACTGATTCGTTTTGTTGTCGCCCGCAATATGGAAAACTCGAACGAATTTGTATTATATGTATACAGGGTGATCAATTCTCAATGAGACACATTCATTATTTCGGGACAGAATTAATTTTTTTTTTTTTTTTGTTAATGATTTAAGAAACAAGCAGCTCTAAAATGTTACATTACACTTTTATTGCCGAGGTGCAACCAGTTGACGAAATTTTCCATTTTTAAGTTTGGGTTGGGAGGGGTGGTAATAGCGGAGCAGTATTCCAACGTCACGTGCCTCGTCGTCACACAAACTACTATTATACTAATCCACTACTCTTCTTCTTCTTTGGATTTCGGCCTTTTAAGACCATTCTGTAAGACAAATTCTCCTCCAGTGCTTTCTATTTTCCGCCAATTCTTTCCAATTCACCTCAGAGTCCTCTGTCACTACATCCTTTTTTACACATCTTCCTATTTAAGGCGTGGCCTACCCAGCGGTCTATTCCCCATCGGATGTTCATTGATCACGGCTTTGATCAATGTGCCAATTTTTTCGCTAAGCATGGCCGGCCAACCTTAGTTTTCTTAATTTCCCACGTAATACACGGTATTTGGGATACATTTTGGAGTTCTTCTCTTACCCAAACTTAAAAGTTTAATATCTCGTTAATAGGTTAACAGGAAATGAAAATGTCAACATCAAAATGAATATAAAATAAAGCTTTATCTATTTATAGAATTTTCAGTATAGGTTTCATTCCTAAAATTAAGGGTTACAAATAATGTGCGTAATTTTTTAGGGTCGTTTGTTTCATAAATTATCCAAAAAAGAAATTCTGGTAAAAATTAGTATTATAATACGTGTCTTACCAAATATTGATCAGTCTTTGTACAACAAACTGAAAATAATTAATTTTTACATTGACGTGACGTTATTTGATTTTTTTGTTTTTTATATCCCCGTCCCCTTTTTTAAAAATAAAGTCTCATGTGAAAATCATTATATGGCCCCGGTTTTCAAATAATAACCATGTAATCGATACGCGCATAGCTGATAATCGTAAATAATTATAATACCTCTGTACTACACTACTGCAGCAACGTTATATAAAGTGACATCAATAGTTTTCATTTTTTTCTTTTAAACATAATTTATACGAGTCTATTATACGTATAGTATATAGAATATAGATGTAAATACAACAACCGAACAACATATGTTTTCGCGTACGCGTACGGCTACGCCTTAGAATGCACATAGTCGGATCTCGATAAAGCAATAATATTTTGTTATCTTCACTCGTATCTGTCGCGGAAGAGTATATATAATATTATAAATATTAACATAATGGTAGTCACGGATGAAAAGCAATGAAATTGACCGCGATATACCAAATTGAGTAGTATATACTCTATTATAATACCTACTCGTATTATATAGTAATTTACACTATAGGTAATAGGTATGTATCGATCATTTGCATGCTTCCTACCTAGTATGGTTTTGAGATCGGTAAATTATTTATTATTATTGTCTCAACGTGTTATATATTTGAAACGTATTATGATAATATATCTATTGGCTATTGTAGTTTAATTATTGTATGAAAAAAAAAATACATATATACCAAAAAGTGATAATATTAACACAATGTTCAAAAATATTAAAATATACAGTGTATAACAGGACTATTTAACAAATTTTATAACTTTTTTTCTATTGTAAATTTGAATTTTTAAAAATTCGAAATAAAAAAAGTAAAATTGTATTTAAAATTTAAAAAAGAGCTGATGCTGCTGATGGACCAATAATTATCTCAGAGGATTTTAAGTGAATTTGGTTTTTTCTGTTTTTTTCTAATCATTATTGAATCGTTTTATTTTTCCGATTATTTATTTTGTTCAGAAAGTGTATGAACGAAGGTATTTTCCCCTCAGTTTGAAAAATCACGTCCGTGACTCCAGTCTTTAAATCGAATGATCCGTCGTCTGTCACCAATTATAGGTCTATCTCTTATCACCTCATATCGCTAAAATTTATCAATAATTATGTAGGTCCAAGTCAAAACCAATTCTTATTCCGCAGCACCATAGATTCCGTAAAGGATAGAGCACGATTATCAGAAGTGTGTCGTTTTCTTCATTTATTTTAGACTGCTTTGAGAATAATTGTCACGTAAATGTCATTCTAATTGATTTTTCTAAAGCATTTGACACTGTTCCCCACAATATACTTTCCAGTGATTTCGGCCGTATTGGTTTGGTGAACCATTATTGTCATGGTGTTTCGTTCCTTCCTCTCTGACCGGAAACAATTCGTCAAATTTAACGGTATTTCATCTAACTTGGTCAATGTAACCTTTGGTGTACCACAGGGTTGTCATCTAAGTCCTTTTTTTCCCCTCTTTGTTAACTCTATCTTTATAGTCACTTGAATAAAGCTTAATTCCTACTATATGCTGGTGATATAAAAATATTCTATAAAATCAAAACTCCTGCTGACTGCTTTATACTACAAGACGAACTTATCCAATTCGATTTGTGGATTTCCCAACTAGGTCTCTCTCTCAATGTTGACAAATGCAAAGTGACAAATGCAAAGTGATTTCCTTCACTAGGTTAAGAAACCCGATGCATTATTCATATACCCTTAATAGTATACAGCTAGAGCGTGTTTCCAGTATTAAAGACCTTGATATTTAATACTCCTGCTCTTTCTCCTTTAGCCATCATATAGATATTGTCATTGGTAAAGCACAAAAGGTCTTAGGTTTTATTAAGCGTAACATCAGGCTCTTAAAGTCAGCTAATTCACTTCGTTCTTTGTATTGTGCTCTTGTCAAGCAAATTATAGAGTGTGGCACTATTATTTGGTATCCTTACCTTGCTAAGGATCAAATGCAAGTCGAGAGCTTTCAGTACAGGTTCTTATCATATGTCACTTTCAAACTTAATTTACCATCTCCTAATTATGACTACTCCTTTATTTCTGGTATCCTGAATTTACCTTCTTTGTCTTCGCGCAAGAACGAGGCGGGCATTCGGTTCTTCATGTCCTCCTAAACAATTTACGAGATGCTCCTGACCTTCTCTTTATTGTGCCTTTAAAAGTTCCCTCATTCAACACCAGGAGCCAAACTCCTTTTTAAATTACAGCTCACTCAACTTTTTGTACCCATAATCATCCATTACTTAGAATGCTTAGGCTGGCAAACCTGGATCGACCTTTGTCTACACCCTATTATATTTTACTTTGAAACTATTACTATTGTTATAATCTCTTATGTTTAGTACTGTTTCACTAATGTTATTCAATTATCTAAGTTTTTGGTTTTGTGATTGCTGCTCGGCATTTATATTCTAATAAATAAATCAAATTCACTTAAAATCATTTAAGGTAATTCCTGGTTCATGATAAAAAAAAAAATCACCCTGTATATACTATATAATATACATATATAGTAATTTATATTAAAACATACTAATTAGTAATTATACTGTAGATTTATAAATCATTACATATAATTTTTGTTTAATTGGTTTCACCATTGAAGTCACTCAATATTTTGTTATTATATAAGAAATATAATAATTTTTAATGGCCTATAAATAAATCATAATAGTGTGTGTAATATATTACAAAGTTACATTAACTATTTACTATAATATTATAAAGTATTTGTATAATCAAAAAGACAATAGCCAATAGAATACAACATTTATATATTTTTTTTTAAATGCATTTATAATTATAAATATATAATAGTAAAAGTTATTTATAATGCGTTTCTATTGGACATTAGTTTTGACATCATTCGTTCGAACGTAGGTTAATTATAACTATATAATATATTTATTCTCCTTCCTAATATAGTTTCTTGTTAAAGTAGATAATATTTTCACTTATCATTTATTATTATTAGATTTAAATCATGTTCACTATTTTTAAAACTACCTATTTACTCTGTATAGTGTTTTTCTTTTTAATTTATTTAAAAATAAATCCTTTATGGAATTATATTATAATAATTATAGTCGTAGTATATTTTAAAAGAATTCATAATATATATATACTGTATGTGCGTATGAATTAAATTTAATAGAGCTCTTTACAACTATTTACTATCTTAAATCTAGTATAATGGTATTATTATGTCTTATACGAGTACACTCGTCATCCGCGGAGTGTACAGGAATTGTTAATAGAACGAGATACATCCCGTCCTATCAACATATTTTAGTATTGTAGTAAATATTAAATAATAATCGTGATTCGTAAATAGATCGTAGAATCTTATTTTTTTATTCGAACGATGAAAATGTAAAAATCTGAATCCATAAAAGTCAATTTTTATTCAATAAAACAAGATATTTTTTTTTTTGTAATTTTGCTGAAATATATAATTTCATGATAAAATGGCTAAATATAATATAATCATAGTTATATTTTTAAGCGAATTGGGGAGATATAATCACTATAACATTTCCCCGTCATGTTTACTATGCATGTCACTTCCGTAATCTGTAACTTATACCAGTAGTTTTTACCACGTTTTTAAAATGGTCAAATTTACTAATTCTCTATTGGTACCTAATAAAACTATACATTTTTTTCGTTTATTCGTTACCGCGTATCTACTTATGCACTACCGTTTGATAATAAAACGTAAACACGCATCATCAGAAAATTGAGATACATGTACGCACGTCGTAAGCGAAACGTAAACAATCGGCTGGTATAGGTAAGAATGACGGTAAGATGATGATGATCATAATAATAATATGGGTTAAGTATGTGAAATATAAAAAAAAACTCCGTCATCGTTTCCATGCCTCGTACAGTAAATCGAGTGAGTCACAATAAATATATATAAAAAAAAGACCGGGATGTCCCATTGTTTAGGTAAAGTTATTTGATTTACGCAATGATTAACCATTACTAATGAAAAACGTTTCTCTCAATTATTATGAAAATCATAAAATGACCACACAAACGCACTAACTAGGTCTAAAATGCAACTTAAGGGTTTCTTGGTATTTATTGATTGAAACAAGATTTCTGGTAAAAAAGTTATTTACAAACAGAAAAAAATAATGAACACACATAATAAAACCAGTAAATTTTTCGCTTCGCTCAAAATCAAAAAGGTCATATACACGTGATACATTTCTTTTCTACTTATTTTACTTTTTCCTTATTCATATAAATAAATTAAAGAGAATGATTATTTTATTATAAGCCAGCAATTTTCTCGGAGGATTTTAAATTAATTTAGTTTCGGTTTTTTTTTTATCATTATGATATTGTTATTTTAACATTATTTTCAATTTTCACGCCTACTCGTTTTACTTGTAATGAACATCAACTTAAGATTTTAAAATAGCAACTCCTTTCAATCACAGAGTCAAATAGAGAATATTTTTCTATAAATATTGATATGCATAATGCTTAAAACAAATTTACGTTTTATGAGTTATAACAATTCAAGGTTAAACCAGAAGAATAGGGTACTAAATAATACCCTATTCCTCGAGGCTCGGAATTTACTGCATTTAATATCAATAAAAAAACGTCAAAAAAGTTCTGAAAGAAGCAATTGACAAATATTTAAAAAAGCAAAAACGGTAGAAGGGTTTTAATTTTTCCCTTCTAACGGCTTTAACTTATCTAATACAATTTTCTAACACTACAAAACTATAGTTAACCCAAAATTATTTTTTTTTTTAAATACGTACAATTTTATTCAAACTAAATAATTTTTTTTAATAATTTATATCGTGTTAGAAAATTATATTTAATAATTTGGAGTTAGGCAGGGAAAATGTAAACCATTTTATCATTTGATCTAATAATATTTGTTTAAAGTGCAGTTTTTCAAGTCAATACTGTTGGTATCCCAATTACATTTTTAAATTCTTGAAATCCGCATGGTTCTTATGAGAAATCTAAATTCACCAAAATAAGTTCGAATTTAAATGTCCCAATAACGTTTTATTTCGCCATGTACACCGAACGACATCGAACTAAACATTTTTAAAGATTCTAAGTTTAAAATATAAAATGTCGTATTATTAATGTTCTTATTGCTATTGTTTAATATTATGTCGCATTAGATATTAATATCATATTTCTATTTCTGTGACTCGATGACACTGAATAAACGATAACGGCAATGTATGGCCAAGCCTGAATTAAAAGAGAACCACAGCTCCTTTTTCCAAGAATGTAAGGGACCATTATATCATCATTAATGTATATACATTTTTTTAATACAAAAATTTGCATACAATGTTTTAAAAGAGGAATTTCAAGTTTGTTTTACCATTAGGCCCACTGAACCCTTAATAACCCGTATAAAACTATATATTAACATTGATGTTTAATTTTAATATTATGTGGGTGATGGCGCGCTCATGACGTGATCGTATATAATATTATTATAATAAGCAAAAACGGATTTTAGACTAGTAGCGCAGTCTATAAGTTAAATAATAATATTATTATTAATTCGAAGGGGAAATAAGTATTATAATATTTATAACGAATGCCTCGGTGTGCGCATATATGTATATATATATATATATATATATATGATACAAAAGCGCACACTTATATATTATTATTATATAGACGGAATGAGAGGGAGTGGAGAGGATGTCCGCCGTCGCGGTCCTTGACCTTCGAAATCGTTTTAAACGAGTCTAATAAACTTTGCGTATACCTACAACTCTACCTACCTACCTACACCGTCGTCGTAGTCTAAACGAACGCGCACAATATACTTATGGCACACGCACGTGCATTCAGTCGGCTAAAATAATGTCAACAGGTGCCTCGGAAGGTTTTTTTCCGTTACCATTATTATTATATTATATTATTAATAACGGTAGGGAGGTATACGGTATACGCCGTGACAGTATGTCAATATAAAGTGTTCGAAACGGGGGGGAGGGGGGCAGGGATAGTTGGACTACACTATAATAACACCGCTGATGACGAAGGTACACAAAAACATTAAAAACTTTACGTTCCTAATAGAAAATTAGTATAGTATACAACTCGTAGGTACAACTACTGTCGTCGTCAGATAATCGCGAGCCGGCCATTAATAATATTCTTTAAAATATAATAATATACGCAAAAAATTTAGTGTATTGGCCATTGATGCCTGATATCATGGATGATAGACCTGCACAGTTGTTATAGCCCCCCTCATCCTACGGGCCGTGTATATATTTACAATGTAAATTTAATAATTTATGAATTACGATTTAGTGTTAACTTCGTTTTTATTATTTCTTCATACCCGAAAGTTTTCTATAATAAGCCGTATAAAAAATATCGAGAAGAAGCATTATATCATAAAAAGATTAAATGAAGACATTAATGGAAATGATTTAATTACCACCTTTGTTCAAAATACTTCTAGGAAGATGCAGCTATCAGAAAGTTGTATGCAGTATAGTTAAATAGTTACAAGATTTGCCAAGATATTTCTCATTCCATTATTAAGTTGTATTTTATTGATTTTTGTTTAAATTATAATATTGAAATGTATAATGATCATTCTTCTATTTTTGGGGGCGAGGAAGGGATTGAACGCAGTTAAAAACGTATTAAGATTACAAATACAAATACAAATTAGATTAAGAACAAAATGGCACACACTTAAAAATAAACTCCGTTATATTTTAATATAGATGGACAAAATAGATTATATTTCAATCCAATCGTCAACCGATAATCGGATTAGTAATCATAATAATATAAGCTATATATATTTTTATCTCTATATTAAAGCCATAGGATTAATTGAAGTAAAAGTTGATAGTTGTAGGAGGCATTCAATGAGTACCTGCAGACACAGTTGGTAGTCCCAATACAGTAATAAATAATTATTTATTTATTTAACAATATTATTTAGTAGGTAGGTTGTAGGTATTATAACACCATAGCGAAATTAATTCTGTAGTAAAGTATAACATTTTGAGAAGTGAGGAGTTTAATGAATGATGTTGTTATATAGGTATAACGAAGCCATTTTTACGTAAAGATACATTTGGTGAAAAAATACCTGGGAGAAAATGTCTCGAGGATGATACGTGGAAAAAAATATTCAACCCATATTACTATTTTGCTCAATAGAGATTTGGTCTGACTTTAATATTAAAAACATTTCAACTTGGGTAGGTTTAGGGGGAAAATTATTTTGTCATATACATATTACATATTTAATTATTACCTATAATTAAATTATTTATTTATAACAGAACAGGCCAGGGCCCAGAGTACAGAATAACATATATATACATACGTTTATGAAATCTCTACAAACATTGTATAGACAAGTTTGTTTACAAAAAGAAAATAATAAACATATTGACAAAATTGGGTTGACGAGCCAATGGCGTCCCCAGGAATTTTCAATGAGAGGGGTGTAGCAAATAAGAATCGTGAATAAATTGTAAAATTGTCTTCTACATCCAACTTGACTGTAGAAATTGGTAATTTAAAAGTCGAATCTTAAAAAAAGTCAATTTCTAATCAATACGCCAAGCTTTTTCTTGTAACTTGGTTGAAATATATGCATTTCAGTATTAGACTACTAAATATATAGAAAAAATATGAGTATATTTTTTGTATTTTTAAGCCAATGGGAGGGGGAAAGTATAACCCCTACTTTCCCCCTGCGCATGCCACTGAGTCGGACACTCATTGGTGAAACACATCGGACATTGGCCTTTTACAGAAATAATTGGTGGTTTAAAAGGGTATGGAAAAAGAATAAGGTGATTACGAATGCGCAAGAATCTAAGGATACCGAAATAAAGTTAACTTAGTAGTTCAGGACAATGAGCTTTCTTAGGAATAACTGGTTATCAGAAACACACCTGTCAGCTAGGATTGATAACCCTAGAGCAGTGATTCCCAACCTTTTTTGATACTATACGAACCACTTAGAGAACTTTCGATGGGTTGCATACCACCACAATATACCAATAATGACCTCTATTTTTACTAATTATATTTTTTCTACTTAACTTTGGTTTTCATTTTTTTTATTCTACGGTAATAATAATATAAGTGATATTATATGTACAATAATTTATAAATAAACAACGTAATAAACTCCGATTATCACTATTTATTTACGTTAAATACTTTATTCAATGTTGTTGGTATTGCCTCGTGAATCACCATACATTGTCCCGCGGACCATAATTTGAGAATCACTGCTCTACAGAGTCTTAAGCACGGATTTATAATCATAAGGTTCATGGTCAATATGATTTACAAAATAAATACAATTATCAAAATATAAAAGAAATTATCAACACTAAACACTAAAATTGTTTTGAATATCTTCGTATAAAATAAAATTAGTTGAGCATTTTATTAAATGCTCTATATAAATTAATCTATGATAATAAAGTACATTCGAATAATTATAATAACTGCTGCTTATATTTAGTGTTTGAAATATTTTACTGTCCACTGAAATCAGCTATACCTACACATAAGCCACAATATTTAAGTGTATCGAAATAATAATATTTTTATTGTAAAATTATTCATAAAATATTTTGCAATAAATTTGGTGATTGCAGCAAATATTATGCTTTTATCAATGACACCAAAGTTTGGTAAAATTCACCTGTGACATCAGGATTCAGTACATGTATAATGTACAGAAAGTGTATCCGTACTCACTAAGTACTACTTAGCTGTTTAACTACATTGGCATCTTGATATTCCGACGGAGTTATATTCAATAAAAATGGACGTTACTTGTACGTATAACCTCGACTTTCTCCACAGCCACTGATTGTAATTCATCGATAGTTATGTGCGCCTGTAACTTAGTATCTCCCATTGACACTAAAATGGAGACTATACAAATCTGGAAAATATTCACCAGGAAAATATTATTCAGGAACGATATTTGCATGGACTGATAAAACCAATGGTTCCCAGTCTAACATGTAGCTCACTCCGTTCACCAATTTGAGTCCGAACCCATTATGTCGGATTTTTAATCGCAAATTAACCATGTTGCATGCAATAAACCATCGTACTAAACCACGTTGGGTAGGTTAGAGTGGAAAAATGTGAAACAGTCTACATTAAGAAATAACATCAATATTTTAGAAACTAATGATTATTATTATTTTCCCGATTTGTATGTTACTCCCAATAAAATAGTTTTTTCGGGGCAGGTTTAGGTAATGGGATGCTAAAATCGAAATGTTTGAAAATACAACAGTCTCTTAGCACCAGCTATGGTGTATACAGTTTATATATTATGAGATCGCGGTTATCTGTATGCATATTATAACATTTAAACGTTAACTCTAAGAATATAAACCACCACGTGTATGACGATAAATGATTACGATGAGGTCGTTCGTTTATCGATTACGGTTATTATTAGGAAATAACAACGGGGGGGGTACGTTAAGTTTTACTTATTTTTGTTCAATATTATGTACAGTCGAAGTCGTGCGGGATCAACACTTTAGTATTTTTTTTTGTATAAATCTCCGATGCCCCGTTTTTTAGTGAAAGCGCATCCACTCCGTCGCACGTATAATTTCGCTCTTTTATTGTTATTTCGTTGTTGGTGTACACGAGTATATTATAGGAAAAAGCGCGCGTGTGAGTGCGTGGATTCGCTGTTGCTTTCCGCGACGCAAAACGGACGGACGAGCCGACCGGAGATTTATTGTGTACCGCAGCGTATCCCCCCAAGGTCCCTTTCAGTTACAATTAAAACGTTTATTAGACGTGAACTCATTTTTATATTTCGCGGACTGCAACAGTATTTGTGTACCTATACCTACCGTTTTTGTAGTTGTTGTTGTGAACGACTATAATATAGATGATGTTTTTTTTCGCCGCACCATACATTTCTGTTGTACGACTATACGACTAATGTATTATTATTATTTATTATTAAATAACCTCGATTCGTCGTTGTTCAAAGTACGCTAGGGGCCTTAACTGCCGCATTATAATTTGCAGTTTTTGTTCGCGTCTATATGTACGACCGACAGGTATATATTTTTAACCACTAATGCGAATGCCGACCGTGTAAAACTGGTAATAATAATATTATGTACTCAGATGTCGCGACAATATTTTTTTTTATGGGATTTTAAAGGCTGTGTTTTACAGTTCCGCATGTTTCACCTTTTGTGGTGTTTTCGAAGTATTTTGTAAAAACCACATAGGTATATTATAGATGTATCTATACTGCAGCATTTTTTTTTGTTTCGTGGAGTTCCTGCAAATTGTGTTTCGCCTTTTGATTTTACGGATTTTTCGTTCTGGTGGGTTCTTCTGTAAAAGTGGGGTAAAACTGAATGAGATGAGATGTACCAAATCTTTTGTAATAATTCGATAAGTAAAATGCGTGAGACGAAATTAACGAAGTCCGTGAGATTTTACTAAAATGTATCAAAATAATTTTTGAAAATCTCAAATTTTTTATTGGCTTCGAGAAATGTCTAATACGGATCAATAACATACTTTATAATTCTCCATAGTTTCCATAATAGTTTATCATCGAAAAATAGTTATCTATCATCTTCCAAGATTTGTATTACCTATAGATTGATAAAATATATGAAACCAATATCCGATAATAATATCCGTCAAAATCACCATAGGGTCGATTTATTTGAATGAATGACATGAAATTTTCAAGATTGTTTTATTATTCCAGAACAAGCTCTTTGATCGCAACACATACTCGTATACTATTCACGAAAATACTCGAATCGCGAAAATAGTAGCGACCAAACAACTAGCCGACTTTCAGCAATTTACTGTTTGTCAACGGTCACGGACGGTTTAGAATTCAATAATACTGTTATTCTGACGTAGGCAATTATATCTATATATAATATTAAATTATATTAAAATTCGACAAAGTTAGACATTTACACGTAATATATAAATATTATATTAAATACACTTACCGTTCTATTGCATTTTTCTGACATTTATTGATTAGTGTAAGTATTATGTCATGGCAATAAATTAATAACAATATACATAATTTTATAATACTGAAAAAATACAATGATAATTGTAGCAACGCATTCTCTTTTTATTAATACATAACATAAAATCAGCATACATTTTGTGTACATTTTTGACTCAATATAGTTAGATACCTAAAAAAAAAATAATTTTCTAACGTTATTATTTTAATTATTCAGCGGAAATTTTAAACCTAAACGTGTGCCTCTTCCCGTGTCGTTCAATATAGGTATAAGTAATACCTACTTGGAAATTAGTTGTGAATTTTTTCTGCATTCGCTATTTAGGTAGGCACCAATATGTATTTTTAATTTTTGAGAACATAATACTTATCAATAACAACATAACAAAATATTGTTTATCAGTGTTTTTATTAATCGAACGTGATAAAGATTATCATAATATGATTGTCATGGTTGTTATTAGTACTTTCTCTCATTCACTGGTTCAGTAATTGATAGCACTGGTGTTTAATTTTTAAGTTATGTAAAAAAAATATGTTCATAGGTATATAATATTATATACACCCATCCAACGATACAATTAAATATTATGCTTTAGACAAGCAGTACTTTGTTTACGAGGCTACTATTGTTATGTCAACTTTATAGCTTTCGACCACACCCTATTATAATATGGTTACATATTTTATATGAATAGGGTGAGGGATTACTAGTAAAAAAACAATAGTTCCCCATCAGACCGTCGGCGTTTAATTTTAACGGACTTAACCCTGACCCTGATAATAATAATCATAACAAGAATAATAATAACTTTATATTATAGATTATTAAAAGTGAACTTTGCCGGTGTTGCAGGAAATTGAAAAGTCTATTGTAAACAATTTCTAGGTATTTTAACAACAACTGTTCAAACAGGTTTTTTTTCCATAATGTTTATCAATTCACCTAATAATAATTATATTGTGCTTTTGGCTTCGCACTAAACCTAGTCAACGAATATTATTAACGCATGTACCTGCAATGCATTATAACACAACAGTTGTCATGGTAGGTACTGGTATAGGTGCAGAGTACAAACCGTACATACACAGTAAATTTGCATTTGTTATTATTTATAGTCATGTTAAAATAAAAGGAATATTTCGAGTAGGTAATTAAACGTATAATATCATAACATGAGAAGTTAGAAATAAAGGTACCTTATGCAATAATACAATATAGTCGACTATTGTGAACATCATACGTATATTATTCTCGAACACACACGTCAAGCCGTATAGAGCTTTCTTTCTCGTTCCTCTTGTATACAGAAAACCCTTAAATATTATGCAATATTATATATATATACCTACATAATAAATTTAAGGGCTCAGTGCAACTACTATAAGGCAAGTCCACTTTTATTCGGAAATGATAACTTCGAATAGAGTAATAAATTTTATACGTAATTTGGTGTAATAATAAAACAACTATGCAAATCCGTCTTCTAGATACAAAGAAAATATTGTTATGGACTTGTCTGGTTCAATCAAATTCTGGCAAAAAGAATTATACGTTTTTAAACTGCTGAACAATTTTGAAAAGTATACTTGTCTAAATTGTTGTTTCACGAGTGAAATCCGTACCTATATTTTTAAAAATAAAATTATTATTGGATACACAAATCAATCCCTAAACTATGAGCATATACAACGTTAAAGCATCATTATAATACGATATGGTTATGTTAAAAAAATATAAACCTTGAGATTATTTGACAATAAATATGAGTGTTTTTTTTTGTACCAATTCATCATTAAGCTGTTCCGATTCATGAACTTCGTGTGTATAATATTTACAAATCGTATATATGGTACCTACTACCTTTAACACTACTGACATATTATTATATAATCTAAACCGACATATTTTGTGTATACACTGTACACACAAAAGCATAATAGTATTATGGAGGAAATCCATCATTATTTAATACGAATTTTATTTGCAGAAAACTCGGTTGGTATGTACATAATACAGGTAGGTACCTACATGCTACGTATAATAACTGCAGTCGGAATGTTGTTCAACGTGAACGCTAAAATACGCTGCATAACATAATAATATTATGTCATATTAGAGTACCATCAAAACAAATTGAATAATTCGTTAAAAAAAAATAAATATTACTTAATATAATATATAGTAAAGAATTACATTTTATTCGCGTGTTATATATTAGGTTTGATGGAAATACAAACAAATTAATTGATTTATCGCATTCGATTTTATTTCTGCAATTTTGTCGAACTGAACTTATTTTATAAATGTTCCTAATATAATAACTCCCCGAATAAGTGATTGGTATTTCAATTGGAAATTATGTGGAAGTGGAGAGAATATGTGTTGAGAACCATTAGAATTAATTAATGTCACTATCTACCTGACTAGGAAATATACTCGTATATTATTATGAATGTACGATACATTATGTTGTGTTTTGTGCAACTTTTGTCACACTAAAATATGGGGGTTATATACTTATCTAATATCATTATAAACACAACACATATTAAACGTACGAATACGTACCTAATAACTATATATTTGTCTAATCTAATACTCATAAATGATCTATAAGCTTGAAGTAATATAAAGTTCATTAAGATAAAAATTGTACACCTAGTAATAGACCGGGTTTCACAAACGTTATCTGTAAGGAGATACAGAACCATTAGCGCACTTACAGATCTTTAAACCAGATTGAGTGTTGCTCAAACGTTCTGTATTATTTATCGACCTGTAAACTAACAGACCTGCAACTGACTATAATTTATAGAACCAAAATATATTCGTTTCTGTAACTCTTTGTAGAACGATTTACAGATTTATATCATTATTTTATCAATGCTATTAATAATAATAGCCTACATTTCTGATCGTTTTTTTTTTTGGAATTTATACACCTATTGCTAAATTTTAATAATTTAACTTATATTATAAATTTTTTATCCTCATCATAATTAAGTGATGATGAATTTATTATTGAGGTGATGACCATATTATCGAGGCCAAAATATGTCCGGGATAGATCGAATCAGCTGATTGAGTTTGATGCTGTAGATTTCAAACAACTATTCAGATACTAACCTAACGGCTAATAACAAAATAATCAAATGCGTTTTTTTTTTATGACAGGAAGATGTCACAGTTTTATTATTTATGATTATTCAGATCTCGGTTATCTACTCGAGTAAGATAACCGTGGTTCAGGGTTATCAAATAAAAATAGTTTAGTTTATCCGGTAACTGTCGTTATCATTATATTTTAATTTACAGATTCATTACAAATTTTTTCGTGCAACACTTACATGTTACAGAGCCATTATAATTTACAGATGTCATCTGTAATATACAGGCCTCTATAAAATAATTTTACTATTTGTGCAACCCGGCCATACTGTTACGTAATTACATAGTTACATAGTATACGGTTTTGGTGGTTTATTGTTTTATTTGGTTATTTGAGAGAATTGATTCTCTAGATAGTTATGTTTTTAATGCGTCGTATATGCCTACAGTAGTTTCTTTATTGGCACGTGAATGGCCAACCGCAACTTGAGAAATAAAATAAACCACTATTATTAAATACATACCAACCTACATATGACTTACATTTGTGATAAACTTTTTTGGCAATCTCATCGGAATTAAGATTAGGTATGTGTAATGTACTTACCAATTTAGGTACCAATGTATATTTTTAATAAATAATAAACTAAAAGTGAAATACAGAAATCGGATTCCGAGCATTCTTCATTGAGTACATAGTATATTATAATATACTTGTTGAAATTGATAATTTAACTGTGTAGTAACAGTGTATAATGGATAAACGCTCATTAAAACCAAAACAATGGCTTTATCATTATTATTATTATTATTATTAATTATTATAAAATTAAATAAATATAATTTTATAGCAATTCGATTTTTTCTTATTTTTAGAATTGGTTAAAATGTTATCAAAACATTCAAAATCGACATAAACTATTGATAAATTCATTCTTAGCACTGTTTAGAATGATTATGCGTTAAATGTAGCATGTATATATATTATTATAAATTAATAATATTAAAAATTATTTGAATTGAATTTTTTGAAATAATCCTATTTTTAGGTGTTTACTACTAATATCCTTACTGCAACATTAAATCCCGAAGCACATGAATTCAAGTATAAGTCGTTGCCTGAAAATCCATCGAGGTTCAATGAAGAATCAAATCAAGATTATTCAGAAAACGAAATAAAGAGTAAAGGTTAGTTATATACAATATATTTTGTTTCCTTGTACACGATTTAATTCTGATTGGTATATTATTATATATACCTAGTTATATTGTTAACAAAAATCGATTCGCGGCTATAAAAGAATTCATCATTTGAGTCGTGTTTATATTATTTTATTCTTACAAATTATTATTATATTATTTGTGGTTTGTGAAAATGTAAAAGTTTGACGGCATTACGGCAGTGCAGTTATAGCTATGAATGTTATGATACTTTCGAAGTGAACGTAATATCAGGCTGAAAAAAAAGTAATATCGACATTATTGAACGCGTAAATTATTTGATTCGAAAAATTCCGGTCAAACACAATGTTTCAGCGAATTAATAGTACATATAATCCCGCCAAGAAAACTTTCATCCTGAAAAATGTATCGAACAATGTTTAAATTATGCCCGTGGGAGACTTGCACGTTATCAATAGGGGTGTTTTTGTGATGCAGTTTTACATCAGTAAACAGTTTGCTGTATTTGTTTGGCTACTTAGTTGCAATATCGCCAATATATTTTATTTTAGATTCTGAGTGAAGCGAGAAATGTATTGGTTTTACAATGATGTTTATTTTTTTTTATTATCTTTTTTTTTAAATTATACCAGAAATTTTACTTCAATGTATCAAGTGGAACACTTTTTGAAAGAGAATTGTATCTAGTTGATATTATAGACAGATCATTTATTGATTTCAAAGCAAATTTCATAATAATAGTGAAAAAACGTAGGAAAGACTGGGAAAATTACTAAAATTATTGTTTTCAATTTTGTTTTTTTTGTTTTAATTTTGAATGCAATTAAAACGTTCGTAGAAACTTGAAATTTGGATAGAAAACTAATGTTTGCGTTTTCTAAACTTAGTAAAAATTATAAAACATTTGAGTTATTTGTGAGCTATTTATAGACATTTTAATTTTGCTAGTTTTTAACGTAGTGTTTATTTGGTAGATACTATGTGGATAAAATTGTTGGATCAAACAGAAATATTTAAAAATTTAACAGCAAATTTATTATTAGTTATACTTAGTGGTCAACAAGAGAGAGTTGAGTTTAATGTAGTAGGTTTTTTTTTAAATACAAATTTTAATATCTCATTTTGACTAAAATAGTAAGTATTACGGCCTTTAAAACATGTATAACCTAACTCTGCTCAGAATTAAATATTAAGCTATATTATTAAATGCATTGCAACTGTGATTGAAAAATCGTTGTAGTTGTATTGTATACGATCAACATTTTTCTTAGATATTTATAATAATATATATGGTGATTTTTTAAGTTTCGACCCATTTTTATAATAAAGTTATATATTAATTAAAATTTCGATTTTTGGAATTGAAATGGAAAGTGGAAGTGAAAAAAATGATACTCTCACTTAGATTTTTCACGTTTAAGTGTCTTATAAAAAAAATTTTGGATTTTCAAATGTCAACCTACATGTTTTGATGCAAATTGTCAATCAAATGATTTTTCTGAAAATGTTAACGTATTGTAATCGAAATTTAAAACAAAAGTTTCCTTCTTATTTACTTTAAATACCAAAGGATAATAAATGCACGATAAAAAAAAAAATAAAAAAATAGACTATACACAACTGCTATGAAACAGTTGGAATTAAATCCTCGTGAAACACTATTATCCTTGGTATTTAAAGCAGAATAGCTCAGAAACTTTTCGTTCAAATTTTGATTCCAATACGTCAACATTTTCAGAAAAATCATCTATTTATCATCATTTATCAATCATCAATTGACAATTTGTATAAAAATATGTAGATTTTAATTTGAAAAACTAAAGTTTTATCATTATAGAATACTCCTTAAATGTTGTGAAAAATTTAAATATGCGAATATATCATCTTCACTGCACTTAAAAATTCTAAAAATCATAATTTGAATTGATGCATTACCATAAAAATGGGACGAGTACTGAGCATGCTTAAAAATTATCCTGTATATTATATTTTATATTTATAATAGTTTTTAAAAATAATCCTTATCCCCCTTGAAAAAATCATTAGACCGACACTGATGTGAAATCGATATGGCGATCGGATGTCGTAGTCGTTGTACGTAATAATGTCACCGCAGCAGTTGTTCGTGTCAACGAAGTCTATCGTCTGAATGTGGACTGCGCGTGAGTGTGTGCTATAGTCATATTATATTTGTCCATCTTTATCTATGGTGTGTGCGAAACGATGGTACATCAGCCGCGGTGGCAGTGTCCTGCAGTCACCGCCTCCGTGTCGTGTCATAGTACGGTCGACGAACGAAAACATTAATAAGCGGGAAAGGAGATTTGACGGCTGTTCGTGGTCGTGCACAGATGTCGCTACAGTCGGAGCCAAACGATCGAATTTTCTCTTCCATGGTTGCAGTGCTCTGTGGCATGTGTTCAACGTTCGTGTTGTCGTCCATTTTACAGGCTTTTTAATGGTGTACATACACACGATTACGAATGATATCCCACTAAATACGTTGACCGTTCGATTGTTTTTTTTTTAATTTATTCGATTTTGGCCGATTGTGTGCACTACTTCTTGTCTTCTGTTCGGTGACCAACTATCCCGTACGGCCGAACGCGAACTCGGGATACGGCTCTGATAAGTCGTTCAGCAAACCGGGCACGTTGACGCAAGCCGTACAGCCGTAAGTAAAAAGAAAGAACGGGCCAAAAAAAAAATATATTCATCGTCTGATTCGTGTGCGTATGTGATAGTCGTCGCCGTCGTCGCCGCCGCCGCCGCCGCCGCTGTCGTCGTGGTCGTGTGTGTTCGTGTGCGTGTGTGTGTGTGTGTGTGCGCGCCGCCGTCTAGTCATATAAGGCTACCCAGTGGAATTTCGTGTGTGTGCACATGGTTTTCGGTGGATAACTTCAGGTAAACTTGTTGAAAGAAAAAAAAAATCCGTCGTATTTGTTGTAAGTGTAACAGATAGATATGTGCGTCGCGTTCCGCAGCTGAACCGTACTCGTAGCCGTCGATAACAACGTGCACGTATTTCGTTTTCTTTAAATTACTTTTTAAATGTTCCTACGAAAGGAGGCGACAGAAACAGGTAAGCAACGACCGTGTTATGCTCATCCGAACAATTCGGTTATTTATTGAGATTTTCCACGTCGTACAGAATTGTATGTGACCGGGAAAAAATAATCAAATTGGTCGCCATTGATTTTCATTAGGATCGTGTGATAGGCGTCTGCTGTGTATAGGTTAACTCGAAAAGTCATACTTACTGATAACCTACAAAAGTATAATATGCGTGCATAACTTGGAAAGTTTTTCCATTACAATTTTCGCTAATGTATCCCAGTCCCCCTTTTGTGTTTTAATAAGTACAATATTAGCGTATCGCAAAACTCGTTTTCCGTTTTCTGGTATGTTCCGTTTTCTACTACTACAATCATAATTATTAACACTTATTATTATCACTAATCTTGGGTTTTTTTCTAAATTGTTGTATTAGCTGGTATTGTTTAATCCTTGATTTAATCATCTATCGTGTCATTTCGGTTATTAATAATGCCTTTGTAAGTGTTATATATATTTGTTTGTTCTTGGATCCAGTACCTACCTTTTGATTAGCAATTTTTATTTTATTGTAATGGGAATAAAAATCGTTTATGAACGGTCCACGCCCTTATAAGTACTATATATTTTATTTTATTTAACATACCTCTGGCTTTTTTTTCTGTTAGATACTTTTATTAATATCCCAAATTAATTTTATGGTGTCACTTCTGTCTGTATTATTTTTAAATGAACAATAATAAATAGTCACACGTGTAAGAAATCACTTCCCAGTTATTTCTGTTGGTTACTTTGTCATTCATTCATTCATTCTTATTATTTTCTTATGAATAATTTTCACTTGTTAACTTTCCTAATACCTAATTGAAACAATTAATTGTTTTAAGTTATTTTTTATCTTCCTAATGTGATTTGAAAATAATTATAAAATTAATAATCATATGATATAAGCACCTATCAATATTGAACTAGCAATATTGTCCAGTGTGCTCAATCACAATTTACTTGAAGTTTCTTTATTGGGGTCATTTATAACTATTTTAGGATAATTTAAATGCTATCCCAAGTTATATTTAGTTGTGTAGTAACTATGATAAGGGTCCAATTACCATTTAAAAAAAAAAAAAATAAACATTTTATCATTTTATTCTGTGATGAATTTAGAATAGGCACTAGGTAGGGCACTATATTTTTTGCAATTTAATTGATTTAGTCTTGAAATTATTATAATGCCTATAATAATATTAGGTGTTTATATTTCAAAGAATATTCTTTAGAATTATTATTATTGTTATTTTTTTACAGTTTGTGCATATTATTTGTAAGTACCTATTGTACCCAGACAGATATATTATGTACCTACCTATAATAATGTGAGCTATATATGACTTATCTATTTAATTAATAAATTATTATTTTTATAGTTAGATTCAGTAGGTACTTGCCTATGATTAAATTAATTAATTTAAGTACCTATTTACATTTTTATTTAAATTACAGTGTGTCTATATACCGACTACGATCGGTATCATAATATACACCTGACTATAGTCGGTAAGATAAGGAACCAGCGACCAGAAAATAAGATCAACATACTATTCGCATAATGGGTGGGCCACTGTTGCAGGTGAGAAGTTGGGAAGGTAGGATGTAGGGGGGAATTTAATGTTTATATGTATGTAACAATTAATCATTGCTAATGAAAAACTATTCTGAGCGGAGTTTGGTTCTACATGTTATAAAAAGCTTGGTGGTCAGTCCAGCAATTTTATCCACACAGTACCTATCGTATAAATATTACATTTAGAACTAGCAAAATTTTAATTGTCTACAAATAATTCAAATGTTTTGAAAATTATATACTAAAATATATAACATAATAGTATAATAAATTATTATTTTTATATTTTAGGTATTTAGTTAATTAATTGTTAAAATTAAATTGATAATATAAATTAGGAAACTGATAAGAGACTGCTCCTTTACGCCACCATTTTTTTTTTTTTTTTATTCAAAAATTCTCAATTTGTATATTTCAATCATGGTTCTAATTGTTTTGATCTTATTGAACCCTAGTCTGTTGTATATTATGATACTGATCATGGCAGGCTTATAGACACAGCGTTTAAAATACCTACCTAATTACTTTGTTTACCAATGACAGCTATTATTATCTATGGAACTTCATAGTTCCGGTTTAAAAAATTGGTTGCGTCAAGTTAAATACTGGAATTGTAATTATATGCATTTACGTTTACTATTTTTCTACAAAATGATTTTGTTTTAATCTATCTTTTCTTTATTAATAATGATTACAGATGACATGTGTTGGTAGTTCAGTTCTAGATAAATATATAATTTAACATTCTATGATTGGGATTTTATAACAAATCCTTTCTTATATGTAGGTAGGTAGATTTTCTACTGCCCATGAATTCTACTGTATTCTAAAATTATGATTAAGGCAGTGAAATTATTGCATTAAAAACTCACTAATTTAATTGCATTAAAATATGTTTAAAATTTCTTGTATAATTTTGTAAAATGCTTTGAAAAAATGTATGTACTTAAATTATAATACAAATCCAAATATTGTTTCTATTGCACAAACTAACCTAGTAAGTGTTTTTCTTTTTAGTTTTCAAAGTTGAATAACCAAATTTTATTGCACAATAAATTCTTATATTGGGAGAATTTCTTTCCTTATTGGTGTGTACTTTAAATAGATTAGATTTCTCCATTCAAAATTTTAAAAATGCAAACAAACATATTTTTACTTAGTATTTTTTTTTTTTTTTGTAAAATACAATTCCATTTTATATTACACCTATCAACATAGATCTTCTTAAAATAATGAAAAATAGTTCAAATTTAACCCAAATATAAAATTGTCAAAATTGCATTTCATTGGAATAGTATTTTAGTATTTTAACAAAATATATTTTAAGATGTAGCAAATGAATATAAATATCTATTAAAAAATGTATTGAAAAATATTGGAAATAAATTTTATAGTAATAATAATACACTTAAAACTGGTGATTAGTGGTTAGTCTGAATATGGTATTTATTTGTTTGGTGCTGTTAAAATATAATATAATTATATGAATAACACTATTAAATTAAATATTTTTATAATAAGATATTTTTTGAAATTTCGAATACATAATCTTGTCCTTTTTCGAAGCCTGTTAAAAAAAAAATGATTTATATTATAGTTAGTTTAAATAAAAATAATTTTAATAATCATGTTTACAGGGTATATGTACATGAATGGGGACGTAGGGAAAATTTCTACTGGGGTACCTTATAATCCTCCTGAGCCGCTCACCGTTTCTACTGCCACAAACACTTCTTACAGGTAAATATAAAACATAATTATTTTAGAACACTTGAACATGTTAAATTTAAATGCAAGTTATTAGAACCTGATGATTAATGTACTGTTCATTATGGTGTCGAAACTTTGCTATAGTATTAAAATCTTGTACAAATGCATGTATAAATATATACATTTTTTTTTTACTTTTTTGTATGAGTGATAAATATTTTAAATATTCATACTAATATACCTAAATTATTTAAACTAAAAATATAGAATTATTTTATTTTATTTGTTATCTTATGCACGTAATTAGAACCTAATGAAATAAAACTATGTTTATTATGGTGTCGAATCGTTGCTATAATAATGATTTATAAAATTCTTCTTGACAATAATTGTGTAAATGTAATATTTTACTTTTATAATTTTTAGAAGAAATAATTTTTTTTGAAGTTATGTTTATAGTATTGAAAAATATTGTTAGGTAAAGTAAATAAAAATGTTTAGTATTTATATTATAATTAAAACATTATTAATATATTATAAGGTATTAGTAAATAATTCCGTGTTCAAATGAAGATTAATGGCAAATGGACATATATATTTTTTAACCCGTCATCACTCGTACAGAGTTAATAATGACCTCAGCTTATTTCTAATTATAATTTTATGATATATATTGTGAAAATATATATTTGAACGTTTCTATTGCCTTGAACAATATGTTTATAGATATAATGTGACCGGTTTTATGTTATCTTGGTTTTTTATTTACTTGCTAGAATCTCATAAAGTGATCGATCAGCTTCAGTGTTAGGAATTAATTTACCCCATGCGAATAATTTTCTCTGTTTCTTTTCCTTGTTTTTAAAATTCAAAATGTATGAACTTAAAAGACTACGTACAGAACACTTTGATGCAGTCAGTAATGATGAAGTTTGAGGTGGTGTGTCAAATAATAAAGATGCTGATGAAACACTAATTGGAAATATGAATGATAACAATACAGACACTGGGTCTCGTTTTTTTAATCTAATAATTAATATTAAGGCGTTTTTAACATTATTAGGCTTAGCTCTTAAAATATAATTTTGTTTTATAAAAATTGACTAGATAAAACAAAACAAATTATATACCCCGTGCGATTAAAGGTGACAACGAAAACAGTGCGAGTGACGACGGGTTAATATAACTATATATTTGTATTACATATTTATTAATTTTATTAATACTATTTTGTTACTTATATTCTAGTATTCTAGTACTTATATTAAGTTGTGTAATTTAAAAATCTTTTTTTCTTTCCAGAAAAAATATGGCTTTTAGCACTTGTTAATCAGTGTTTTTTATGTAGTATATTTTAGATATTTCTAGGTTATAATAATTTCCTTATCATAGATTTAGAAATATCAAATTTATAATAATACTATTGGTTTAAAAGTGTAATATCTATGGTAAAATATTAAGTACTTTTATATCTATTTCCAACTGGCTAATAGATCCAGCTAATTTAATATATTTAGTAAATTAATATTTTTTATTAAATAATATTAAAGTGATTGTTTTATCATATATAAATATAGTTAAATTATCATTTTAAACAATTTATCATAATTTTATTCACCAGCTTATTTAAATAGTTAGTTAAATATTATTTATTTTAAGATAAATCCCTATTTTATTTAAAAATAAAATGTGTAGATGTATATGTGTGTAATATAAACTATTTAATAATTTCTAGTTCCATAAATGGAAGTTATGAAGTGTCGGTATCGGATAGTAGAAGCGGTGCAACAATTTTAACTGGAAACAATAGCATAATGGTGAATGCTGAGACTTCTACTGAAAATATGCCAATACAATCTGTTGAACAACTCAAACAACTTTTATCAAATCAGTTAGAATATTATTTTTCAAGGTAAATTTATTATATATGTGACATAATACTTTGTGTTTAGTAATAATTACTTCCAATTATAAATTATGTTTTATTTTTTTATTCCATTAGAGAAAATTTGGCTAATGATGCGTACTTATTGTCACAAATGGACAATGACCAATATGTGCCAATATGGACAGTTGCCAATTTTAATCAAGTAAAAAAATTAACTAAAGACATTAAGCTGATTACTGAAGTACTGAGAGGTAAGAATTATATTATCATTTTTTAATCACATAGTATTTTAATAATCTTTATTGTCATATTTATTAGAATCGCCAAATGTGCAAGTAGATGATGAAGGTTTAAAAGTTCGCCCAAATCACAAACGTTGTATTGTTATCTTGAGGGAAATTCCTCAAACTACTCCAATTGAAGATATAAAGGTTTGTAAAATAATTTAATTTTAAACTTAAATTTTTAATTATTTATTTTTTAATTTACCTTACCAACAGAGTTTAATCTCAGATTTAATTATTAAAATATTTAAACATACATTATAGTAATAACAATAAAAATATTTGGTTTTTGTTAATTGTTTAGGTAATTATGAATTTTTTTTTTTTAAACTGAAGCATTAGATACATTAAATTATTATATTTTTTTAAAAATTACTAATACAAAAAAGAATTTTGATTGAACAGCTAATATTTGTGATTTTTAGGGATTATTTGCTGGTGAATCATGTCCTAAAATGATATCATGTGAATTTGCTCACAATAATTCATGGTATATCACTTTCGAAAATGATGAAGATGCACAAAGAGCCTTTTTATATTTACGTGAAGAGGTCAAAGAATTTCAGGTTTGTAATTATTGATTAGTACATTAAATCATATTTTAATTTAAAATAAAAAAAATAACCTATTATACTTCCCACAATGGGCATTTTCCCCGTTTTCACAATTATTATGGAAAATTTAAAAAATGACTTCAATATATCACCCCAGTAATACATCCTTTCAGAAAAAGTACTACACTTGAAAATCTGAGCAAAATTTCTAATAGAAAATTGTTCACAGATGAAATAAAACATTGTAAAACCAATACTTTCCTCACTCAGCTCAGCATGTAACAGGTTTTGCCCAAAATAAATTTAAGAACCTTAAATTTAAACATATTTTGATACAAAAAAAAATCACAATTATCTCATTCATGTAAAAGACATTTGTACAGTCAACCGTCTAAAAAAAAATATATATATATATATATATTGTCTGATAAAAAAAATCAAACAAATTTGGTTTTAATTTGCAAAAAGTAGAAGATAATCTTCCAAATAAATAATCAACTGAGAAATGGTTGAATTCTACACGAAAAAATTAAAAGTAAACATTTTACTGATCACTATCATAACTCATATTTATAGCTGTAGTTTTAGAAAAATCAAATCACAAAATGATATACTTACTTCCACTAATAATGATTTGTATTGATTATTATTTATTACATGCATTGCCAACTGCAGCAATATCTTATGATAAAAAAAATGTGTTAAACCGGTTTCACACAATTTGTGTTCTCTATTTTGTATACAATTTATTTATAATGGTAGATTTAAAATTAGATTCAAGTCTGTAAAATCTATCCATTTATAATTGTAAATCAATGTGCATTATTTTTCATGATTAGATATACTTTAAATGATTTATTTTAATTATTAATTACATGTACTATCAACTGAAGCAATATATTTTTATTTATAACTTATATTTGATACTTAATTTGATAAGATCTTTTATAAATTTCTAGAATAATAATTTAACTTATGATGATAATTGTATACCAATTTTATGATTTTGAGTGATTTTTAATTACATGCACTACCAACTGAAGTAAATATTTTAAAATTTAGGGTTTTTGTCATGGAAAAAATTTAAAATAATGCATATGATGATTATTTACACTTAATGATTTATGTTGATTATTAATTACATGCACTACCAACTGAAGCATTATTTTTCTATTATTAACTCATATTTGATACCTAATTTAATAAGATCTTTTATGAATTTCCAGAATAATAATTTAATTTATGATGATAATTGTACACCAATTTTATGATTTTGAGTGATTTTTAATTACATGCACTACCAACTGAAGTAAATATTTTAAAATCTAGGGTTTTTGTCATGGAAAAGTAGATATTTATTGATTTGATTTGGTTTTAAATTTTTATAATTTGAAATAATGCGTGTGATGATTACTTACACTTTTAATGATTTATATTGATTACTAATTACATGCACTACCAACTGAAGCATTATTTTCTATTATCAATTTATATTTGACATTTATTTTATAAGATCTTTTATGTGTTTCGAAAGTTCAATTTTGTTTGAGAATAATCATTTAATTTATAATCACTTACCAATGTTATGATTTTTAGTGATTATCATTACATGCTCTACCAACTGACAAATATTATTCAGCTTTTGATTTTTGATGACTAGGGTTTTTATTATTAGGTGAGAGTTTATATATATATTAGTTTAAACATTCACTTGTTCAGCATTTTTATAATTATAAATTATACTTGTGGTACTCACATTTTTAATGATTTATGATTTTTTATCTTATTCACCACTATTACCTGATGCTTTTTTTACTATTTGTATTTGATAAAAAATTAATACCAATAATACCAATACATAATATTATGATTTATTTTTGTCCGATTTACTTATGATAATAATTTATTGTATGGCTATTAATGACTGACTTAATATTATGCACCGCCAACTGAACTAAATTATTTATTTAAAAATTTTGATTATCATATGAGTGGGTTTTTTTTTATAATTTAAAAATTGTGTTCAAATTTACATGCAATTTTTAATGTGATTATTTTTGAGAAATTCATTTATTTTATGTTAAGTCTTTATCTTTTGTATAGTAAGTTTAAAAATCTGATTCTAATTTATATAATCGGCCAATTCCAAATAGTTGTGTTTAAGACAAAAGAAAGGCAGTTCCAAATCTATGTTATTATTTTGATGTTTACTTGCACTTAGAATAATTTTATTGATTCTTAAACTTAAAAGTGTTTGTTTTATTTTGTAAATTGATCAATGATTTTTTCTAAACTGATATAAATATATTCCAATGAAGTACTACTTAGTTATGGTAGTATCTATACATTTAAACTATAATACAAGGCCACAAAACTATAATGTATAATAATAATTGAATTATTATTTGTAATGATAACTGACACTCAAAAGATTTATGTTGTATATTTGTTACATATACTACCAACAGAAGATTCTAATACTCTTTTTATATTTGATATAAAATAAAAAAACATACATACTTGCATGTAGATGCAGTAACTGTTGTGGGTGAGAAGTTTTGAAGGTAGGATACATATGGGAATTTAACTATGATTGTTTGAAAAAGATTAAAATTATAAAAACTTTATAACAACAAAAAATAAATAAATGATTGCCAATGTCAACCTTTTTTTTTTAATCTTTCAATCTATTTTAACTTAAAGAACCCGGTTTTCCTCATTATCTCGAATATTACTGAGAATTTCAAAAAAAGTGCTATAGTCATTGATAATCAGAGTAAGCTTTCTGGTATTATGATATTCAAACATTTGTATAAACTATTTTTGTTTCGAATGATACTTACTGTAAAAATTATAAAAAAAAAAAAAAAATTATTATTATAAATATCCTAAAAACTATTTATTTAATGTTTTATGTTTAAATTTTACATTGATTCACATGCTATGGCTCTGCAAGAATTTTCAAAAATTTAAATATTAAAGAAATTCATCATAATGCAGTTATTTTTTCTAATTTTATGAATATCTTAAAAATATTTTAGTTTTACTAAATAATAATAATACCTAACCTAACTGAACAATTTTTCTTAGAACCTTTTTTGTGTTTGCATTGATTGATTATTGTGTATGGATACAAATTTAATTTGAATACATCCTACCATCCTAGCTTGTCATCTTCAATACCCCTGAACATCCATTCGCAGTATTGCCTTTTTAAAATTGTTATAATGTATTTACATTATAGAAGAATTATTATTACATTAGGTTATACATGTTCATATTTTTTACTCAATTGTAAAATGTTGTATTTATGTTTGTTTAGGTCTCATTTGTATCTATATATATATATCTGTGGTTGTTACAAGAAAGGCTAATGTAAAAAAATAAATAAAAAATGATTATTGAAAATTGACAGTTAATAAAATATATGTATTTTTAAAAATTTGATGTAATCCATAATTATGTAATACTTTCTTTTTTCTTTTTTTTTTATTGGTTTTTTTACCTAGTCAGATATATTTTATAGACCAGTGGTCTTCAAATAGTGGGTCGGGTAATCTTTAAAATTTGATCGTGATAATTTTTCCTTTTAAAATTTATACAATTTAATTTAATTTAAAGTTTATACAATTATATAAGGTATAAGAATTATTGTTTAATTATTAAACTTAGAAAATTAATAAATAAAAATACAGTTTAAAAATTATTGTAATATATTATGTATAAATAATTTTGTATTATATTATATTTTAACGGACATAAATTCACAGTATATGTTTTATATACTGATATAATTCTTCATAGTATGACATTGAGTATAATAATTTACAATTAGACCGGGCTAGTAAAAAAATTAATATATTATTATATTGTTTAAAGAATCCTATCTATGAACATTATCGATGTTGTTGCTGTGTTTAAAGACACAATATTATAAATGTTAGTCACGTTATTATACTAGTCATATTTACGAATCCGTTAAACAATTTTTTTTCGTTTATTTCGTCAGCAATTTAATTTTTATTTATTCAGTTATAATAGTAGTACTACAAAGTATTAAGTAATTTTAGATTTTTTTTTGTTTTTCTACAAATTATTTCTTTAGGTGTGCAATCGGCCTTATGTGGGTCACGAAAAATGTATGCCTAAAAAAGTTGGTCGTGAGTCTAAAAAGGTTGAAGACACTTCGACAGTCTGGATTGTCCAATCACAATCATATAAATACTAAAATGAAACTTATACATTTAACTTAAATTATTTTTAAATTTAATTTAATATCTTGAAAAAAATCTTGATTGTACTTATTTGCTAATTCTAAAATTGGCGAAGAAAATATTTATAATAAAAAAAGTAGTTTGTTGGTCTCTTATATAAACTTTAAAAATAATTATTATACCAAATTATTTAACATTTATGCCAATCTGTCGTAAAGCATTTTAAACACTATTCAATTCATACTTAAAACAATGGTTTAAATGATTACTTGTCCTTTTAATAATTTGTATTGAATATTTGATACAAAGTTTTATGCGTTTCTATAAATAGTGTAATTTTTCTTTGCCTGTCTGCAAATGAAATTATTGTCAATTAAAATATATTGTTAGATTAGTAAACGTACAAATGCCTTACTGTAAGTCACCCAGTCAATTCAATCTGTAGGTATCAGTATATTTTTCTATTCAATGTATTTAAATATCAGCAATCTCTATTAAAAACGTAAATCAAATTATTCCTTTTAATAGCCTTCAAAATACAGTTTTATTAAAAATAATGTATTTACCATTAGTAGTATAGAAATAAAAGACTATTAATAATATTTTGGTTCAATTTACTTGTGATGATAATTGTTACATTTTATGCATAGTATTTTTACAATTTGATCTGAATCCATATAATTATAAACTAATGCTTGTTATTATTATTTAATCTTTTAATGATTTATGTTTATTATTTATTACATTCACTATCAACTGAAACTATTCAGTTTCTACATTCTTAGCATTCTTTAGCTTTTAATATTTTATCGGATACTAAATTAATAAGATACACTATAAGTTACTTTTGTTTAGAATTACTTATAATGATAGTTTGTCATTGTTATAATAATATAAGTTCTTTGTGATTATTAATTTCGCACATAATCAACCAGTTTGTAACAATTTACTATATAATTCTATTTTTGTCATATTCAAAAGTGTAACAGTATCATAACAAAAATTAAAAAAATAAATTGTACTAGCCCTCCAAAAATTTAAATTTATTTTATAAAGAATGTATTTACTGGGAATCATACGAATGGTGGTTTTTTTTTTTTTTTTTTTTTTAAATAATTTAATTAAGAAATCAAAGTTGCAAAAAAATTATGTGAGATCCATAGTAATTAATCTTATTTATACAATGAAAAAGATCCCTTTGTTTTAAAATCAACCACATAGTCTCAATCATTTAAATACGGAATGTTTTTTGATTGATATATTCACTTAATTATTATTATTATATATTTTTTTTTACAAACAATTCTATCATTTCTTTGTGTACAATATACCTGTTGCTGATTTTAAAATTATTTTCATATTTATTTCATGCTGTAGGGTCGACCGATAATGGCACGTATTAAGGCAAAACCAATGAATCGCATGGCAGCACCAATATCACCCAGTGCTGTTCCTGGAATGCCCGGCATGAAAACTGTGAATGGTTTTAGTAGAACTCCGCCAATGCAAGCTCAAACTATTAATCCTTATATAGATCAAGGTCCTGGTGTTGCAACTACTGGACCACCAGCACCTCCTCCACAACATCCTCAAGCCGCCAGATTGTTTTATACAAATGGAGGACCAGCTCAGTACGCACCAGTCAATTATGCTGCTAATCTGCAAGTATATGTAAGTATATCTGATTATTATATTATTTTTCACCTTAGGTATATTAATCATATCAAAATATTTGATGTTTTCGTTCAGAAAAATTATGTAGAATATTATTACTAAGTTACAGCAGCAGCAACAGTCTCCATATTACCCAACAAATATGATTCAACATTGGGCTCATCCTGCTACAGGTGCCTATTATACAACTGATCTTAGTGGAATATTTTCTGTAAATGGATTGACTCCACAAGGAACTTATACTAAACCTCAGAATTCAAGATATAATGTTCCACGTGCACCGTAAGTAGTTTCTCTTATTTTTTAAAAAATATACCTTGAATATATTAATGTTCCCAAATAACGATATTGATGAACTAGTGGTAGGAGCACCGGGAAAATGCGTCATAATTCTGTCAGCGGTACTGAATATTATCGAAGTTCTGCTTCAGATAGTGGTTTACCATCTCGCCCTGGTTACACATCTAATGGAAGTTTAACCAAGTCATCTAGTAGTAGTGGATCATTACATATTTCTAATGCTACTAGAAATTATGTTGACAATCATGACTCTAACATAGTAGATAGGCAATCTAGCGGAACAATCAACATCCCAAAAGATGCCACAACATTGCCACCAAGGTATTTATATAATTTTACCTTCTAATATTCTCTTAATCTAAAATAATAACATTTTAAATTAGTAATTTATTATGTTTCATAAGCAATTTGTGTCATAATTCAATTTTTATATAAATTGACTGATTCAAGTTATAGTATATAGTTAATTTTTAGATAGTGATGTACAATTGACACGTGTATTATGTATATACTTAAAAATGTGTTTCTTGATAATATTTATTTTATTTTCTCGTTTAATATATTTAAATAATTTGTTTGTGGAAAAATAAGAAGCCATCCACGCATATCTTGCTCCATTCTGAATCCAAAATAGTTACTATTTTTGCTATAAAACTAAATATAAATTATATTTGTGTATACAAATAATTACATAATTATATTATGTATACAAATTAAGAATGCAAGAAACAAATGGTACAACAAAAAATGTCACACTGCAGCTATGAAAATCAGCAGGGCTGAAGAAAAGTACATGAATAATGGCAAAAAGCATACTCCCTATACAAAGCTGAGCAAGAGATTTATCCAAAGAGAGAAAAGGAAATATTTCAACATAGTATTACAAAACTCAGAAAATGACCATACTCCAAGGAATGTTTGGAACTTTTTCAGTACCATCAAGTAATATCAAAACTGGAATAGACAAATTAATGTATTTGTATTAATGCAACTTGGAGCAAAAGCTTTAAGATGTAAGGAGTACTTTGTAAATCGTTTAAATTAAAATAAACTGATACCTCACAATGAGTACCAAAGAGCAGAGCGCGAGCTACACAGGTACGGAAGAAAATAATTGTACAAAGCCTTTTACAATGTTTGTCGAGAGATTTGGAATCAAGAACAAATGCCGGAAAGCAGGTTTAATTATTGATTTCAATAATTACAGAAGCACATTCCTCTTTTGAGCTCAGCATGTAAGATCTTCTCTAAAATATTTTTGACTCTCCTCTATCCGCACATAGATTTTCGGGAGAATACCAATACAGATTTCAGAAGGGTAGATCGACAACTGAACAGTTAGGGCAAAATCTAAAAGAAGTATGAATACTATATTTGTTGTCTTCAAAAAATTGTGACATACACAGAGATAGTTTATATATGGCATAATGAATAACTTTAGTTTCCAGTAAATGAAGCTAATAAAAATGTGCACGAAAGAAGTTGAATACAGGGTGAAAATTGATAACATGCTGTCATCACTTATCACGATGGATACAAGATTGAAACAAGGCGATTTGGTGTCATAGTATTATTCAACCTAGCTTTTTGGAGAAAGTTGTGTAAGAGAACTGCAAGTTTGTGAAGATGGTATTCGAATAAATCGTTAGGAATAAATTATTCCAACTTTGCAAATGATTTTCTAGGCAAAATTTAGAAGATACAATGATAGCAACTAGATTCCTGGCCATTGAAGATAAGAAAATAGGTTTTCAATAAATTAATGACAATAAAACCAAAATAATGGGACTACTTTAAAGTGACTGAGAGATTTCTATTGACTTAAAGGACGGCATTTAGCAGCCACGCTTTATATGCTAAATGTGGCCGCTGAGTACCGTTCTTAAAGTGAATAGAGTATAAAATAGTTAATGTATAAAAATGTAGAAGACATTAAGTGTCTATGTGCAATTCTAAATACTATTATACATAGGCCAATATAAACATATGGTTGCAAAACATAGACAACGAACAAACTAAACAAATGTTGAGGGTGTTAAAAAACAAAGTATGAAGAAGAATATACAGCCCTGTCTAGGATGAAGCAATATATAATTGGAGAAGATATAATAACTTATAAGGAGCTATACAATATAGCTGAAGTAGCGTTAATGACTAGTTTTATCAAAAGACCAAGGCCACAATGGCTTGGAAACATCGAGAAGAGGAGAAATGATTATAGTAAAAATACTAATGGAAATCACTTAGGGAAGACCTAGGAAAAAGTGAATTTGTGTGTAGTCTAAGAAGATTTAGGATGTGGAACATGTGGAAATTAATGGTGCAATACAGGACATAATATTGTACAGGCGGCAACAACTCTCAGAGTTGTAAAAGCCAGAAGAAGAAAATATATCAAATTACTTTAGTATTAAATTAATTTATGTTGTTTTAGAAATTCATATTAATCCTTTTTTCGTTTGTTATTAATTAATATAGATATAGGCGAAGGAAGAAAGAAGATGAAATAATAGGAACAGAAGTAACCACAGCTACTATACCCCAACAACCTTCTGGATCGCAAAGTTTTGATTTGGCAGCTGATGCTTTTCCTCCTTTACCACCTCAAGTTGTATCCATACCACATCAGTCACCAACTTCACTGTCTCATGACCAGCTGTCACCTCGTAATAATTTTGATCCTAGGTAATAACGAAAACCTGTCTTTAATTATTTATTTTATGGCTAAGTCAATTTGAAGTAAAATATTAATTTGTGTTGTTATAATATTTTTGAAAGATTTATGATGAAAGAAAATTAGGATTTTTAAATATTATTTAAGCAAACATTATTATAGATTTAGGAAGATTTTTTTTCTTTTAAAAAATACTGGTTATATGTGCTGAGAGCAAGGTGGTTGTAAAATTGAATATCTTAATAAAAATAAATCTATCATGTGCAATGTCCTAGAACTAATTATCCAAATCCTCAATTAGTTTTAAATTCACTTTTTATTTAAATTTGTATTAATCCAGTTTTGATATTACAGGGTTTCTATAATTTCATCATCGAGTATGTCGGTGGTTTTGCCTGAACTCTCTGTGCCTAAGACTGAAGATATACCCCCAACTGTGAATTCAGAGAGTCTAACAAATTGTGTACAAATAATGCTACCACCTGTTACTGTTCGGTCTGTACCTGTCACTACAATTGTTGATGATATATCGAATATGTCTCTGAGCTCTGTAAATTCACATCCAAAGGTTTTTATTAAAAATTAGTTTAAAATATTTGGTTGTAATTTAAATTAATTATTGTATTTTTAGGTTCAGGATATTGTTACAACTTCAAATTCTATAATAAATCCTACAGATAAGACTGTTATGCCAGCGAAACCTGACATTATAACTACTATGCCTAAAGCCAATGGTTCATCTCTTAATACTAAATCAAATGTACCAAATCATAAGGCTGCATTGCCATCACAATGTTGTGTTATCCCACAACCTCCTGCTACATTTTCTGCAGATATGGCTAATAATAACCCTGTAATTAATGGGAATGGTTCCCCAAATATTGGTCATAAACTAAGTTATGCACAAGTAGCTCAACATCACAAAGAAAGGAATGAAAGCCATATTCCTACCACGGTTATCACGGTAGGGCAAACTACTATTGCTGAGGAAGAAAAGAAAGAAGAAAACATACCAATTGTAACACCCCAATCAAAACAATCAAATCTTCAACCAGGTACTAAAAAGTGTTATAACTATAACTAAATAACCTAGTAGTTGTCAATATTGATATCTAATATCATAACATAATATTAATAAACACAGCATATTGTAGGTTTGTACTATTGGCCAGTCAAATCTTTTTTAGTTAATTGCTCACATATATATTTTATTATAATTATTAATTAAAAAAGGGTTTACACATGGGTGCCACTGTTGTAGGTGGAAAGTTAAGAATGTAGGATACAGACGGGAATTTAATGTATATGTAAGCAACAATAAACTATTACTAACGAACAAAAGATTCTGAGCAGAGTTTAGTAGATAGTGTTGCTTTTTCAATAATACAATATATGGTATATAAAATATTCTAGTAAAATTATTACAACAATGTCAGTTTCCATGACAACAATGATTTTTTTAAAAAGATTAGAATAATATAAATTAATAATAACAAAAAGTAAATAAACGGTTGCCGATGACAACCTTATTTTTAATTATTCAATCTTTTTTTACCTAAAGACCAAAATTTTCCTCATTATCTCGAATATTAATAAGAATTTCAATAAATGATCTCTGAAGTACCACCCAGAGACAATTTCCTAAAGTGCTATACTTCATTATCTGAGTATGCTTATTGGTAGAAAAACTGTTTACATCAATAAAAAGCTAATACATTCCTTGTTCCACTCAAAATCTAAAATGTATAAAATAATTTTATTCTTGAAACTAAAATGCATTGTAATTGTCTACAAAGTGGGAATATTAAATAAACACAATAACAAAATGTTAAAATATTACAAAATAGTCCGTATTCATCAATTACTTACAAAACCAGAAAATACTAAATAATAAGTACATTGTAATTAATAAATTATAAACATTGTATTTAATTTGATTTCAGTTAAATTTATTGTCAATTAACTAGACTTTGACTGGTAAACTTGAATAGATAAAGTAATCAGGATGTGTGAAAGATTCCCTGTTTACTATGCTTCATGAAATATCTTTTATAATGTTTTTAATGGAGCAAAATTACTGGGTAAAAAAATATCTAAACCTTGCAAAACTAAAATGCAATTAAAAAAATTAGAGTCATTGTGCAAAACAGAAAATAAAAATTTCCTACACGTTTTTACTCACTCACTAATAATTGTCAAATTTTTTTAGATTCAAGTAGAGCGAGAAATTTATTGGGTTTACAATAATGTTTATTTTTCTTTTCTACAACAATCATCTACCAACAATTTTGCTCCGATTTCCAATGATAGCACTTTCTCTGAAAGGGAATCTGACTGGGGTGATACTTTATAGAAATCAGTTTTTGATTTTCCCAATAGTGTTCAAATAAATAGGGAAAATAGATACTATAATTAAAAAAAATATATAATGCATATGTAATTATTTTACCGTATTGTTGCAAAGCAACACTACTAACCGAACTCTGCTCAGAATTTTTTTTGTTAGCAATGGTTAATTGTTGATATACATTAAATTCTCATACATATACAGGCGAGCTGATATACTAGATATCCGTATTTTAGGTAACAATTAGTAAGGAATTAAATTTCTTCATCAAATGTTTTTTTGTTTGGAGTTCAGATAAAGAAAAATTTTGAATAACAAAATGTTGATAACTGAAATAACTTTTGTTCCATTCATTATTTTTAATAGTTTTTTTTTAAATAGTATGTCTGCTCTACAGTTATTTCAATTATGAAGTCATCGTGGGACACCTATATATTAAGTATACAATAGTATACACAATTTTTGAAATCTTAATATTTTTTTTTAGAGCATATACTGCTAATGTACAGTGTAATATATAAAATATTAAAATAATTTAGAATTAATTTATGGGGTGGTTTTTTTTTTTTTTTTTGAGCACATTTTAAGGAGATAACTGGTGATTTTTAGGCCATAACAATAGATTTTTTAAATGATAATAATTTAATAATAGTAATAATTTTTTGCATTTAGAAGAAAAATACAATGTAAGTAAATGATTGTCTCTCCAAAAGCCTAGACTTATAGATAAAGTTTTTATCTGCCTAAAATTATTAAAATTTCAGTTCCCAATCTTTTATTAGCTGAGTCCCAAAAATTTTATATAAAAGTATTTATGCTTCTAAAAAATATTATAATAATCGTATTAATTGAAATCATAATTTGTATTAAACTAGATTATTTATTTTAACTACTGCTTGTCATAATAAAATATTTACCTACTATTAAAAGTTAATATTTTAATGATATCCCTGCTATACACTTTCTGTAAATTCTTCAATATTAAAATGAATATTATGTGAAAGTTCACATCATATATTATCAACTTGAAGGATCAAGACCATAAAAAAAAATGCAGAATTTAGAATACTACTGTCCTAAGAAAAAACTGAGTAAATTGAAAGAAAAATGAGATTATACTAGATAAACATGTAAAACTATATAATATTAAACGTAATTCCGTATAATCTCATTTTTTTGTTTCGATTCACTCAGTTTTTTCTTAGGACTACAGAATACATGTTTTATACAATACTGCGTTATAATCCATTCCAGCCCTAATTAATACCTCTGTGTATTAGCTTGTATAATATATATTGATAGTTTAAATTCTCTCTATTTTTTAATTATTTATTTCATTTTCTTGCTATAAATCAGTTCTAATCATATTTACTTGCACTATAGTATTATTTCTTATATAAAATATTCTGGATTGTAATATAGGTTTAGGTAATGTATGTAAATATATGTGTTCATTGAATGGAAACTTCTCAAGGTAGCAAATATCTTTGTTCTTGTCATAGCTTAGATTATATAAATTGTCACCAACATAGGTAATTATGTAACTTATGAGTTTCTGGATTATAGAAAACTTAAGTTGATCTGGTGCAACTTATTCCATATTTATCCATAGATATTAGATACAATATATAGCAATGGTAATACGTTTTGTGACTGCACTTATAATATATGATATAAAATAATTATTTTTAGACTTAATTTCATCTTAGTACAGCCTATTAAAAGAAGAAATTAAACTTGGAACTTTTGAAAGTGAAATTGTATAATTTATTTTTATTTTCTTATGTAAACAATTGTATACAGCAATATTGCCCTTTTTAATAAAATAAGTTTTAGATAAAAGTTTTTATAATTTTCTGCTTTTTTTTTCTATAGATGTTCCAATAACAAATCGGTCTGGTAAAGGACATAGAGCTTCAAATAGTGACCGGGGAACAACACCTAGGAAAGAAAGATCATCCAAATTCAATCATAATAAATCACCAAAGTAATGTTTTATAAGGTTTGAGTTTTAATGTAACTCAACTTATAAATAACGATTAAGTAAGTAAACTTATTTAAATTATTTTATCTTTTGACCTTTTCAACCTTTTTTCACATATGGCATAAGTACTAATATCATTTAATTATTATAGTACATTTAATTTTGAATATTTTTATTGTTTTTAGTTACAATAATTGACTTAAGTTTTTTAAGCATAAGGGTTTTATTTATGGATAATTTTTCAGTATTAAAACCAACACCAAATCACTACAAGTATGGCAAATTATAAGATAAAGGACTGGATGGTATCAACCCAAAAATTTAACATTATTTTATTGTTAGGGTTAAAACATCAGTGATGGATACATATATTCCCTGTCTTACTCTCATTATATTCTAACTATGTCCAAATTATTATGTTTATTGTTAGTGTTTTTACATAAGTTATTTATCTTACGATTGTTTCCTTTGATAAAAAAAAAAAAAAAAAAAATACATAAAGCAAAACAACTTTAAAACTAAATTATCTAGCGATATATACAAATACATAGATATACACATATTTAATTATGTATATATTAAAAATTTAAATAACAAAACTGTGATAAAAAAATTATACATTAACATTTTGAAGTTATACCTGTATGCAATACATTCATACATATTATATATTTTACCTTGAATTATTTAATCTCATAATTTGCATTGACATTGTTCAATAATAAATTTAATTAAATATTCAATGTTACAGTTTATATTTTATTTTAGTAATTTCTCCACAATTACTTTCCAATTCCTTTTTAAATTTTAGTAAGCTTATAATATTATATTTATATAATATTATTCTGCTTAATATCAAGTTTTCAGCTGCAGTATTTATTTTTTGACATAATTTAATGTTTGTTATTATATTTATTATATATATATATATAAATATACATGTGTGTATGTGTGTGTAAAAAAATAATTAAATTTGTGTGATGAGTTGACTGATTAGGTTTGAACAAAATTTAAAAGCTTTATCGTGGTTTAGTAAAACTCAAAGTTAATACAAAGAAAAGTAATTATTTTGTTTACATTAGATTATCACAGTATTGTTATGTCATTTGATTCAAATAATTTATTATTAAAAAACAGAATGCCTATTTATAAATATTATATATACATACTTATAAGCAATGTTGTTTTGTTTTGTCTTCTGTTTTAAATTATCTTATGCAAGTAATTTTTATTTCTGTAACTATGCGATATTATTTATTATGTCACACTAAATTATTCTAATTTTGATTGTATTTTTTTAGATTAAAAAGATATGTTAAAATCATTAAAGAAACAATATGATAGATTTGTTATCCATTAATGGACCAATTAAATTTTTTTTTATGTTCTTATTTAACTTTTTCATTTATAGTTTAATTTTCATTGATATAAAAAAATGTATAAGAGTAGAAATTTCTAGTTGCATAATGTAATGAAACACCTAGTAACATAATTTTTGATCCTACCATGTTTAAGATAAAGCTAGCTTATTTTAAAATATGGATTATAATATAATATACATCACATTTCCCTTGTAAAAGAAAAAAAAACATTTTTATTATTACCAATTAAATTTTGTTTATATGTCTTTGGAACAGAATAAAATTAAATTTAAAAAAAAATATATATATATAATAAAAAAAAAAAAAAAAAATTAAAAAAATTAAAAATTGAATTTAATGATGGTAGGTTAGAATGATTTATTTTTATACTTACCAAGGCCATAATGGCATAAGGCCAAAATTTTATTTACTAATTGTATTTTAATGTATAGAATCTATTATCTTATAAATTATATAGTTAAATGTAAATTAGTTAGTAATGTCACAGGTTGGGTTTTACTATCCTTTTTTTCTGTCTACTTTTCATTATTAATTTCTTTATTACCATTTTTATTTTTTATTCTAAATTTAAATGTTGACAACATTTTTTAAGATGACATTAATCCTCATTTGTTGTGTACCTATACAAAATTTGTTTTCATTATTTAGTTATCATTTGATCATATTGACTTAATTCCACATCCGTTGAAGAAAGCATTGTGTACATAATACTGGAAATATTTTCAAAACATTAAAATCACTTAAATACTATCATTGAGATAAAGTTCTTTCCAAATTCTGTCATTGTCAATATAATTAAATATTTATAATATTTTATGTATGAAATCTAATTTTGATATATGTGTGTTTAGCTTTTCATAACCTTACAACCTCAAAACATTACAAATAAATTTACACGCAGAAATAATAGAAAACTAATCTAATTTCAAAGAGTTGCATCTGTAATTTTTTGCTCAAATCTTACGGACCTGCCTTATCAACAAAAATTGACACTTAATAAATCGGAAACGAGCCATAATCTTTAATATTCAAAGACGTGTAATTTTGAATAGTCCATATTTATCTACATTTTTGATTTTGTAATTAAATTATTTAGATATTCATTAAACCATGAGATTTAGCTAAAAAATTGCTACTATAATAAATTTATTAAAAAAGAAAAAAAAATCTTTGAATCAAAAACATTTTACTAAATGTGCTATTATTTTCAATTTTTTATTGTCATTTGAATTACATACATTATACGCTTAAATAAAACAGTTAACAAATAAAAGACAAACTTATATTATGTAAATATATATTTATGTTCTAATTAATGGTAACTGGATATTTCTGTTTAATTTTATTGTTGAAGGCATAAAAAACGAAATTTATTATAATTATTATTTATTATTAATTTATTATTATTATTATTATTATTGATATTGATATTATTAATTTATTATTATTTTATATTACTATTTTGTTTATTGTTACATAGTGGTTAATACATTTCCCCAGTGTGTTGTTAAGGCCATAAATGAGTTATGTTTGTTGTTTATTGTTTAAAAATTAGAATAGTTATAATAACAGCTTCAAAATTGGCTTCAGAGTAAAGATTATAACAAAATGAAAAAAATATTGACTCCTCTGAATAATGGATGTTTATTAATTATGTATTGTTTGTTTGTTTTATTATTTCTTTTTTTTAGTTATTTAATTATTTTGGGTTATATTGTGTTATTTGTAATCTGTGAATTACTTGATACTATACATTTAAAAAGCCTTATATAATGTAATTAGTAGTTGGAGGATACTGGGACAACATTTTTTTTTCTTTTGACAAAATGTATATTTTTTTATTAATCGTGTACATACTTGTTATTATTATTATTATTATTATTATTATTATATATAATTTTTTTTTTAATACCTAAATAGCAAATTAACATAAATAAATATTTAAGTGGAATTAGGAAATAATTTCCCTTAGTACTAGTCATGGAAGGCTAATATTGATAAATATATATTTATACATAAATATCTATACAATGTGTGTTAGCTTATGGATTAATTTCTTAGCTGAATTTCCAATCATTCTCTTTTACTATTTGAAAACGAGTTTGCAATTTATAATTTAGTATAATTTCAAACCAGCTTTATGAACATTATTAACGATAATATATATAATTGATGCATATGTACATACTATGTTTTGTTAATGTAATGTATTGTACTGTACAATTTATTTATCTTGATATAATATCTTAAAGTATAATATGTAAATTACCATGGTAATACGATGTATTTTCTTTGTTAGTGTTTGGACTTTGTAATTGATACATTTGGGTGGTGTCTAGTTCGTTACTATTATTTTAAGAAAAATGTATTATAAACGCACAGTGCTCTTTGTTGAAAATGACACTCCTTTTAAAGTATTTATACACCATTTTTTCTGTGTTTGCTTGATTGGAAAACTTTAAAAATTCTTTATAACCTAATCTAATCGGTATCATTAATTTATCATTTGCCATGCTCTGACACAATTTGTATATGAAAATATTATGTATTAATGTATATTCCTTCCTTATTGAAGAAAAGTGAAGAAATATTACAAATAATAATAATAATAAAAAAAAAAAAAAAAAAAAATTGTATTAATTATTTGTTTAGCCTATTTTTTAATTTAATTGACCGGTTACATAATTTATTAATATCCCTAGTTATTCGTTTTGTTGATTTGTTTTCTTTAGGTGTCAAATAGGTGTATATTCTATTGTAGTCATTAAATTAATTTGCAAAAGATAAAAAATATTGAAGCTCAATAGTGTTAAATTATTATTCTTTTACTTGCCTTGGTTATGCATTGTTTTAAAATTATTTAGTTCCATTATATTTGTTGTAAATGTTTAGTTTTGTAATTTAAGTCAAATTCACTAATATAATATATATTCAATTTATATATAAATATTTTTAAATGTATACTCTTTGTTGTTATTATTATTATTATTATTATTATTATTATTATTATTATTATTATTATTATTAATATTATTATTATTATTATTATTATAATAATATAGTTAACAAGAATATTAATTATTTCCAAGGTAGACTACTTCTCTAATAATATTTAAGCTATGGTGCGTACTATCATCATATACCTTGCAATAATATTGTTTTTGCTACCTAATTGATTGAATTATTTTCATGTTAGTATCTAATTATTTATCTTGGATGACTATTGACATTACCTATTTAGTATTTACGTAAGCCTTCCAGGTCTTTATATAATATATAAAGTTAACAGTCAGTCCTGGTATTCCATAATATATTGTTAGGTATATATGTTCATAACTTAATTATAATATTAAAATTTCTCCTCTTCTCGATTTTCACTGACCTGTACTATGCCTAATTCCACTGTTTTTGTTACAAAATATTATATAATAATAATAATCTTTATTAAAAACTGAGTGTTTATTGATCATATTATATATTATTAATAAATTGTTACATGTGAATTCAAACGGTAACACGATATATGGTTATTATCAATAATAATTTCAAATCGCATTAACGTTTGAAACCAGTTGACTGATCCATTTATTCTGTTTTGAAAAACTATTTAACTTATTTATATTTATATTTTTTAAAAATTCGTAAAAAAAAAAAAAAAACTTATTATTATACTGATAATTATAATATGAATATTTAAAAGAATAATAAAATTGGTTATGTAATTATTAAGGTGTAAATAATATTATATTCTTTCAAACTGGATTTCATGACCAACTAGTAAGAAAATAATATTAATAATATTAAAAAAAATTAATTAATGATTTAAAGCTTGATTTAGTTGTGTTTTTCTCCTCTCAAAACAGTGTGCGATGGACGTACAAATTTTATGTGTTTTATGTTCATGGAGTCTTGTTTGATTTTGAATTTTGTGATATTTGATTATTAATCTTATAAATACATACATTATATATTATATTATATAAAGAAAAACAAATAGCTGATGTTGTTTTATTGTATTTTATCATAGAAATGTAAAAATTATATGGTAATTTTACAATAATGTATTTGTTTTTTACTTAAAGATTCTCCTGATCCTAATAGACATCTTGCACTTCCTAATTATGCAATGCTCAATGTGATATAATAATTTTGACTTCCTATGGTTTAAATTTGAAAGAGTGCAAAATTTTAAATACCTGGGTGTTACAATAAATAGCAAAAATAATAATCGCGATGAAATTAAAATAAGACTAACTGCAGCAAATAAATGCTATTACGGAGTAACGAGTATACTAAAATCAAAACAGGTATCACTTAAATCAAAAATTACAATATACAAGGTTATTATCAGACCATTCCTTTTATATGCGTGTGAAACATGGCCAACGACTAAAGGAGACGAAGACAAATTAGCAATACTCGAAAGAAGAATANGGTATGGGCCGGTCATGTATGGAGGTCAAATGGTCTTATGAAAGAGGTTTTAAAATGGAAACCCCAGGGAAAAAGACCACTTGGCAAGCCGAAACAAAGGTGGATTGACAAGATGGAGAAGAATTTAGCAGAGATTGGAATACGAGATGGAAAAACAACAGCACAGGACAGAGATAGATGGAAGCAAGTTTGTGTTGCGGTAATGGGCCTCAATGGCCTTTAAAAAAAAACCGATGAAGAAGTTTTTTTTATGGTTTTAATAATTATATATGTACCCAAGATACAATGGATTTGTTGTGCACAACTACCTCAAATGTACTGAAGGGACCTAAATCTAATTTTTTTGTTTTCTCAAGGCGAGGGTTATAAGTCTTAGACAGTTGACAATAATTTGTAACCAGTCTGATGGAAAAGGAAATTGTAATACCTTAATACAGTTTGCTAATATTCATACGTCTGTATGTTTATCAAATATTAACAGCATTAGCGTTCCGTAGATTTTTATTTTAAAATATTGTGAAATAATTGGCACACGTCGTATAGAAGGTATAGAATTAAAACTTGATTTATAAATGATAACTACCTATACAGCTTCTTCGTACGAAACCTCCAGTATAAGGTCGCGCGCACATTGTATACGAATTTGTTTCGTACGAATACTGGTCATACGAATTGATTGCGCACACTGAATACGTTTTTTTCCGTAAAATAGTCAAGTGTTCCGGTGATTACGCATCGTGACGTCCTTATTATTAGAACCTTATTGTTATAACCTTATTATTTGAACGCAACGAATAATCTGTACCTTCAAGATAATTCTCTTCTAATCCGGAGACGGCTGCGTCGTCGTCATTATCGTAGAACCGAATGGGTACGGGAAATATATTTAAAAAGAAATGTATTCGGTGAATTGCATCATATTATGGAAGACTTATATAATGACCACATACAGTTTCATGGTTGTTTACGCACGAAGAAAGAAACTTTTGAATATATTATATAAATTCTTCATTATCCATTTTATTTTATTTATTCATTTATCCATTTCCGGCGTACGAACGTTAATGAAATCCGGACAAGTTCGGATTGTTTGTTTTCGTACGTCAAAGTTACACGTACGAACAAATCGCACCCAGTCTGCGCGCTCGCATAGTATTTGGTAGGCCGGGATCGTACGTGCGTGTACGTACAAGTTCGCACGAAAACGCATCCAATGTTGCGCGCGGCTTAGATTCGTGCACAAATTATGAATGAACGAAAATTAAACGCGGCGCCCAAATCGCCCGTGTATTATTAAAAATGGAAATGCATTAAAAATTATTGTTGGGATAGTTAAGAAACGTTCAAAATTAAACATGCGCGGTCGAATGTGCGTCTCATTTTTGTGTGTAAATAAATCCATATAAAAGTACGATTAATCGCGACGTTCGAAACGCACGAATCGCCTATTAGGTAAATCGGTCGCCTATTTTTTTTTTTTTTTCTGTATAATGTGCAATCCGCTTAGAATGTAGACATCCAGAGGCGGATAAGCATGATCCTAACGGCCTGGGAAAAATAGAATCTTGCGGTCCACATGATCATATCAAAGATTCAACAAAAAATTTATCTCAACCTTGAGTGCACCAACACCTACCTTTTTTTTTTTTTTTTTTTTTTTGTTAAGAAAAAAATTAATTTAAAATGTTTTTACATACATTTATTAATGAAGAATTATTTCTGATTTCTGGTACTTGTTCCAATAACAGTGCGTAGGTCTTCTTGGCAAGGGAGACAATGATTTTTTCCTTCCTGGTCTATTTTCGAGTAATTGTAAGTATTTAAAAAATAATTTGAATCAAATTTTATTCGATTATAGTTACGAAAAATGTATACAAATATGTCCACCTAAATATCACCGTTTGTACGGTACAAGTTTTGAACAACTTTTGTTCGGCTATCCAATACTAACGGGATATCATAACAATTAGGCCAAGAAGAATGTTATATTTTAAAATTGGGGGGAGAATGTACGTGATTATAAAGGATATGTAAATTTGTAAATTATAATATGAACAAAATGTACTTACCTAAACCCCAGTATTTAAATCCAAATAGATTATTACGTAATACTATGTATATTATTCTAAATGACAACAGAAAGCCAAAACCAGAATGAAGTGACTAGTTAAACAAAATTTCACTGTAACGTCTATGTCAAAACATTTGAACCATTTTTAAGATTTTTATAAAAATTGTAATTTTTTGTTGATATTCAGTTAAAAATATTCGTATGAAGTTTGTTTATGGACTTGAAGTTTGGACAGAAAACTTATATTTGTCTTTTCTAGACGTGGTAAAATTTTCAAACATTTTAGACATTTTTAAGCTATTTATAGAAATTTAAATTTTGCGAGTTTTGTACGAAATTTTTATTCGATAGATATTCTGTGGTAAAATTGTTAAACATTACTTAATAGAAATTTTTGAAAATTTAACAAGATGTTCATTAAAAGTCATACTTTTTTTTAAAAATTAAACTGCTCAAAAATGTTTATCATAATCGTCTCATACAGACGATTTATGACAGTAATTCCGTGTGTATCCGAGAGCTTAGCAGTTTTACACAACAATATTTTTTTTTACATTCTATTTTTATTATCTTGTGACAGTAGTTTTATGTTGTATACTTTATGTCTTTATTATTATCCCGTGGTTTTAAATCTACAAAGAGTAATGGTAACTATGTATGTTCACTTGTTATTTTTGTTTTTAGGATCAGATTTCTTCTTTATCTGTATATTGGTTATTTTGATTCCCTACCTACTTCGTGGCCTTGGTCGTACAGTTCATTAGTTATTATTCCCATATCTAAATCCATAATTTATAACCTGTAATGGTTATATCTTGTAATACTCGAAATGGTTTTTTACTTTTTAATTGGTAGGTACACATGATATTCAACAATATTTTCTTTTAATATTTTTATTGTACTTCTGAATTGACTTTCGATTGTTGTAAAGATTCTCGTCACGTCATTTGATAAGACTAAACTGTTGTTCATTTCCAACCGGTTTTTCATACATTATAAAACAAAAAAGTTTTTGTAATAGATAATTTTATTGTTTGAATTTATCAAAATGTTTAACACCTTTGATAGTTAATGATGGGGGGCTTATAAATTAAATAAAATAATAAAATATAACCATTTTAATACTTGTAAATAAATACATAAAAGTAAAATAAGTAAATGAATCAATGCATCACCTGGAGTATTATGATAAGTGTATTATACGACCGATTTCGAATTAAAAAATCATCATCAAGTATACTATAATCAAAATGTAAAATGCGACTGAATATAAAAAATTAAATGAATTCACATAGGAAAAAAAAATGTTGTATTTACATATTTATTTAATTTACTTATATATTTGTTAAATATTAACATTATTTGGGTTTTTGTTATTTTTAAGTGTAGATTTCGAAGTTATGTTAAGATCTTTTGAAACTGGTGTTTTAAAAAAGGAGATTTTTTTCTAAGTTTTCATCTACTTTTGTATTTAATAGTGTCGTTTTAGCTGCCAATGCTGATTTACTATTTTTTATTTGTAGTAATGTCTGACTGGGCTGTAGTTGACGAAGTAGTTCGTTAGCGTTTTTTAATTCCGCCAAAATTGTTTGAATTTCTACATAGGTCGAGAACCATCAGTACGCCGTTGTACAAGCGTATGGCCTACTTAATATTATATTATACAGGCACTTACCGATGTTATGTGTGGTAAACGTTTTGATGTTAATGAATTATTGAGAAAAAAAACAACGGAATGTACGGCACTCGAAAGCGAGAACATACGTGTTGCTCCTTCAACAAAACAAATTACAACCAGTCGTAATTTGTGATAAAAACAAAATTAACTGAATACAATAGTTTTTTTTATAAAAATCGTTTGAGTAAAAAGTTATATGGAACAATTCTAACTTTTCAATTTTTTGTTTTGAACATCAGATAATATGTATATTAGAGTGGTTCTTTTATGGCGGAATTTCTTTTCAGACTCCCTCTTAGTTCTAAAAAAAAAAAAATATCTTGAGCCCTATTTAGATTTTTTAGGATAATTCTTTCGTCCGCCTATAACGAGGTGAAATTTCCCATTTAGTTTTTCAAGAATTATATGCCACTATATATATAATTAACAGAAAGAAAGTAGCATATAATTCTTGAAAACGTTTTTTTCCATTTAAAGTAGGTATCTTCTCTTGCATAATTTTCATGTAAGAAAAGAATGTTACGTCAATTTTGTATGTTTATATAAACAAATTTCAGAATAAATGTTAAAAATAATAACCTATTTAAATGGGAAACTTTACCTCATTACAGGATGATGAAATAATCCTAAGAACCTCAAAATATTTTTATTTTTTTTTTTAGAACAATGTTAGGGGGCGTCCAAAACCACCATCACCCTAATGTATACCTATTGCCGATTTAAGAACGATGGTGAAGTCAGATATGAGCGGACTGACTTAGTTTCGATTATAGCTTTTTTAAGTTCTATTATGCGGATATTATACGATATCGTGTTATTTTAAATATTGTCAATTGTATAGTATGTTTGTAGTCTGTTAAAGTCAAGTAATGGTATGTATGACGTACCTGTTGTCATCCTAGAGATCTCGAGTTCAAACCCGTGTTCCGAAAAAAATGTTTTGTATTTGTTTTTTCCATTTACCTAAACAGGGAAAAAACAAAGGTGTTTTTGGTGTACCTAGAGGCCCAAGCCATTTTACGCTCGGACTATTTCAATCGCAAAATAACCTCTCGATTTATTGTGCAAACTTTTCTACCAGAAATCTTGATCCTATGTATCAAGTATAGCACCTTTTCTGAAAGGAAATTCTATCTATATGGTACTTTCCAACAATTGGGAAAAACTGGAGAAAACCGGAAAATGTGTGAAATATAGGTATTAGTAAAAAAATATTACGGCTTTTTATTTACAAACAGATTATAAATCTCAACAAAAAATAAGTAAATCAATAAACTATGTATTATTAACAGATGTCTTGTTTATAAAAACTGTTAGAAATAAATTTATTTTATACCTAGACAAAATGTAATTTTGAAGTAGAATATTCAGGGCTTGATTTTTTAAAGAAAATATCTAGAATGGCTGTACCTCAACATGGTTGATATCGCTATGTTATTAGAAGCTGACATAATTACTGTCGAAAAATATGTAATTAATAGGTACTGCATTTTTTATAAAATGTATTAGCTGCAAAACAATTTTCCTTTGCGGTTTCCTGCTGTATGTTTGATTTGGATAATCCTTTAGGTAAGATCTATCATTAGTCAACTATCATACACCTAGCTACTCCGTTGGCCTTAACATTTTTCTTCGATAGTCCTTATACCCTGATGAAACCTTTATTCTTGTTCCTTGTTATATCTAAACATCCAAGTTGTTAGGAAATTTTTACAAAAATAACTGAGTAAACGATGCAATTTAATGCTCCAAGTACAAATTATATTATAGGTATGTAGGTTATAATCGGTTTATACAGAAGAGTTGACATTATCGATATTATTAGAAATATAAATAACTGAATAACTTGGGTAATTGATCGTAAAGAAAATGAGGAGTAATTTGAGACAGTAGATACCACAAAATTATTAATTATATATAATACTATATATTACCTATACAGGGTATCCTACAGTATTATTCATATGCTAATATTTCTGTCAATATTCATACATACCCATTAGCGCTAACGAGCGTTCAAGTAACACACAATTTTTTTTTTAACGAGTGGTGAGTTAAAGTCTCTGTAAATTACAAATGAACTTTTATGCAACACAGCATAAGAGATTGAAACCAGTATTAATAAGGTAGCTGATAGATAACTAAATTCTGATTACCAGAAAATCATAGATAGTAGAAATCAAAATTCAAAGTACATAAATTCAAATGTAAAACATGCCTTGTTTCATAATTTTAAGCAATTATCTTTAAAATGATAACTGAAAGGATTAAAACAAATGTTAGATAGATAGTATGCAAATAAAATAATAACAATGTATAAAAATAACAACAAAATTTGTATTATTGTATATCATATAATATAATATATAAATAAATAATAGGTAGTTTATTTTACACAGACATTTAGGAATGTTAATTTATTGAATATATTTATAGTTTACAAAATTACGAGTTGAATCTGTAACATATCTGATTTAATAAAAACACTTTGTATTATATTTATTACTATACAATTTCAAATTTCCAAGACTAGTACCATATTACATTAGTCTTTGGCTATAAGTTAATTTTAATTCCATGAAATGAGTAAAGGATATAACTGAAAATATCCAGAATATTATTAATGTAATCAGTGACGTAAATATTAACCACGACAAATGAATACATTGTAGAATCTTCTTTTATTATACCTAACCTAGTAATGATAATTTAAAAGCTGAAACTATAAGAGCTAATTTATAATCCACAAATCAAGCTTTATATCTTGTAACTTGGCTGAAGTATATAATTTGAAGTTAAAATTACAATATAAACATTTTTTTTCTTTTTTGCAAAGCCAATTGAGAGGGTTATAATCCCTAACAATCTTTTTATACTTCTCTGAACGCATTAAAATCGAAGTGTTATAAATACAAATATAAAGTCTAATTAAATTAACAAATGAGTATATTAAATTATGATAAATAATTGTTGATTACTTATAAATTAACATTATATTGGTCATGTTAAACTAGTATTTTAATTTAGAAGTTCAAATAACTATAAAAATAAGTATAAGACTATATGTTATAAATCATACTAATGTATTGTAAGTATAAAATTTATTTTCTTTTGTACAGAGTATATTTTATAACATATTTAGCATGTATATATTGAAATAACTTTTTTTTTGTGAGAATAAGATATGGATGATCATTTAAAACTACCTTATTCAACAAAAAATAATAAACACATTTTAACTATCAAAACAATGAAGTATATATTAAAAGAAATCATACTATAACCTACATTCAATTTTAGGTAAAAATGATCAGTTTTATTGTTTAAATAATAGATTTCACAAAAAAATATTTTAATCATCATTGGAGGATCCAATTATAGCTAAAATATACATAAAAATGTTAATTACATCCATATAGATGTTTAATGCTGCGAATATATATTCTTCTGGAGAAATAGAATATTTGTGATCACCACCTACCATTAGTTGAGTATCATAAAGAAGATATAGGGAGAATATTAATGCCCCAGCACATGAAATTAACAATTTTATCAATTTCCCAGGGAAAAAAATGGCTACAATAGATCCAACCAACAATACCAAAGTTGCAATCAACAAAAAACCGCCCATCACTGTAAAATCAATTTTAGTTTGAAGTGCAAATAATGTAAGAGCAAAACATATTAATGTGGTTAAACCAAGGGCCAGAAGAACTTCGTTGGTATAGTACTTGGTTGTAGTTACTGCTACAAGAAATGATTCAGCAAGAGTAAACACAAACAACAAGATAAAGTTAGTAGGAGCTTTACGGCGTAAATCTTCACAGCACGCAAGAGCAATTAAAGTTCCAAAAGTGATGATAATAGCAACTAAACTAAGACCAGGGTTAGAAGCGATGTAATTTTTGGTAGGAATATGGAATGTTGAAACAGCTACACAAAGTAACGTAATCAGTAGTTGACACATAATGATACTGTAGACTTTACTGAAAACAAAACATTTGAATTAAATATAAGAAACATTTAAAATTTCTTAAAAATGTATATTTACCTAATGAATTTTCTGCGTATAGTTTTATCACTGAAGCCAAAATTATCTGATGCATTGTAACTGTCGTTTTGTGGTGGTGGCATATTTGGGGATCCATAATATGGTATATTTTGTTGTCCATACGAAGGAGGTGGATACCCACCGCCACTAGGATATCCACCAGCACTAGGATAGCCACCGCTAGGCACATAAGCATCATCAACTTTTGGGTATGGTGCACCTTGAGGATAAAATCCAGGTGGTGGTGGCGCTAAAATATTTATATTTTTAATATTAAGTTAAAATATTTTTTAATTTTTAGTTTTTAATAACTATAATTATGAAATATATAAGGTATTTAAATTGTATAGATTAAATAACTGTGTGTAACTTTTTAAATAAGTATCCAAAATATCTTGAAGCTTTCATATCTTGAGTTCAATTTATTAATGTATACACTTTTAAAATAAACAGATCTTCATTTAAAATATTTAAAATATGAGAGATAAACCAACTTCTTCTCTTTCATCCCAACTACTTGGGGTTGGCCATCCTCGTCCTTAACTTCTACTAAAATTGACACAATTCCCCAAATCGCCATTACACAGAGATACCATAATAGATAAGTAGAAAAAAAAAATACTTACACTTATCAAAAATGTCTAGGTGTTTCTCTATCTTAACTTAATCCTAAGGTAACCAGAATTAAAAAGACAATAAAATTTAGTTAAGTTTAATAATTAAAATAAAATATTCCCAAGTGCAGTTTTTCCAGTCTCGTAATCTCCTGAACAGCTGCATTTTTAGAATAACTAAATTTTCTGGTTTTTTTTTTTTTTAGTTTAACACAACATTTAGGTACATTGAAACTATTTTGTGTCAATCGTTGAAATTTCTGATCTTTTTTTTGTTTAATTATTTGTGCACTACATAAAATTGTATTTTTAGAAGCCTATAAACAGAAAGTATTATACTTTTTTTAATTGAATTCATAGAATTTGTCTAATATTTTTCATGTAATAATATCTATTGTTGTCCATTCATAAAGAAATTTATTTATTGTGGGAGTTTTTTCATTATACATTAGAACGGTGCTCATCAGTTGCACCCTATTTTGGGACACTACTTGTATTCTAAATAATTCTAAACAAATTTGTATTACTTTCGAATAGCGATCGGCGTAGTTAATGAAATTTTTTTTTATCCCATAACATTTCTTTTTTTTACCTGCAATTTCTGGCATAATTGATTAATATTATATCCCCCATTATATAATATCCTAATTAAATAAAATTAGTCATTTATAAGAAAATTAAAATACTTGGTAAACACAATAATATTTGTGTTAAAATAGGAATTTAGATAATTAGGTAGACATTCACCTATAAATAAATATATTATACCTGTTCCAGATCCATATGGAGTTTGTGTTTGTTGCCACGTACTCATTGCAAAAATTTAAACTTGAATTAATCTGAAAAAAATAAATTTAAAATCCAGATTAGTATAATTATATTTTAAAATATTTAAACTATATAATATACTTATATATCAATAATATTAATAAGAAACATTTTTAAATAGTATTTTTTATTTTTTCGATTTAATTAGGTACCAATTTTACTAAAATTATGATTTTGGCCTCTGGGTTTATATGTTATTGTTTAAATTTGTAAAGTTTCCAATTTATTTTGGTAATATAATAAGAAAAAAAACAAGTTTAAAACTGAGATATTGCACTTTCAAAAAAAAAAACGACAGATAAATAGTTTATTTTGCTATAGACTTATGATTATCAGCCTTTTTTAATTTGACAGAATACTTGGTTAAGTTGCTGGAAGCACAATAAATTGATTATTTTATATAAATGTTATCAAAACAATTATATTGTTGATATAATAATTAACAGTCTCAAAGAAAAATAAAGATTTGACTGAGAAAAATAGAACTATTATCTTAATAAATTTATTTATATAAATATTTATATTATTTATATTAATATTCATTTATCGTACTAATGAACAATAGTTAGCTTATAGTTAATGGTTTAACAGTATAAATAAAAAAGTTAGAAAAAATATGTACAGACAATAACTAATCTTTTCTCTGTTTTTAAACATTATTAGAAAATTACATATTTTTCGGAAGGTCTAACTAAAATAGTTGCATGCACTTAAAAACTTCATATAAATTGATTAGATAGTTAAAATGTTAATACTTTATAGTTAACTAACATAATCCAAAAACTTCAAAAAAATAAAAATAGAAAATACCACTAGTTAATTAAAATTTATTCAAAATTATTAATTTTTTTTGTCACGTACAAAACACTATTTATCATATTATCCCTGGTAATAATTTTAGTGGATAAGAAATGACAGTTCTAGATAGCTGATTACTTGTATAATTATGAGTTATGATATTAAAAACCAATTTAATTAGTATTGACTTACTAAGGTTATCTAAAAAAAAAAAAATAGATATAAAAACAAGAAATTATGATAAGAACCTATTTAGAATACATATATACAGAAAGGTTAACAAAACTTCTTTTGTTTTATTGACTTTCCTTCCCGTTTTGTTCTTATTAAACTAAGAGACATCGGAGACTAGACTTTTTATCAGCCGATAATTAGTCGTCGGGTTGGGCTTCTAGCGCGCACATTGAGCCAACTAAACAGTTTGATTGGTAGTTCGCAAATCAGCCAATAAGTCGGTCGACTGTACTGGAAAAATGTTGCTGGCTGATAACACTTCTACTGATGAGAACAGTCACTTAAAAAATGTAATTACTGCGTTAATAAAACGGAGAAGAATGTAGAAGAGAAACTGAGAGTATTGGGTGCATCCAATCTAAAGTAATAGATTTTTTTATCGAATGAACTTCTACTACTACTACCTTCCCACTCCAAAGCTTTGACCAAATGAAGCTATCGGCCGAATCGGCGTATGCGCGCGAGGATTGATCGCCATAGTAATTAAGCAGTCGACCGATACCAAATTGTTTTAATATGCACTCTTGCAAACATCTTCATAATAATTTAGAACCCTACTAAACCATCGGCCGATAAAAATTCTGTAGTCTGGGATGACTCTAAGAGTTTCTATTAAATACACACGGAATACATATATATATATAAAAAATATAAATATAAATTTTAAAATAAAAATAAAAATATTCGTTATAGTATCATACAAGTGTGTATACATTTTTATAGCATAACGATGATAGCAGAGAAATATGATTAAACAATGTTATCACTATTATTTTCATCTTTAAGTTTATGTAGATGAGAAAAAGAAATATAATTTTTAAAATCTCTTTAAACATTTAATAAATTATTGTTTTTTATTTCATTATGAATATGGTAACTTTCTAGTAATGAATTTAAATATTTACTTTTCTGTGTGCAAATTATTGATTTAATTTTTTTTTTTTAATGCTATTTGTGATGCTGTGGTTACTTTCTATAACATGTTTGAAAAAGTTAGATTTGAAACTATAATATTTGGTACTTATGTAGTTGATGTTATTTTTATTTTTATTATTGTTGATGTTATCATTATTTTTTTTTTTAATATTATTATGTATTTTATTAATAGTTTTTAAGTTATAACCATTAATTTTTTTTTTTTCAATAAATAAAAGTGTCATTAAATTTCAAATACATACATACATATAATTAATTACATTTTATGAAAACAAAATTTCACAGTTTGATCTCCTATAATATAATTCAGTTTTTAATTAATTTTGTTCATTTTGTATAATTATGTGCAAATTATATTTACAACAATTTATTGTGAGGAGCGGCAAAATACTTAGCGTCATTAGTACATTTATTGGAAATTAAAGAAATTATTCATTAACTATTAATAAAAATAAAGTATCCGTGGAAAATCAAATTAAATTGAAGCCAGTGAAGTTATTTCAGTTTTTGAGATAGATGGGACCAAAAGTTTTAATCAGCCATAATAAAACGAAAAAAAAAAAACCATAACTAACCTATTCCAAGGAGGAGCAAATGCATCACTCTACATTGTTTAGGTATTTATTACTTTGACAATTACTCCATTAGGTAACTAGGGCTCCAGCACCCCCCCTGAAATCTCAAACCCTATCTAAGCCTATGATTTACAGTTAAGAATTTCTAAGTGGAGTGGGAGTGAAGAAGCTTATGGTTTATGTTTATTTTTTTTCTGTGGACAACTTTCCTACCAGCAATTTTGCTCAGATTTTCAATGATTGCTCTTTTACTAAAAGTAAATCTGAGTGAGGAGGTTCTTTTGGATAGCCATTTTTTGATTTTCCCAATAAATGGAAAAAAATTGGTAAAACCGGAAAATAGATACAATATTAAATAAATATTATTAAAGAAAATATACAGAAAAATATATAATGCATAATACGCTATTATTTTACCATAATATTACACGTATATTACTGACAGAGCAACACTATCAACCGAACTCCACACAGAATCGTTTTTTCGCTAGCAATGGTTAATTGTTACGTATACAATACATTTGCCCTATACCTTCCTAATTTCTTACCTACAACAGTGGCCCACCAATGTGCAAAGCATGTCCATCTTTTTTTATATAATAGTTAGCTTAAAAAGTAGATACATAATTGTTATTATTTATTCAATTATTATTATCATTTATTGTCATCAAAATGTGTTTAATAAACTAATAAAATTGGAATGTCCAATCTACTGCTCATAAGATGAACATCTAGATGAAAAATTTGCCGGCGTAAACCGATTTGAAACACCTCAGATGATTGATAACACTGTCAACGAACCGGGTTCATTTATAACTAACATAGTTGTAGCTTGTATTTGAGCCATTAAAATAAGGTTAAAAATGTTGAGATGTCAAGAAAAGAATGATTTAACTGTTGTACTCGGGTCCATGATAAAATTTCTTAACAATATCAGTATTTCGTTCTATTTGAGTTAGAGATCAGCACGGGCCGGGCCAGCCCGACCCACACAGGGCTTGATCTAGGCCGGGCCATAATTTAAATATTACGGGTTGATTATAGGTGGGATTGTAATATTATTCATTGGGCCGGGTCGGTCAAAAATAAAAATCATTAATTTAATTTGTAACATTACGTATATGTATTCTATATCTATAAATAATTTTATTACTAGACTGTATATTTATAAATAGATCACTGGTAAAAACCAAAAATATATAACAATAATATATTACAGTTTTATCTTTATTATTATACGAATATGTTTTTCATTTAATAATTAATAATATTATTTTGTCGACTGGCAAGACATAACAATAAATTAATCCACTATTCTCAGAGTGGAAGGATGATTGTTTGCCAATAATCTTATAATGAATTTAACAATGAACTGAACATTTATTAGAGGGAATCATATAATCAAAATTAAGATATTTAACAATTGTAGAAGGAACACAATGATAAATTGCCTATAATGGCTAAACTTGCATCAATAGTTTTAGCGATGCCTGTAAGTAGTGCTCCAAGTGAGAGGTCTTTCAGCACATCAGAAAGAGTTATTGAGGAAAGAAGAACTCGACTCAAAGGTGATACTGTGGACTCCCTTTTGTTTTTAAATGATTTTTACAGAAATAAAATGTAATTATTATAAGTTGATTTCTGTATTTTAATTATATTTTATTATTATTAATTAATTAAATTGGCAGGGTTAAATTTATATTTAAATTTTAATAAAATTTAGCATATTTTTCTCTGATATATAATTATTGTCTACTAAGTCAATACTGAATGGAAATAAAGTTGAAGTATATTTTTATTTACAACGACAGTTTATAAGTTTAAGTTTTGGGCCGAAAAAAAACGGCCGGTGCTGATTTCTAATTTTAGTAAATTCTCATAATTTTACTAAGATGGTTTAAAAAATATTCTATAAAACCCTGAAACATATGTATTTTAAGTAGGAGAAAATAAATTAAAGTATCAATGTGAAAGTGTATAAATGACATTTTTATTGAATCTTAGCACTTTATCTACATATATTTTACTGAAGTATAGTAAGAGTTATAACATTATATAAATAGGTAGTCTAAGAAATCTATTAGTACATGGTTAGAAAACCTTGACAGAAATTATTATTACTATTACATGAATATTCTTTTTTGCATAACAATTAATTGATGACTCATGAGTAAAAACCAAATTTTGCATAAAATTCATATTGATATTTTCTACATCGTGAACATGCAGTCAATGGGAATCCATAAAACGTTACTTAATTAATTAAATAACAAAATGGTATATTGTACATTTTTGCATATTCCAACCTTAGTGCGTGTTCTGTATGTTTTTATCGAGGTTTTAATATATTTAATTACTATAAATAAAAGCACACACAACATAGTAAAATCAATAGATCCCTTGCTACGTTCCAAATTTAAAAGTACAAAAATACCCCCCAAAAAGATGAAACGTGAAATACACTTTAATAAATTATTGTTCGTCCATAAATTTTTCCTACTTCTTTCATGTTAACAATGTACTAAATTAGATAAATAAAATACTATTTATTTGGTTTTAGTAAATAGATTTTAATTAACAATGTATAATTTAAAATGCTTAAGCTAATAAAAATTAAATAAATATTTAATTTATATACAGCATATGTATGCTATATTATATATTATACTTTTTGTTTATTAAACTTATAATAACTAATAATAAAAAACCTATTAAAAATTTAAATTTTATTTTGCATATTTCATAACTTTTTCTTAAATATTTTGACTTTTTTTAGTGCTTGTTTGCATACATGTTTAACAATTATAAGTACATATAAATCCGATTATTACTCACGAGTCATGACGTACTGCCTCTAGTCTTTACCTAGGAATTTTTTTTTTGTATAACGAATGATTGAATGACTAATAAAGATTATGACATCGTAAGAGATAATAATATCTAGTTCACATATTGAGATAACCCTACAAAAACAATCCAAACAAGATGGAACCAAGTTAATCGTAAAAAGGAAAATACCCTTGAAAATGCTTATATTAATAACAGAAAATAATTAAAAGAAAACAATGGCATTTTACATATTTTTCAAGTTAAATAATGTTGATAAATTATCACCCGATACCTATTGCACTTGAAAGAAATTGTTGTTTATGCAATCTTTAGTGTTTTTCAACTAATAACTTAATATTGATATTTTCTTATTAAATATATGACTTTATTTGTACAGTATAACAGTCTGATAATTTTCCTTTATGACATTTTATAAACAGTGATAATTTAAACCTTAAAAAAAAAAAATTCACATGATTCAAATTGTCCACATAAAATTACTGCTTGTCAACTAAACAATTTTTTTTCAATAAATAAGATTTGATGGTATTGTTATATCTACACAAATAAAAAATATCTAGGTAGGTACCCTAAGTTATGATGGTGATTTGTTTTTATTATTTTAGTAATATGGGTTAATACCCTGTATTATACAAACCTGTTATGGGCTAGGAACAATAAGAATATATTAAGATAATGGACAGTTGTATGAAGCCACCCAGTGGAAGTCAATAGGTACCTACTACCTACCTACTTGATTTTTTTTAAGTTTAAACCGTTAAGAAAACAAGTGGGAGTTTCTTTTAAGACGTTTAGTTGGATTTCTATGGTATGTAAGCGTAACAGTTAAAATGAGGGTTGGTATGAAAAGGGAGTTAGGGAATCTTAAGTAAAATAAATTAATACCGTTTCTTTATAAACGATTTTGACTTTGTTATCTATGTTATTTAATTAAATTATAAGGAGGGGCATTGGTGATTGAATTTTGTCAATAGGTACCTAATAGATTCTTTTGCATTTCCCCAGTGTCAATGGAAGCCATAGTCACGTTGATGTTGACGCAACAAACGCGAAACCAGAAGAATCCATAAAATTGGATTTCACGCAATTCGGTGAAACCTAAACAACCTTGAACTTAAAATTGCGTTTTCGCGCATCTCCCCTTTCCCCTTCATCGAGGAAGGGACGTACGGGCAGTAAAAACACTTCTAATTTACCAAAACGATATTATTTCTGCGTGACGGATTTGAAGTGACAAAAGAAACTCGCGGCGGTCGAAATTACATCAAGGGAAGTACCGACGGGAATTTCCAGGGTGAAAACATTAATTTTATTTACCTGTAGTAGTTTCTGAAGATTCGATGTCAAACGTCGTTGTCCGGCGGCCGACGGTCTCTTGTCCCTGTATCGATACTGTGTAAAAGGCGAAACACTGTACGCACCAAGTTTAATACCTAATAATGATCACAACGGTAGTGAACGATAAAAATAATTTTGTAAAATTGCACTTTATAGGCACGTAGGAAAACTACAAAAGATATTTTTAATCGGTTAGATATCTACGCAATTTGTAGTGGGGAAAAGAAACACAATCAAACTCCAAATTGAATAATAGGTTGACGAATGACGACTGTTGAGTAATAAGTATGCTCGGGAATCGGGTGTTGAGAAGGCGGTGACGTCACTACTGCGCAGTGCCACTACCACAACGCTTTCGAATGATCTAGAAAACTTTACAAGTCAATACTTCAATGGTGGGAGGGTCGTATCGTTATCCGAAAATGCAAATCTTGGACTGGAGTGGGGCACGGGCACAAAATAGCGAAGGTGGCTAGTGAGTTTATTATGGGTTACTGTTTACTGGGTTTCGTCCAAAAACGATTATTTTTCGTTCTCATATTTTTGCAGGATGGCCAACCGTCGTAAGCCACTAATATTTTTTAACTAACTCATCTACTTGATAATACTTATTATAGTTCACTTGTTGATAATATTTATCAATCTTAAGGTGTTTTCCCATGTTTCACATACGCACATTCGACCAGTTTCTTGACTTTCCGGGTACCTACAGTGCAAAGTTTCATGTTTATGCGCCTTATCTTTTGTTTATAAAGGTGCCTATCTCGTATGTATAGTTTTTAATTTTAGATTCTTAGTGGCTCGAAGAAGCTTATAGTTTTACCAAGATTTTAATTTTTTTTTTTGCATTTGTGCCCAATTTCTCTACCAGAAGACTTACTCGGATCTATGTATAGCACCTTTTCTGAAAATGTACGAAATATAATAAATAGTTTTTTTGTCTGTAGACAACTTTTCTACTAGCAATTTTGCTCCAACTTTTAATGATAGCAATGTTTCTTAAAGAAAATTTCATTAGCTAGTTACTTTTTTGATTTTCCTAGAAAATGTGAAAAACCGGGATAAAACATGAGAAAACTGGAAAAATTGGTATAACATTGAAGAAATTTGATTACAGAAAATATATAAAGCCTATTAATACGACAAAACATTGCTTAAGAAAAAACGATTCTGAGCAGAGTTCAGTTGATAATGATGCTTTATAAAAAATATATAATATGCTATATTATAATAAAATAGCCTTTATATATTTTCTTTTATAATATTTGTTTAATGTTATACTGATTTTCCTGTTTTTTTTTTCGGTTTTTCACGTTTGATGAGAAAACTAGGAAAAATCAGATAAAAAAAAAAATAATAAATACATTTGTAAAACTGTAAACTTCTTCGCTTCACTCAAAATCTAAAATAATGCGAACTAGTCTATTCCTAGACTGCTGTAGAATGTACTGTGTGATTGCATTAGTAGAAACAGATAACTATTTAATTAAGTAATAATTTTACTATAAATAATCAATAATACCTAATAAATTTCTAAAATTACAACAGCGGGTAATTTACGGTATTTTATGCATGCTACCTATAAAAAATGAAAATACGTACACAATAGTATTATTATAATTTAACTATTTTTGGTTATAGTAGCTGAGCATTTCTGTTTGGTCTAACAATTTTATCAAGAGTACGGTAGATATCAAATACAAATTACGCAAAAAACTCCCAAAATTATAATGTTAATAAATAGCTCAAAAATGAATAACTAAAGTGAATTTAATATTTGCTGAATGATAAAAATATCAAAATTTAATTGCAGTTAAAAATTATTTTTCTTATACCTTATAATATTCAATCAAACAATTATATAAATAAAATGGTAAACGTATAGACTTATACCTATCAGTATATCACACTAATTTTAAATACAATTAACAAAATAATATATGATTTAGAAGGGTAGAAAAATTTTATTAAATTTATAATAATTATTGTATTACTAAATTATTCAGACATGAAACATAATTTAGTCGATATCCGCCTTGCTATAAGTAGGTAATATAAAACACAATAAATTGGTTTGTCGTTGATGAAATTTAATATTCATTATAGATACTATTGCAAAAGATAATTTGTATGTAGGAAGAACAAAACATGAGGGAAATATATTAAAGTTCACCACAAGAAACACATTGGCATATGTTAAAAAGCTTAATGATCCATAATATCTGGAACATACAGAGCTACAGCCCAATGTTCACCAAGTGAAGCCATATATTTTAAAAACTTTTTACTAAAATATTTATCTAATAACTCTTCTAGATTAATGTTACTCAAGGTTAAAACCATAATTTTGAGTATCTTCCTAACAAAATGTTTGAATTTATAATTTTGATTTCAATGGATACATTAACTACAAATTATAAAATAATTAACTGAGTTAACTAAGTTTTCATACTTATTATTTAAGGAAATAATAATAAAATAATAAAAACAATCATTAATTTAATAGCAAAGGTAATTGTTTTTATTTAAAAAATCAATACTTCCAACAATAAATAACATACTAAACCCTAAAATTAAATATGATGCATTCACATAAAATGGTTATTTATTGCTAGTTTTAAGAATGCTAATATTTATTGCAATTGAAACTTCATGACAATTATTAAAACAAAATATATAAAAGTTCTACATGTATCATTATAGTTAAGAATATTATTTTACAAAATACCAATTTACTAAGCTATTAATTTTGATCTTTAAGGCTTAAAACTACTTTCTCTTTCAATCCAATCTTTTTTTAAGGATTCTAATTTTTTTCGTTTCCATTCTTTTTGTGCGTTCTTTTTTTCAGCAATTGCTTTTTTTTGTTCTGCAAGTGACTCGTTGCCATTTTCTATTACATCTAGTTTTTCAATAAGTTTTGCTCGAGCTATTTTTCTGTTGTCTTCAACACATCTAGATTCGTGACATTTAATTACAATACCAGTAGGTTTATGTTTTAATACAACACAATTGGAATTTTTATTAACTGCTGAACCTCCAGGTCCACTACCCTTCACAAACATTTCTTCAAGATCATTTTCATTAAGAATAGGTACTTTTGAACGATCAATAGTTTGTTTGCAGTTAAATAATGTTAAGCTTATGTTTCTAATCTTTAAATTATTATTACTATAATTTAAATGATTTTTTAAAGGCAATGTTTTGCATAATAATGAAAACATGAGTACAATTGATATTTACACAGTTTAAACTATAGATTTTCTTTTTAACAATTCACGTCCTTTCTGAAACAAATTAAAAACATAATGTTATAAATATGAACAAATTATTATAGAAAGTACAAGCAATCTCTTTATAACGATAAATATAAGTAATTAAGTATTTAGCTTCATTGATAAAATTAAAAAGTAAATTACTGTTTTTGAAAATTTAATAGGTAATATTACAATAAATTAACACGGTTAGATTTGAGTTTAAAAATACTATGACAATAACATGTTGTTAAATTGAATAAATAATATTTGATTAGTTCTCGACTAAAAATGTAAAAAAATATTGAAGCGGTGCTTTATACTATCTAATAATATAATTTTATCTAAAGTATAATAATAAATAATTCTAAAAACACTAAATTTAATTTTAACTTTTATAGCTGATAATCAAACTACTAAAATGAATAGAGTAGTTATGATTTTGCTTGTATATTTTTTAAAAATGAATACTTTTGGTGATTTATTTAGGCATATTATGTATAGTGACAAAATGTGTGAATATTTTTGCTGTTAATACATATTAACCCAAAGTTTTTTAAGTTGTTTTAATAATTTAAATATTTATTTAGACTAAAGCGCACTTTACTACATGCCTAACAAATTTCATGCGGAAACTATTATTAAAAAAGTTACAGCAAAAAAACCTTCAATTTGGCATAAATACAGTATAGCACCATTGCTGGTTTCTCTCAAAATGTGTTTTAAGGCAATAAATTATTAGATGTTTTTGGCATAATTTCTTTAACAGTGGGTTCTAAAAATTAATTCAAACACTTTTAAAACCAGCACCAAAAAAATAATTTTTCAAAACAAAAATTGACTTTTCTTACCATGCACATTCGCCAAAAAGGGTGAATATTTGAAACAAACTCCCCACGACCTAATTCGCCTATTTCATTTTAGAAACAAAGAAGTCAATGGAAAACTCCATGTAAAACTAATGACTGATGCTTAACACATAATGTATGGAATATAATTTATAAAAAGGTCTATGCCGAATTAAATCCAGAAATAGTTTTATGAAAATGACCAAGTGCAGGGGTTGGATATTGTAAAACCAATCTGAAAAAGTAAGTTATCTTGAAGATACAACAGAGATGTGTGGATATGCCGAGGTGCAAACAATGAACCACATGTTAAAATGCTTCAAATACCCAATCACCTGCAACTTTTGTCCTTTTTGGCCCTTGCAGAGAAGAACTAAAATGCTGTAGACATGGCTGTGATAAATGAAAATTAAGATAGAAACACTCAAACTACCAAAACAAAAGAAAAGTTACCAAAAACCATACCTATTTAGTTTATGGCAGTGATTCTTAAATTGTGAAAAGCTCATAAGTAGTATGTGATGAAATTTTCTGATAAGTGAAAAAAAGTTATTAGTTATAATGCAGTTTATTAATCCATAAATATTAATAAAAACAATAACCATATACATTTAATTTTACTTTTGTATATTAAATGGTTATATAATTATGTAATTTTATAATAAAAAGCTCCATACATGCAAAATGACACACATTTTATTTAATAAGTAAAAAAAATTTGAATAATCGTATCAAGTAGTACGATATGAAAAGGTTGAGAACTGCTGATCTATAGAACAAGTCTAGTTTACCTTTGCTTTCCATTTTTTTTAATAAATGTTTTCTATTAGTAATTTTGATCCAATTTATAACGATAGCAATATTTCTAAAAGAAAATCTGGCTGGGGAAGTACTTAAAAGAGGTAATTTTTTTGATTTTCTTAGGAGTTTTATTATCAAGTTTAAAAAAAACCGAAAAAAAACTGTAGAAAAACCAGAAAATATCAGAAATGTAGGTATTAGTTAAAACGCATTACAATTTTTTTTTCTAAGCATAATTTTACTCAAATTTATAATGATAGTGATGTTTCTAAAAGGAAATTTGACTGGAAAAGTACTTTAAGAAGGTTAATTTTTCGATTTCCCCAAGAGTTTTCCAAGGAAATGTGAAAAACCGAGATAGAATATAGGAAAACTGAGAAAATTGGTACAACATTAAACAATTATTATAAAAAAAATATAGAGAGCCTATTTAATGTATAATAATAAAATGACATAAAATTATGTACATATATATATATATTGTTGATAAAGCATCACTATCAACTGAACTCCGCTTAGAATTGTTTTTTCGTAAGCAATGGTTTATCGTTGCTTATAGGTATATATTAAATTATCTAAGACAGTGGCTGCACCTGTCTCCATTATCCCAAGACATCTTTTATTTATGCAGATTTCAGAACTGTTTGAATTTTTTTGCAGAAATCATTATTAAAGAAGTTATGGAAGTTTGAAGTTTGTATTATAGATACACCTAGAGATCTTACTTGCTGTGTTCGCTCGGACTGTTTTAAACGAAATATAACACTCAATTTGTTGTGAAATATGACGTCAGATAAGTAACAAGGAAAAACATTAAAAGGGATAAGTTTCAAACTTCCATAACTTCTTCACAAAAAAATTCAAACAGTTCTGAAATCAGCGTCGAAAAACACATATTTATAAACAAAAAAAATTGGAAAACAAAGGGTATTTGGTAAACTAGACTTATAACTTAATCTATTGCTAAATGTATGACTAATGTATTGTTGCCTAATACGATGATAATAGTAAAACAATTTTGAATTTTGTTGAAAAATTTGGTTGAGTGCACTAGTTCCTTCTTTTAGGTATATTAAGTGATCGAACTAAACTACAGAAAGAAATGGATAAACCTTTTATTTAAAAAATAAATAGTATAAAACCCTAATACTACCAATATATTATGCATAGTTGCCTATAACACATTGTTGCTGTTCTATAACTTATTAAATTAATATGTTATTCTCAAATAATATATTAATGTCTGGGTTTTTAATTTTGTAATAAGGCTTATTCAATTAATAAATCAAGTTAATAGGTATTTTTTCTTTCAAATAACTGTAAGAAAATTGTTTCAATGTAATGGATATTAGATTAGCGTATTAGCGTAGCAAGGGAGCTATTGGTTTTACTAAGATGTTTATTTTTTTTTTCTACTTTTTGTCTGTGGACATACTTTTTCCTAGTAAACTTGCTCCAATTTCTACATGTAACAACTTTTCTGAAAGCTCAAGTTGTCTAGATTGTACTTTAAAGAGGTCATTTTTTTGATTTTCGACGCCATTTTAAAATAAAAACACTTAAGTGGGAGAAAACATAGGAAAACTTACAATTTCACAATTTCATTATTGAAACATGATTTCTACTAGAAAAAATGATTTAATCGAAAAATCACAAGATACTTTTTTTGTTGCATTTTTGATTTACTTTCTTATGGTATAACCGCCAAAACTTTTGAGCTCTTAAGGAATTTTAATTTTTGAGTTTTTTTGCTTTAATTTGGTTATAAATAAACAAAGATTTGAAACTTGGTAATAATACTTGTATTGGACTTTTCTAGATATGGTAAAATTTCCAAAGTCATTGGACGATTTTTTTTCTTTTAATAAGAGTTTTGAAATCAAATTTAAACGAAACTCACAAAAAAATTATGGCACTTCAAATTATGTATTACTGAACTGCGCTGAGAATCATCTTTCGTCAAGCAATTGTTTATTGTTGCTTGCAGATATAAATAAAATAACTTTATGTATCCTATCTTCCCAACTTCTCACCTTTAATAGTGGCTACTCCCATCCCCAGTATCAGCTCTTTTTTATGGTTATAATTCAAAACTTAAGACAAAATATAATACTGGGAAATCTTAAAAAAAAAAAAAAAAAAATGTATACATAGGTAAATACTAAAATGATTTTTATAACATTTAAACTACTTGTTTAATTTAAATATATCTAACTAAACATTGTGTATGTTAAACATAATAAAAATTGTAAACTTACATCATAAAAAAACTGAATTTCATCAGGCTTAACTAATTGTTTATTGTCTAAAAATTCTTGTTTAATACGACGTTTATAATAATTTTTGTCGGTAAGTTTCAAACTACAGCCATACTTCAAAAGTTCTTTATACAATTGTATTACTTGTAAACGAGTTATAGTCATGCCTAAAAAAAAAAAATAATAATAATGTAAAATAATAAACAAACAAAATACTACATTTTCATATTACGATACAGTGGATAAGTATGCAGAAGCGTGGAATAGAACTACGGTGTAGGTATTCTACTTATTTTCAAAACACAAAATCTTAGGCAATGATAATTTTAAATAAAGTATCACACTAGATTTAGAAAAATAACTGGTACCTATTGGAAATTATTAGTATATCTCCCAATTACAATTTGTTTGGTTAGGTTAGTCTATTTTGTTCTAACTAAAATTTTGTATGATGACCAAATTTTTCAACGGAAAACTTTATTAATATTATTCACTGTCCACAATTTATTTAGTTTCTGTATCATTAAAAATCCGAATATGAACAATTTACTATATACTCGAATAACAAAATTTGAAATACAAAATACAAAATTTGAATTTTTTTACCAGCACTCTATAATATAGTGTGAACGATTTTCTAACCTGAAAGAAGACGATAAGCGGGATGATTCTCGTCTTCGGTATCTCACCAGTACCCTTTGTATACAATGTAAATATGGGTGGTTTACATTAATAATAAAAATTAATTAACAATATTCCAGGTTGTTGTATATTATTTTGAAATATGTACTAAGGCTTATTATCATAATCAATGGCTAACACAACGATTCGCAGCGTTGTAAAGATGGACAACGAATAAGACTTAATCTTGAGATAGAGACAGTGATGGACTGTTTAATTATGTTATCATTTTTATCAATGCGAAACTATACGAACCATACTACCAACGTAATCAAATCGGTGGCATAGTGGCAAGCTCGATCTTTATATGAAATAAATGGGATATTAGGAGTTGTCAGAAAATCGATGAGATTTTTTTCTGTTTTAGTTTGAAATATTGCCAACGTTGAATAACAAAATGTTTGTGTAGATATTTTCATTATCAATAAAAAAATAAAAAGTATCCCTAAAATTTATTTTTTAGTGCGTTTATTTTCTTTTTAAAATAATTTATATAATAATTTTTTTACAATGGAGCATTTGATTGATCCCGATTACATGTTGCCAGGTTAGGATTTATAAAGCCAAAATATCTAGAAATGTTTTCTCATCTATCCGAGCAATTACAAAGACATCACAATTTACGTATATTTAAGAATAATAATCAATTTACTATCATTTTTGTTATTTATTACAATTTTACAGCAAGTAATTTATGATATTATTGAACATATTAATGGTTTCATTGTTCATAAACTAACAACTAAATTAATTTGTGATGATTGCACGAAAGTTTTAACTTTAACCCATTCTGAATCTGGATCATCATTAACCAAGGTGGATTAACTATTCACTAGTGAATACATAATTTATTATACAAGGTTTACGAGCATTAAGCGTTAAATTATTGCATAGGCAAATTATTTTTTTTACACTGGTTACACTCTTAATACAAAAATGATTGTGTCTTTATCCTTAGTAGTTTTCTGACAACTACTCTGTACCCAGAATCAATAAATTATCTTGATGTTTGCTGCTATTCACAAATATAATATTATATAAAAACTAGATAGCCGATTCCATATACAACAATTTACACAATTGAGATATCTGTGGTCCTATTAGAATACCATGCAACCGTGCGGGCCTAGCACTCACATGTTATTACTTATGTTTCAACTTAAAATTTTTATAAACAATTAACAAAACGTTATGTAGTTATGACCATGGGCATTGGGTGTGTTGGCATAACTCGATTATTGTGCCTTTTCGAGGCACTATTGTATAGTATCTCATATTCGAATATCTATAATACCTACTTAACTACAGTTAAGTTTCATACATTTCTAATAACTTTAAATAAATAATAAAATATGCCTATACTAATATACAGGTTACATACAGTATTATCCTTATGCTAATAATTCAATATTAATTTTTTTCATTTTTGATCCGGTTTGTACGAGGGGGACACATATGTAGAGAAAAATTTGATTTCCATCCCTTAATAACTAAGAAAAATAACTTTTTATTTTTCTATTTTTAAAATTTCAAAAGAGCCATTTTGTAAAATATATTATTCTAAAATAGTCATCATACATTCATATTCAATAATAGTTTCTTAGTTATAGTGACTATCAATGTATAGAAAATAGGTGTGAAAACATTGAAAACAATTAATATTCAATAGAAGGAATTACCGTGCTGATTGTATTCTATTGTATTGAACATTGTTTTCACGCCAATTTTCTAGAAATTAAAACGGCTATTACTAAGAAACTATTTATCGGATAAGTTATTTTAGGTATTATTTTTGTAGTTTTTATTGGTGCTATTTATCAAGTTATATCTTGTTTGATTTTGATTTTGAAATTGTATATAATTCATAACAGATTCACATAGTATTAATTGTTTTTAAATTGATTGAAAGTTTAATATTTGATATATATTGAATTCATTATCTTTATTTAATAAATTGTTTTCAGCTTTATTGAAAATTATGGAAGTTAAATTAGTAACTGGTTTATAAGAATGCTGATTTTTAAGTTGTAATTTCTATGTATTTTGTGCTACTAAAATATTAATTTTATCATTAATCCTACGCCATTTCTAATTCTTTTATATAGTAATTTTTGTTGGATGTGATTTCCAAAGTGTGAAATCTGTAAGTGATTTAAATTTTGGGATAAAATTGTTTCTAAATCATTAATCTCTCTTACTATTACCTATTTTTTCCCGAATACAATTTTTGTTACAGAGTTCAACCATATTGTCTCTGCTACTTTCTTGGCTTTAATTGCAGCTTCAGATGTACATTTGTTATGTATATTGATGTATTTTGAAACGACTTTCAATTTCTTACAAGTTTTATTGAAGTAGATATTCATATTCATATTCATTAATTTCATGTTTAAATATTCAATCCTAATTATTGACCGAGTTAGAGCAATGGCTTGGCCTGCCATAATAAATAATAAAATAATAGAGTAAAAAAAAATTATTAAAATGTTTAATACTCGTAAATAAATAAATTAAATAAATATATAAATTAAAAATGTCAATATATTGCATACCTATATGATCTTAATTTATTAATTTTCTTACCAATTATTATGAAATTATAATACAGATAATGGAGTACAATTACAGATGAGTATATTATATATAAAATTTAAAAAAAAATCCATATTGTAATAATTTTTTGCCTATTAACATAATGAATTAAATACATTTATTTTTCTAACTTTTTGAGTGGGTATGCGGCGCTTACCTTTCTTGCCATGACAACACGCCACTGCCCCTAATTCAAATTTCTCTAAACATGTTTTAGAAAACAACCATAATACAAATTTCGATATTAATACAGACTTAGAAATATTAAATACCCAAAATAATATTTACATTAATTTAGTTTTCAAAGAATTATACATACACAATGAAATAAAGAAAAATAATTTTAATAATATTTTGAATGTTCAAACCGATTAAATAATATCTTATATCAATACATTTTAGATAATAAATAATAACTAAATAATTTGTATTTCCTAACATATCTATGTCTAATAATAACTAATTTTAAATAATGTCTCCTATTAAAGTAAATTATTTCTATATTATATGTAAAACGAGCAATTTGTATAATATTTTTCTATATGAATATATATTCATTTAATTTTTTATATTCAGTCGCATTTTACATTTTGACTATGATTTACCTGATAATGAATTTTTAATTCGAAATCGGTCGTATAATACACTTATCATAATACTCCAGGCGACGCATTCATTCAATTATTTTATTTTTATGCATACATTTTTTCTTTACACATTTATTTATTTTATTTATATTTTATTATTTGTTTAAAAGATATCGAACAAATAAACATTGCATAGCGCATTAAATATTGATTTTATAAATTTCTATAGATTATAGAGCCTGTTTTTAATACAGTCAGGTTTTTTTTTTTTTAAATTATTTCGTTTTTAATTCAATTTAAATCTTATTACTCCCATTTATTACCTATATAGGTATACATTTTTTATTCAGCCGTGTATGGCTAAAATAGAATAATTTAAAACTTTCATGTTATCAAACATCGATTTTACGAACAAAATACAACATAACACCTATCCATCTTTACCTAATTATATATATATGTAAAACAAAATTGAGATAGAGATGGATAGCTGTGGTCTGGACACGTCTCCATAAAAAAGTAAATCATAGTAATAACTCGACCCCGTAACTTACGACGCAGGAGGAAATATTTACACGTGTCGTACACAAACACCGCACGCAGATAACTACACAATTATGAAAATATTAATGCTATGCTGCGCTGTCCGCAAAAAACCGAGAATACGTCAATTATTCAGTGTTCACTGCTCATCATTATTGTTCTCCCTTATCGCCGTAGTATGGTCGTCTTCGTCTTATCAACGATTCAACTCCAACATCTATCACTACCGTCGTCCATAGATCATAACTGATATCGTGTCGTTCTTGATTTGGTGTTCTGCCTCCGAGTATCGAGTGTTTGATGTAAAAAGTGGTAATCGTCGACACTTGACAGTACGTTCGGCTGTACATGTTTGGATCATCACATCGGGTACGGAAATGTCTCGGCGGTTACTTAAAATAAAATGTAAGTCAATTCTGCAGCTGCCCGTCTTAATGTAACGCCCGTTTTGAAAAGAAGTCGGATGGTTATTAAATTACCTAAGGCTCTATTACTATTCCCTACCTACCTACTTAACTATCCGTGTTTTTTCCTATCGATTCTATTTATTTTTGGCCGATTGTAAGGTGTGGATTTCCCGGACATGGAATCTTCTTGAAAGCTTACCGTATCTGTGCGATTTATATTTTCTCTTTTTCCAAGGGCTCTCTGTTGTTCAACTCAATTACATCTTGTCAGTTGTATGTATCCATACGGAATCAATAAATAATAAATATATTTATTGTTCATCATTCACATTTGATATTTAAAATTTTCACTTTTTTTTCAATATTAGCCATCGAGTATTTATAACGTTATAATATATAAATTATTATTGTGATTTGTAATGTAAATACCTATTGTTTGTTCTTGCATTTTTTATATATACTCTGCAATAAATAATAATATTTATTAAATCTTAATCTAAAATTAAATACTAATTTAAATAAAAATAAACTGTGTTCTTATAATTCACATGCAATCATATGACATATGTTTTTTTCTACTCCTTCCTTCATCCCAATTATTTGGAGTCGGCCACCCACATTTTAACCTTCCACTTGACTAGATCTCTCACCTAGCTTACACCAACTGTCTTTGTATCATTCTTAATCGCATCCAACTATTTTTTTTTTTGGTCTTCCACCTAACCTAACCTTTTATTTTTATTACAATTCTTACTACTTCAGATTTCTCTCTTTGTAAGACATGCCCAAACCAATACCTATCAGTTTATTTTCTCATTTTGTCTATTATTGAAGCTACCTCTTGTGTACTCATCCCTTATCATATTTTTTATCATCATTCCACTCATCCACCTAAGTCTTCAATGTATTTTCATGTCTGTTACCCTCATTCTTTGTTCTATTTTTCTGCCTACAGCCCAACCCTCTGAACCATATAATATAGTCACAACTTTATGTCTAATTGGAATTCTCTTGTCACATAAAACACAAAACTTCCTCTTTATCCAATCACACATAATCCTATATTTCACATACTCATGAAAGCCATTATTCTTTTATACAAAAAATCCTTGATACTTAAAAATCTCAACTTGTTTATTGTAATTATCTGTCTTTGTTCTGTTCCTTCAAACTCATAATTTGTTTTATTTCTACTTATCCTTAGTCCATTTGTTTCAAGACCTACTCTCCATTCTTCAAGCCTATTATTAGCTTATTCCAGATTTTCTCCTATCAAAGTTATATCATCTGCAAAACATTATATACCATGATACTTCCCATCTCACCTGTTGTCCCTGTGCACAACCAAGTTGGGATAATCCACCAAAGACTTGTTTAGAACTTATACTGTTTGGTAGAATTTTATACTGGCTGTCGACTTGACGCAACCCCACTTGTCACTTTTTATGACAGGAATACGTACCATAGGGGTATTCTAATCCCCTTTGACAGGGATAATGACATATTATAGTTATACACCTATAATTTTATTTTAGGAAATTAAATATTTTGATTTTAGTTTATTTTTATCTATTTGTGTGCTAAATATAATTATAAATTATAATTTTAATAAACAGATCTTTAATTAAATGTATATCAATAATCTGCCAAAGTTTATACAATAAAAATAGAAAATAAATTTTAATCAAAAATTTAATCTTAGAAATTCAAAATATTAGAGATTTTTTCCAATATTTAATAAATTGTAATTTTTTTAAATTTTTAAGTAAATATATTTGTATTAAAATTTAATTTAAGTAAATAAAATCATGTGATATTTTTTTTTGTTTAGACCTATCACTTTATCTGTTAATTTGTTGTTGATTAATTAATATTATAGTACAGGTATTGTGTAATACAATGTAAACATGAATTATGTGGGTACTAGGTAGGCAGTACAGTAGAAGATATAATTTGTTTAATCATCAATAGTGTATACTTGATTTATGACAACATTTTTTTATTTATTACAACATCCTGTTAAATCTAAATCTAAAAAATACAAATGTAGTCATCGTTGCTAATACTGCTAATCAATGAGGAGTGTATACTATTCAAATTAATTGAATATAAAATTGGAAGATTATTTATTTCGCAACATGTTATAATAATAGTTATAGTGTACCCAGGTATAATAATTGTGATTTTACTTTCTTGAAACAGTTTAAACTGTAAAAATGATCAAATTTTCTAAACTCGTTTTGGGTATGTATGCTGGTGTAATATGCACTTATCGAATCTAGAAATATAATTATTGAGTGTAGTTATTAGTTAAAAATTAATTATTTATTGTGATACATTTTATATTATTTTAATTAATTTATTTAAATAATTTATGAAAAATAATCTATGTGTTATCTTTAAATCCAGAAAAATGTTTCTCCACAAACATGGAAAACTTACCACTGACGAGCAATGTTCGAAACGATCTCCCTATAAAGCCATCTACATCTTATCAGGCTGTTAAACAGGTATAAAATTAAAAAAATGTTTTTATACCTTGTGGAAAGTGAATGTCAAGTTAAAAGTAGTGTTGTTATATTCATAATATTGTGTTACGTATGTCTTTTAATATTTAAATATTAGTGTGAACTAATTTTCTTAGATATTTTTTTTTAATAATTAAATTTGCGATATGCTATCTTTACTTACTGTATTAGTGTATCAAAATTCTAGAACATGAGGTTACTTATTTAAGTTGTTTGTAATTGTTTACATTCATTACCTATTTATCTATATTTATTATTTTTTAGTAGATTCTACATATCAAATATTTTTAAGGGGCGTTACTGATGAATGTTATCAAACTGAATTATGGTTCAGTTTATTAACTACATATACATATATTTTTATAATCGAAAATTCCTATAACATAGAACATTTTGTTTTATTTTCAAACCATGAACTACTTAATGTATAGTAGGAATCTATCTAACATATGCTTATAACTAATGACATTTAAATTATATACCTTGATTAAAATTTAAAATTATTAATTTTATTTGATTGAAATTTGTTTTATTATAATATAATTATTTTTGTTTTTTTATAAACTTTTTAAACTAAAATAAAGTATCACTATAAATATTGAATGTTTTTAATAATGTTCTCTTTAAAATAAGTTATTTTTAACTAATTGTTTAGGTACTGTCACTGTATGCTATCTAAACAAACTGTCTAGTTGCCATTTGCTATCTACATGAAAATTCTTTATAAGTAATTAACATTTTTCAATTTTTTTTTTTGTTAAAAAATAACAATTATTATTTCTTAAAAGTATTACCTGTGGAATCACATTTATGATTGTTATGAAAATATTCTTTTAGATTACTGTCACATACTTAATCATTAGAATTAATTTGAATGTAATAATGTTGGTTTCGTAACACACCACTTTGATTTAAAAAAATTCACATATGTTTTGTAATTATAAATAATATACCTAAATAAATCACCAAAAGAATTAATTTAAAAAAAAAATCACAAAAACTAACCATGACACTATACAAGTTGAAATACAACTGATCTAATAATTTAAAATATTTCATTAGTAGATATCAAATTGCCCTGATAATAATGCAAAGATTAATTAAATTTCTTAGGTATATAGCATACAGCCTTATTTACCCGTTGCTTACGGCCTATTTTTTGATTATGAACGAATAGAGTTAATTTTTAACTTAATTTATTAAATACTATTAAAAGCCATTTTTGCCAACACAACTGTTGAATTTTAAACAGAGTTTATAAGATAACTGATCAATTGAGATCAATTATCGACTATAAATTCTATTTAGAATTCAGTTAAATGGTTTTGTTTATATTGTTTAAAGTGGCCCCAAATTAAGTCCTTTAAATGTTAATATTATATTTACCTGTACAGAATATGTCTTATGTAATTAAATTATTTTGTTTTCTTAAAACTTATGTATCATTTTATTAATACAAATACATGCATATTTTCTATCTATTATAATACCTATTGTTAAATTAGATTATTATTTGCAAATTTTAGTTTTAAGAGTGTATATAATAATATAATAATTTATTATTATGTCCATATGTCCAATGTCCATATAACTATATTAGTTTATTCTACTTAGAATGTTTATTTTTTGGAATTATTTATGCGCAAATAATAATAATAGTAGCTTTGAACATTTTTAGGTGGTGGCTTATAGCGAGTAGTTAGTTGAATACCTATTCATATTTCCAAAATTGTTATAATATGACAGTGAGTGTCTGTATAAATTATTTAAAATATATTTTGTATATTATTCAGAATAATTACAAATAAATAAAGTGACAATTAATTTTTTTTTTTATTAGGTAAAAAAACTTACTGAAAGAAATACAGGAATAAGCTCAGATGATGATAATATGATAGATATTACAACATCAGGAACAATGACTGAACGTACATTAAATCAGCGATCTCCAATACATTTACCGGGTAATTTAATATATTAAATGTACTTTAAATAAATTATACTGTGTATAATAATAATTAAAATAAAATATTCTTCTTCTCCTTTGTCTTCATCCCAACTATTTAGGATTCGGTCACCCTCGTTCTGAATTTCCACCTGACCCAATATCTCACCTAGCATACACCAGTTATCCATATATTATTTTTAATTGCATCAAACCCCATCTTTTTCAATCTTACTCTCACCTCATTTCTCTGATGTTTATTTTTATTACAAATCTTACTGCTTCAAATTCCTCTCTTCATAAGACACGTCTAAACCAATCTCAGTTTATTTTCTCTCATTTTGTCTATTATTGAAGCTAAAGCGTGTTTTTTTAATTAATTATGTATTTGTTTGTAAAAATTTTCAAAATGGTCTCAAACCTATTTATTATAATAAAATAAAATAAAGCCTAGTTTCACCACATTTTTGTAGAACTTACATTTCATTAAAATTCTCTTGTAATTAAAATATTAAATATAATAATTATTAGTTATTATGAAGAATTAGTTGACAATAATGTGGATATTGATTTATCAATGTTGAATAATGGCATAATATTTAAAACCCTAAATTTAGATTATGAGTTGTATAAACGATAGGCTTAGGTTTAAAAATTACACACATTAAATGCATATTATAAATGTATTTACATGTTATCTAAAATAATTTATATTAAACTGTCTTAAAAAATTGTATATAAAAAGCTCCCTTGAGTGGTTTTAATACAAATGTATTTTAACTGTTATTAATTGGAGTATCCAATGTTTTAATAAAGTATATTTAATATTGAATCAAATATAAGTATGTATGTATATGTATACAACACTGCAATTATTATGTATACACAAATCTATGGCATGCAGAGATCATATAATTTTGATTATTATACCTAGGATCCAAGGTTCAACAATACCTCAGTCAGATTTTTAAATTTAAATTTCTAAATGGCTATAGGTACTTTAATTGAATTTTCAGGCCTTTAGGAGAATTTATTTATTTTTTAATGATTTCATGTGTTCTTCAATTACTCAGATAAAATTAAAAAAATTTAATGGCTATCACAAGTAATATTGTGGCATGGCCTGCTGGTACCTATATATTATGTTACTAGCCAAATCTGATTTCAGAATAAACTAGTTTATTCTTTTCATCAGATTTGTTTAGTCTTTAAAATACTGATATAAGTTATAATCTACTGTTACAGAACACTTGATTCATACCTCTGAAGGGGCTTTTTTTTAAAACGCCTGAAAACATTTTTCCAATTATTTTTAAAGCGTTACTTTTTTAACTTTTAGATGCAAAAAAAAAATCCTGAAAGGCATGGTGTAGATTTAATGTTCTGTATTGGCTGACTTTATATTATATAAGTATATATGTATATTGGTGTTTTGAAGGTTAAATACAACACAGCTAAATTAGTTTATTCTGAAATCCCATTTGACCAGTAACATATGTGTAAAAAAAAAATCTTATGCTAAATTCTAATTTAAAATGTTATTATCTTTTATATTTTTGAGATAACTTTAGTGAATAGTTTATTTTGATTAAGTTAAGATTTAAGTTTCTAATTCAATTTATTTAAACCAGTTACAGATGAAAATAGTTCAAAAAAAAAAAAAAATGTAAAATTGTCCAGAATTAGTAAAATTTTATGTATACAATATACAGAGGGATTTTTATCACAAACCAGCCATTTTATTAGTAAATTGTTTTTAACTAAATATTTAGTTATCATAATTACATTATTTCAAAATAAAAGTTTTTAATATTTTCTAACTCAATGATTTTTAGTCTTTAAATAGGTAACTCAAAATGGGCCAAAATGTATTGGAAATAAACCAATATCTAGAAAATGATAATATAAGTATCCGGTAAAAATGTTAGCTATCTACGTATATTTCTTATTACTTTTTTCTCCTATACATATTTGTACTTTTCTAATTTATTAGGAAAGTTCAAAAATAACATTGCAAAAACCAGAATTAATTTTTATAAAAAAGCTTCTATGAAGTTGTTGATTGGAGCCAGTTTTATAGTTGAAAACTTCAGACAGAATATAAATTTTTTTTTTAAAAAGCCTCTAATCAAAAGCAATATCTTAATATAACATACATTTCTCGCTCTTTTAGAATCTAAAATTATTAATAACGGCAATAGACTGAGGAAATGGCTCGTTCATAGTATAAAGATCAATATATAATTGATTTTATTTAAGTTAACTTATTTTGTTACATGTTAAATAATTAATTTTTGAAGGTATTGATGTCATATTTGCGGGAACATTAAATTTTGGTGAGTGTCACATATTTTGTTGAGTAATTTGTAATATTGCTCTTGTTGATTATTTTGTTTTATATTGAACTTGTATTTTGTTTGCTTTATAGAAACATTAGTTTTCTTATTTTATTTTATTAGATTACTTTTTAAAAATAAGAAAAATATTTAGGTTAATATATTATGTCTGGTACTACTTTTGAGTTTGAAAATTATATATTTGTAATTAGTATTATCAATTATACAAATCTAAAAGAATTTTTTTTTTTTTCCAGTGTGAAATGGAATGATTTAACTAGAAGCAGTAAATTTTAAATTTAGATACATAATAGTTTAAATTATTATAATACACAAATTAATAACAATAAAACAATCATTTACTAAATTTTACAATGCACTATATTTATATTCTATCATAATATCGATAAAATAGAACACCACATAAACCTACAAAAATATAACAATCAAAAGAAAATTAACAGATTTGAAAAAAAAATATGTATAATATATATTCTATAAATGAACCATGTTAAAATTTTTATAAAATGATCCGTTAATGAACCAATTAATTTTATTTAAATAAAAATTCTTTGTTGGTTTTGAGAAAAATTAACTCAACAATTTCTTAAGGTTTTCCTAGTTCACATTGTAGCTCTATCTCATATGAGTATATGACATTAATTGCTGGGCAGTTTTAATGATTGGGATAATAGAGATTCAGTTTTATTATGCGTTAATACATATCAATATTGGGGGTCTATTTATTATTTTTAAATTAATATACTTAAATAAAATTATTTTCTAACAACAAAACATAATATGTGATTTTTTAAAAATGTTTTTAAATGTTTCCACTATTTATATTAAAATACGTTTGTGCATATATATATTATATAGATATTAAAATTCTAGTTTTAAATGAATTTCTGCTTATGAAAATGATTTTTTAAGTTTAATTACATAAGTTCTTATCACTTACCTAGAATTATAATTAAATAGCGGTCAGACCCAATATAATTTGAATGTGTACCTAAGGTGTGAAATTAATTTGGTGATATTATCTGTTAGAATTTTGAACTTTAATATATATTATTACATGTATTATAATATTTCAAATGTGATGTTCTTTGAACAATTATTAAACTAAACATTCTTGCCTTATAGAGTATAAAACAATACTTGATTAAAATGTATTGTAACTGTAGTGAAATAATTTAGTTATATTTTGATTATCATTACACAATATTTTCAAAAGGTATCTAAATTTTGATTATTTTAATTATAGATATTTTAGTTGTGGGCTTAAATATAATAATTTACTTTTTACATATTGTTTTTAGATTATGTACCTATATGTATGGTATTTGTTAATAAATTAAAATACTTACAGGAACTAATGAAGGTGAGGATATTCCTGGAATTGGTCAATATGAAGATTTTCATACAATTGATTGGCAACGAGATATTGCAAGGGATCGGATGCGACATAGATATATACTGAAACGTAAACAAAATTCATTTATTGAACTGGTAATATTTATGGTTGTAAATAAATAGTTTAATAAACATTAAGTTAAAGTATTACTCTATTAAAAACTTAAATTATTTTGAAATGTTAACATGGTAATAATTTGATTAGATAAAATCAGCTCATGATGCGTGGTCAGGTTGGCTCTGTGTATTATTGGTTGGCGTCGTGACTGGAACTGTTGCAGCAATAATTGATATTGGAACATCATGGATGTCAGATTTGAAATTTGGAATTTGTCCTCAAGCATTTTGGTTGAACATGGAACAATGTTGTTGGTCATCAAATGAAACTTCATTTGAATTAGATAAAGGAAATTGTTCACAAGTAAATATTTTTATTTAATTTATTTAATGACTTACTCTATTAATAACCTAATGATCTATTTATATTTGAATTGTAATTTAAATATAAATATATAAAACAGTTTAGTTACATATTTAATAATTAGAAATTGGATTTATATGCTCTAAAAATGTATAAAAAAGTACATCAAAAAATCTAAAAATTCTTGAAAAATGCACTAAAAAAATATTTGAAAAAGTAAAAATGATAGAGGAGTTTAAGTCTCTCCACTAATGGCTCTAATTATTAAATTAAATTTCCTAAAACTATAAAAATAATTACTTTTTGGTTTTGTAGTGTCAAACTATTTTATTTATAAGTTAAATCTGGTAGAGGGGGGACTATTAAACTCTTATATTATTTTTGCTTTTTAAATATCTTTTTTAAGTAATTTTTTTAAGAATTTTTTGAAATTATTAAATGTTTTTTGAGAAATTTAAAAGCATATAAATCTGGTATTTTTATGTATAACAATTGAATAATTTTTTTCTCGTTAAATTTTTAAATTTTTTAAAACTAAATTTGTTTTTAAAAGATCTTGTTTATTTTATATATTTCAGTGGTTTTATTGGTCCGAAATATTGACTTCATCAAATACTGGCACTTTTGCATACATAATATCATATTTGTTTTACATTATTTGGGCATTACTCTTTGCAGCCCTTGCTGCTGGATTAGTCAAAATGTTTGCTCCCTATGCATGTGGTTCTGGTATTCCAGAAGTAAAGTTTAATTTTTATATTTTTAAATATAACATGATCTATATTAGTTAAACCTTATTAATTTTACTTAAATGAAATTTTACAGATAAAAACAATTTTAAGTGGTTTTATAATTCGAGGATACTTAGGAAAGTGGACTCTGTTAGTAAAATCAGTAGGAATTATGATGAGTGTTTCGGCTGGACTTAATTTAGGTAAAGAAGGACCTATGGTGCATATAGCTTCCTGCATTGGTATGTAAAATATTTGAGAAGCACTAAGAATATTTAAATTGATTATTTATATTATTTATTATATATTATTTATATATTTATATTTATTTTTTTTTTCTAGGCAATATTTTATCATATTTGTTTCCAAAGTATGGTCGTAACGAAGCCAAGAAAAGGGAAATTTTGTCAGCAGCAGCAGCAGCTGGAGTTTCTGTTGCTTTTGGAGCTCCTATAGGTGGAGTTCTTTTTAGTTTGGAAGAAGTATTTTAATTTTCTAATTAATTATTATAATTATAATTGAGCATTATTTAATCATATATCTTTCTAAATTTTTAAGGTAAGCTATTATTTTCCATTGAAAACTTTATGGCGTTCATTCTTTTGTGCTCTTGTTGCTGCATTTGTGCTTAGTTCAATCAATCCATTTGGAAATGAACATTCTGTTATGTTCTATGTAGAATATCATCGACCATGGATGTTTTTTGAACTAGTACCATTTATTGGATTAGGAGTTATTGGAGTAATTAAATATTATTTGTTTATAATGGTGTACTGATATTTATTAAGTAGTTATTGTATTCAGGGAGTTATTGCAACAATTTTTATCAAATGTAATATCAGTTGGTGTCGTTTTCGTAAAACTTCCATTCTTGGACAATATCCAGTCATAGAAGTATTAATGCTAACAGCTGTAACTGCAATACTCTCATACCCTAATCCATATACACGTATGGGAACTAGTCAATTAATTTACCTTCTATTCAGCCAGTGCGATGTGTCCAGTAATGATGGTTTATGGTAACAGAAACGATTATTTAATATTGCATTTTCAACTATCAAAAATTTATTAAAATGTTTAGTGATTATACTAATGAAAAAGCAAATATAGCTGGACCTGGTGTATACAAAGCTATGTTACTTCTATCAATGGCATTTATGTTAAAACTTATTCTTACAGTATTTACATTTGGTATTAAGGTAAATAAAAAACAAAATAATTAATTATCATTTAGAAATAGATGATTTGTATGATTTTTTAAATTTACAGATACCTTGTGGGCTGTTTATTCCAAGTTTGGCCATGGGTGGAATAACTGGACGTATTGTTGGTATTTTTATGCAACAACTTGCTGCTAATTATCCTCATTTATGGGTTTTTGACAATGGCTGTGGATTACCAGGCCAAGAAGATTGTATTACGCCGGGTTTATATGCAATGGTAGGCGCTGCTGCTGTTTTGGGGGGAGTAACACGAATGACTGGTAAAAATATTTATACTAAATATCAGAATTTGAATGAACAATTTAAAATAAACAGATTGTACCTTTTTTAGTTTCACTGGTAGTTATTATGTTTGAATTAACTGGTGGTGTAAGATACATCGTTCCATTGATGGCTGCTGTCATGGCTAGCAAGTGGGTTGGTGATGCACTGGGCAAGCAAGGCATGTATGATGCTCATATTCAATTAAATGGTTACCCGTTTTTGGATAGCAAAGAGGATATTGTTCATACTGCATTAGCGGCTGATGTAATGCAACCTCGGTTAGTATCTGTAATTGATAAAATAATTAAAAAAATACAGTTGATGATATTAATAATATAAGTATAATATATATTTCAATGTAGTCGGTCTGAGAATTTGAATGTTCTCACACAGTCTTCAATGTCACTAGAAGATATTGAAATGTTATTAAAAGACACTGAACATAATGGGTTCCCAGTTGTGGTGTCCCGTGAATCTCAATATCTTGTTGGATATGTGTTACGTAGGGATTTGTTATTAGCAATAGGTAAGATAAACTTAACTTCATACATGCCTATTACATTTACATTTTATATAATGTGCGAATAATTTCAGAAAATGCCAAAAGAACTATTGATGGACTTTTACCTGAATCTTTAGTTCTGTTTACTGAAGTAACACAACAAGTGGTACCACCACCTTTGAAGGTGAAAAAAATTCTTGATTTGGCACCTATTACAATTACTGATCAAACGCCTATGGAAACTGTAGTTGATATGTTCAGAAAATTGGGTCTTCGACAGACATTGGTTACACACAATGGGTTTGTTACATCGCTATATTCTTTTTCCACAGCATATTGTAAAATATAATTTTTACTGTTTTGTAGGAGACTTTTAGGAGTGATAACAAAGAAAGATATTTTACGTTACATTAAACAAGTGGATAATGAAGATCCTAGCTCTGTACTATTCAATTAAGTGGTCCTTGATTAACCAAATATCTGTTTGGATTTTGTATTTATTAATTAGCTCAATTTTACCACATTTCTATTATTTTTATTATATTTTTAATGTTTTATTTTAGACATTTACAAATAAAAAATTATATCATAATTATTAGTAATGTAATACTCGTAAAAATATTGAAAAGTACTCATTGTTAAATCAAACATAAAATAATATCTTAAGCTATCTAGTTAAATATGTATTTCTTAAACTACATTTCTAATCCTGGAATTTGCTATTAATTGTATTTGGTAAAAATCCAAAACCTAAATAAAAATTATATTTTTCATTACATATTAGCTATTTAAATTATCATTAACTCAAGTTTGTTGGATAAAATCTTTTGATTTTGTTATAAATTATCCAGTTCTGTCAACCTGTACATTTTTTAAAAGTATTCTATTTTTATATTGTGGCCAAATATATTTACATAGGTTATAGCCAGGTTTGGGACTTATATTATTTGCATACTTTTATTATTTATTATAAAATGTACCAATGTATGAATAAGTTAATTTCTTATTAAAAATCTACAACGAAATAATATCAAATTTAAAATTTGAATGTGTGTATTTTTGCATATTTCCTAGATTTTTCATTACAGTTCTTATTTTTTCACTTTTGTGCTTTTTAAACCAAAACTACAAATTTACAAATGTCAACCAATCAATGAAATTAGAGTTGCTTAATTTCTCCTAAAGTACCCAATAAACCTCTCAATAAATATATATTAATGCAAATTTTATTTTTTAGTTATTTACAATTACCATACAATTTTTGTGTGGACTTAAATAACTTGTTTTAAGAAAATATAGTGAAAGATAGTGATATAGTTTGAGCGGTTTGCAGCCGATAATAGTTATATTATAATAACTAAGTCTATTTGTTCAGTCAATTTTATATGAGCCTACTTCATAAATATTTTAAAAGCATATATTTTTATTTGTTATGCTTATACAATTTTTAAGTGCATATATTAGCACTTATTATTACGTTTTAAAGTGTCCCAAACCATAGTTATAGCAAATGTAATTTTATTTCTAAATGTTGATCTTGTATTCTTATCACTTGAACCTTTTGTGAAAAAAGCTATAAATAGCATTACATTATTTTTTATTAATAGGACATTACATCAGTAAACTTTTATTTTTGGTGGTTAGTTCTTACACATATAATATATCAAAAATATATTCTCATAAATCAATAATTTTATTAATTACTGTTAATTAAGAAACATATATGATTTAAGGACTTGAAAATAAAATAATTGTCTGGAGTATTTATATTGTTATAGTTTGATATTAATACTATGCATAACATTTGGTCATTTTATATAATTTCTAACCTTTCAATAAGTAAAAACTATTAAATATTAATGAGAGATTTTGGTTTATTTAATGTTATAAATAAAATTTATTAAACTAACTATAAATTATGTATTGAAAGTTAACAAATATTGGTGTAATATCCTATTATATTAATTTCATGTAGTGATGACAATTAAAACAATGACAACAAATACAATTTTTAAATATTATTGAATATAGTTCTAGTAATATAAGTTTTAGTATAGAGTAATTTTGAAGATCAGCATTTATCTGTAAAATAATTATAATAATAATATTATATATATATATATATATATAATAATTCAATTCAATTATAATTTAATTTTAAAACAATTTTATTTGTGTTATAAATGTATTATGAGAAGTTTTAGTTTTTTTTCTGTTATTTAATTATAATTATACATTTTTTTTTGTTTTTTACTCATTTTTTCATCAGGCAGCTATTTCAACAAATATTTGTTTAATTTTAATACACAATATAATATTTAACCGTCCTCGTGTAAAATCTGTTACCCGGTATTCTTAAATTATTCATTATGTATACGTTTATATAAATTATTGTTTTTAATCATTTGCATTTTAATCTATGTATTCATTTATTAATAATTTATTATATTTTAAATAATTATTACATCACACTGTCCAAGTATACTATGAATCAATGATGTTTATGCAATATAACTAAATATTATAATATTCTGTTTTTCAGATGTGATGATTTTTATTAAACTTTAAATATTTTTTTCACCTATATTGTTATATTTAAATTAGGTAAAAAACTATCGGAAAATTATTAATCAATTCATATTATAAATAGGTATTAAATTTTATAATAATATATTTTTATTATAAGACAAAAATCAATTTTGAGTGGAGCGAAGATGCTCATGATTTTACAAAGATATTTATTTATTTTTTTTTATCTGGGAAGGTACTTAAGAAAGGTCTTTTTTCGATTTGCACAGGAGTTTTCTCAATAAATGGGAAAAATTGAAAAAAACAGAGGAAACACGGAATAATGTAGTTATAACAGTGGCTGCCACCGACCCCATTATCCTAGGACGTCTTTTTTTCCATGATATTTATTAAATGATTGATAAAATGTACTAAGTGCTAGTTAAGTATTGTTAGTTTAAAAAATGTAAATACTTTAACTTGTAACGTCCAAAAACGACCATTTTCCATTATCAAAGGACAAGCATATCTACAATCGATATGGTCGACCGGTTAATAGATTATGCTCGCGTCGACGGATATGTTATGTTATATGTCATCATGAGTAATAATTTCCCGCCACGCAAAGGTTTATGCGATCGCAATCTGTTGCAATTCGCAATAATATTATATTCCTGACTATGGGTTAACGGCCAATCAAATCACGTTTCTCTTTATCGCCAAAAACGTCGGCCCACGACGACGTGTGCCACGAACGTCTCTTCGCTCCGCTACCTATAGTTTTCTCTTTTTTGTTCGTTTCTTTCCTTCTTCGTGTCTAGACCACTTCTCTCTTCTCGTCACTAGACGGTCTTTCGATACAGTTCTCTTAATAAAACCTTCTCGTGTATTGCGTGGATTCACATATTTTGCCATCAAGAAAAGGTCGTGTATCTACCTTGGCACGTTTCATGACGGTGCCTCAAACGAATCAATGAAGTGAATCCCGATCTGATCCACTGGGCGGACATCTTCGGGCGGGACGAATGGTAATATATATGTGATTTAATAATTGGCCGATACCGCGTCAGTTGGTCAGGTTTAAGGTAGTAAAGTTAAGGTACCCCCATATAAATATATTTATCTAAAATATTTCTTTTTTCTCATATGTTAAATTCTTCCGATATACTTACGGGGATTAACCAGCTAGATTTGTGTGTCCGTCTCATTGCACTAATCCTCGCGTTCCACATACTATGCACGATAGGCCAAATCCTCCGAATTTTGTTTTTTTGATTTTTTATTTGCTATTACCTAAGTGCTAGGTTTCGCAACCACGTGTGTGAACATCTAAAAAAAGGAATATATATATATATATATATATTGATCGATCTTCCCCACTTCGCGATCCATATTCGGATGCAACCCGCAGGTCCACCCGTGGGGCCACCAAAACTACGAACCAGTCAACATGGAATAAAAAGTGTTTCTGGTACCCTTCCCGGTGATAATTTGTGTGACCTGGTAACCGTATATTCCTGCCGGGGTCTCCCCAATACCTAAGGTGCCCACGAAAGTTCTACGTGGGGGTCCGTCTCGGTCTATACCCATATCGGTCAGCACACACACGTGGATGTGGATTCGTCATTATCAATAAATATTAATGAGTCCCGGCCTGTACGCTCCCCGTTATGTCACTACCTGCGTCCGGAAAACAATTTTAAGACTAGTTGACGCCCCAGTTAGTATAAATGTATTTAAAATATAAGTTGTTTGGAGGTATTTGTTTATAATCCTATATATATATCAATGTCAGAATGGTACCTATTATCCATTTTCTCTCAGGTGACAGTTTTTATGCTCTTGAGTTTTTCTATTGCATTAACTTAATTTTACTTTTTGATTGATAAATTAATAAAATATTTTCCCCAAAAGAAAACACGTGTTTATTTATTTAGATTCTCTTTTTTCCCTTCCCTCCTCACAAAAATCCTAGGGCTCCGGTCTTCTGACCTCGGTCCTAGGTTGGCGACATTGCTTCTAGGCGGGTAGTCAGCTGGGCGTTCGGGTCGGTCTTCTCAAACAAGGCCGACCGAACCTGGACGTCTCAAACTGTAAGTAGAGGCGGATGGGCCATTAAAAATTCGAGAGTTTTTTCTGTGGTCGCTTCTTCAAATAACTATTTTAAAAAGTATTTTATATCAAAAAATTATGCTGAAATACCTATACATTTATTTTTAAGAACATTTTTTTTTACCAGTGGTTACCTAAGTCGAAATAGTTATTGGTTTGTTTACATTTCTGGGCAATTATCACGATAGTCAGTTATTTAGTTGTTTTATTTATCTATGGTACATTCATTGAACTCTATATGATAACCTATCCTGATATATTATATACACTCGACTTACCACTATGGCAAGTGAAAACGTCTTGGCGCGTCAAAAATGGAGGAGTGCATTTCAAATTAAAATAAGTTTGTCTGTGATTGAAATATGATCATTTTTTAATGTTAAGAAACATCTATGACATGTGGTAAATTTAATTGATTTTCGGATTATTTTAGGTAATTTTTATTTAAAAGGTACTCTGTAGGTAAGGACTTTCTTTTTAAATTTAAATTTTTTATTAGAGGCAGGATTTTAATAGCTATAAACTTCCGGACAATGTGAATCATTTTGTAAAAACTTAATAAAAAATGGGATCTCAAATATCCACTTTTATAATATATATATTATATAGATTTGTTATAATAATAATCTTTCAATATTAACAATTTATGTAGTTAGACTAGCAGCTATTAGTCAAAAGTCAACTCGGGAAAACAATTTATATGTAATAATAAATCATATTTATTTAAAAAACGAAAAAAAAAACCTACATAATTCTAAATATACTTTATAGTATAATATAAAATGTCAGGCTCTGATCGATGTTTTCTTTCTATGTAGGGCCAGTTGCAAATGTTTAGGGATATACCCAAATTAGAAACCCAGTCCGTAAAATTATGTAATTCATTCTGAAGCAGTAAAGTCAGTCGGCGATCTAATAGAATGAAACATTTTCATATAATTGGCATATACCTAATTGTGCGTAAGCCTTGAGGAAATATAGTTCATGAAAAAAAGAAAAAATAATGTATTATGGTGGCCTTACTGGAGGGATACTAGAGGTTGCTTCAACAATTTGAGAATAGGACTCAAGAATAGATACTAATTGTTTCCTACCAGTAATATATGATAGGATAGGAGTATATTACCAACACCCATTCGAAATAGTCAACTTATTAATGAATCGTATCTAAAAGTATCAGATTTTCTTAAAATCGGTGGTAATAGCATCGACCTGGTAACTAGCTTCACGGCCTTCAGCAATATCATTGGTAAAAATAAAACTGCTGGTAACGGTTGATTTTCCAGAGTGAAATATTATTATTATAATGCGAAGGAGGTATATTTGAATCATAAAAAATGGGTGGGTGGATCGTGGTTGCCTGGATGTTCAATAATATAACAAAAAATATTATGGTTTTACAACACTTAATTGAAAGAATTTTAGACTATCAAAATTTGATACATTTCTTTAAAGATCCACAAGGAAACTTGGTTTTTATCTCTGGTTTGTAGAATTTTGGGGATTTTTGGTAAGGGTGGGTGGAAAATCAAATCTGTGATTCAAGGTAAAAATACTTCATGCCACCCTTGTGGTCAGTAGTACGTCCAAACTGCAGTCACAGATGAGGTGAGTGAATACGTCTTATATTAAACAGTTAATGATTCATCCCCAAATCTCCATAGTATCACTAAAATACAATCTATCTTAATATTGATAAGTATGTATCCATAAAATATGAATCCTGGTTGTTCAAAAAGAGAATCATTTTGTACTTATTTTATAAAATTATTCAAATAAAATACTAATTTAATTAATTAATGAATTAATAACTGTCATATGTTAAACAACCCCAGATAATTATTATTTTTTATTATAAAGTAATCTTTTATTAAATTTGTTTTAATGAAATAATGTAAAAATATCGAGAAGTTTGTTTAAAATCTGAATTAATAAAAGTTCAAAAACTATGAAATGATGCTCAAACTTTTTATTTTAACAAAATACAATACTAGATTAAAGTTTCCCAACCTTTTTCCCTCACAGCACACTAATCCCAATCTATATTAGCTGTGGTACACTTGATACTGACTTATATATGTATATATTTTTGTATTTTTTCTTTTTGTTAGGATTTTACATTATTTATACTAAAATAGTTGTAAATCAGTAAATTACTAGTAAATAATTTAAAATGATGTTTTTATTTAGGTTAGGAAAATTTGTGTAAAATCATATTTTAATTTATTACAAATGTTAAATTTAATAATTTGGGAAAACAGATATATTACAATTAGTTTATACAAATTTAATGCTAGTGAGAAATGTATGCCTGGTTTCCTTTCATTATAAGTTTCTTTCATCGTTGAATGGTTGACAAGCAGTCTCACAACAGAGTCAATGAAAGGATTTCTTACCCAGTCCATTGATGAAACTTCCAGAGATGGAAAATACTTTTTATAATTTGTCTAAAATAGGTCTAGACTTTTTAAAATTAAGTTTGAAAGCTCTGAGTCAATGTGAAAGTTCTTGGTAAGATCAAACATATCCCTGGTTGTTTGTTTTTAAATTTATGTAATTCATAACGAAAGCTTCTGCTGAAAAGAACTAATTTTATCTGTAGATGTGAGAATGGTCTTTTGCTTTCCTAGCATACTCATGTTTAAGTAATTAAGTTTTCCAAATATGCCTGCTAGAAAGGCTAATACATCTAATGACTAGATGTTAAGTAGAAATTAGAGAATATAAAATTTTTATTTTCTTGGAAATTATGAAGATGTTATTGTTAAGTATACATTTCTTAAAATTGTTATCTTTGTTTTTAAATTCCTTTTAGATAGTTACCTAAATATATAGGTATTGAATATTATTTTATTGATGGTTATTCTCCAATTTCTTAAGATATCTT